GGCAAAGAGTACAAGTTCCTGACTACGCCGCGAGGGTGGACCTTGCCCGACCTCAAGGCGGCGATCAAGCGGACGCAGGACATCCTCAAGGGAACCGATGGCTGGACCACGGTTTTCATCGAGAACCACGACCAAGGCCGCTCTGTCTCTCGCTTTGGCTCGGACAGGACGCCGGAACTCCGCGAAACATCCGCAAAGATGCTTGCCATGTTCCAGTGCACGCTGTCCGGCACGCAGTTTATCTACCAAGGGCAGGAAATCGGCATGATCAATGCCCCGGAAGAATGGCCTATCGAGGAATACAAGGACATCGATAGTACCAAGTACTATCAGATGGTGCGCGAAATGACGAATAACGACCCCGTACAGATGAAGACGGCCATGAAGGCTCTGCAACACCTGGCTCGAGACCACGCCCGACTCCCCATGCAGTGGAGCGCAGCAGCCAATGCCGGGTTCTCTCATCCGTCCTCGAAGAAGCCGTGGATGCGTCCCCATGACAATCACAAGGAGGTCAACGTGCAGGTACAACAAGACGACCCATCTTCCGTCCTTTCATTCTGGAAGCAGATGATCCAGCTGCGGAAGGAGCACGCTGATCTCTTCGTGTTTGGCATCTTCGAGCTCTTGGACCAGGAAAACGAGAAAATCTTCAGTTATCTCAAGGCCTCCAAAGAGCAGTGTATGCTGGTCGTATTGAACTTTTCCGAAGAGCCACAGCCATTCCGGAGGCCCATGGAGCTCCAGGGCCGGGATTCAAAGCTGTTGCTTAGCAACATTGGCAAGTCTGTGAGCGAGGAGTGGGAGTTGCAACCATATGAGGGCCGCATATTTGAAGTTCGGGCTATACCCAATTGAGCGGACACATATCCAAATAGTACTAGCGCCAATTACATAGCCTTTTGACTAAAATAATTTGTTCTGTGCAAATAATAGCCTAGGCATATACCCAAAGTAGTATAGCCTCACTTCCCCAGCATGTGGGGTTGGCGTTGTTGTCATTCGTAAGATTTCATGGCCATTTTCGGCACTTTCAAGCTGACACTCTCGACGGGAGGCTCCACTGGGCGTCTTGCTCTTCTAATGTGTGGACGCCGGACTTGGTCGACTGATAGATGAGACAGTGAGATAAGATCCTGTCATCAGGCTTGTCTGCTTGCTAGTCGCCGAGATGGATACCACACGGTTGAAAAAAACCCAGGTTTCCCGAGCCTGCGATCCATGCAGAAGACGGAAAGTCCGCTGCAATGGCCAACACCGGTGTCAGCAATGTGAGCATCTGGACTTGCTCTGTACGTATAGCGACAATCAACGCTCGCGATCGCGAAAGAATGCTCTGCGTCGAGGGACTGTCATTTCTGAATACAAAATTCCCGCGGTGCGGCACCTCAAGAGCGAACATGTTTCGACGTCCACGCTAGTCCCACCCTCGTCTCTCCAAGATTTGAAGTCGGTGGCACTATCGACCTCCTATCTGCATAGTCTCATCCCAAAATACATGGCCTATGTGTATCCTTTCAATCCAATCATGACGGATGAGGAGATCCGCGAGTCCATTGGCAAGATGGCCACAGATAGAGACCACGCTGCCTTTGTCTATGCCTTTACAGGTGTCACCATTGACCTGACACAGTCGAATGCAGCGACGTCTCATGTGTCGGAGCAGATCAACGAGCTCGCCGGCCGAGCTATCCAGCTCCGGACTCCGTTGCTCCCGGGTTTCCGACCGTCTATCCTTCGGGCTGTCACAAGCGTGTACATCCAGATGTGCTACATGAGTCTGGGACAGTATGACCTGGGCTTCTTCTACTTGAGCGAAGCAATCAGCATGGTACACCTCCTACGGATTGAAGACAAAGCCGTCATGGCCAGTCTTGACCTGACCGAGCGCTCACGGCGGCAGCGACTGTATTGGTTATGCTTCATCCATGAACGATTCATGTCCATTTTTCACTTTTCTCCCGCGACGTTGTCCCCATACGCGCAATTTCCCGAGGACGATCCCAGCCTCGATCCCAGTATCTCCCAGGGCTGGACCCAGGTGATCAAGACATTCCTTCTGCTGGAGCCGACCTTTATCAGCCTCTGGATCGGTGATCGGAGCCAGGTGACGGTTGCATGGGTCGAGCAAAAACATCGGGAGCTCGACGACGAGCTATGGGAACTCGAGGTCTCAATGCTGTCGGATCTGCAACAGGCGGATCTGGTCGTGACGCGCCAGTGGATGCGGACTCTCCTCTGGCAGATGGCCATGTCAAACTGCCTGCTGTCATCTCATGCTTCATGTCCGTCGCTGTCGCTTGAGATGCCGCTCCGACTATCCTGCCAACTACGCCAGTTCCTCACCAAGATCTCACAGAACACGATTCAGATCCACGGGTCGTCGATCCTGAGCAAATTGTTGGAGATTATCAATACGATCGCGGATGTGGTTCTTCATGGGCCACAGGTGACGCTCGAGGAAACTACTAGTCGGATTGATGATATTTTGTTTCTGAAGGACGTCATCTTCTCCTTTCGGAATTTGCAGCAGGTCTCCAAGAAGATTCTGATTGAGAAATTGCATCTCATCCGGCAGCGGTTTGCGCATATCGAAGTGGCGTCGCAGCTGGTTTGTGGGAGGGAGTCATAATGAATGCATATGTTTCGGCGTGTCTGCATGATGATAATTATACCTTTGTTTTATAATGTCCTCTGCGTCTTGATCTATCTACGACGAAGGAAGTGTTGAAGCAACAAACGCATGTGCGAAAGTATGCAGTACCACTATTGCGACATAAGCGTCCCATGGAACAGAGCAGGACTTTGTGACCCACCACCTCTACGTCAACTACAACACATCCTACCCCCTTCACAAACAAACTTCCTCGTATCAACATGTCCATCTCACCACCCCCAGGCAGCTCTGTTCCTCAGGATAATAACACAGCATACCCGTCTTCCATCGCCGACCTCCAAAACAGCACCACATTCCCCACACTCTGGTACCGATTGCACGTTCTATTGTACGACCTACAGCACTTCAACCAGCGGCCTGACTCCCGCGAGCGTCTCGAGACTGTGACCGATGTCTCCTACATTGGATCACCATACTTCAACGACGACGAAGCCACCGCTATCAAGAACACCGTTGTTCATGGAAAGACATTGGCCCAAATCATCGAGCAAGAGCTGCAGGAGCGGCTCGAACGACGCAACAAGAAGCGGGTCGATAGCGGCGACTTTCGGGTTTGCGCTGCTCATGACCTTGCCCCTATTCTGGCCGCTGGCCTTGGTACGAATCTGAAGCAATTAGACAAGGACAAGCGCTTCCTTTTGTTGATCAACTCTCGGGGATTAGACCTTGGCGACGAGAAATGGGAAGGGCTGGCTGCAAAGTCATTTGCGCCGAAGAACAAGAGGAAAAGATAAGGCGTTGGAGGGGAGAATTCGGAGTTTATGAGAGGTGATGAGGATACCGATAACAGGCACATTCGGAGTGCGACTGTACGTACTTGCTGGAAGGCTCTTGCTTGCTGTATTATTCCTCAAGATGGTGTTCTTCCGGCAATGAAGGGACCTATCCCCCCATATTTTAGTCGTCGATGATCTCCATCTCCTACTACGTATTTGGGTGAAGGTTTAGTATCTTGAGTATTGCTCCGCTGCCTTGTTAGAAGGACTTTCTGGGATTTATATATCATTGGGACGGTTAGATGTCCTATGAATTCGGACAGTCTTTCTTACCCTTTTAAGCTATCCTCTTGTATGTTGAGGGAAATACATTGAAACTGTACTCTTAACCATAGCCAAACTACATGAATGATTTCCACTATAATGTGAGGACCTGTGAATTTCCTGTTCTGGTTAGTTTTACTATTTTCAGTATGGTCTCCTGATATGCTGTCTTGTAATCACCGCCCTCATTATGACCTTGAGTATATAAGAACTATCCCCTTGCCGTTCTAACTCTCCTAGCTTCTTCTTTCCCCTTGAATACGCCCAATATTCTGCACCCTTCCGGACGGGTGCCGTCATTACATCTGCCCAATACAGTGGCATGGATGTACCTGCTAAGTATTTTTGTAGCCCCAATTATCATGGCTCCTAGAATATCTACGTTCTTGTTGTCAAATATGCTGCTGGCTGTAAGCAGAGAATCAAGACTGGCAACTTTGCAAAACCTATCCTCGGACGACCCAATCTCATGAACGGGACATTTTGAAAATTCTTCACGCATCCATCGTGTCTATTAGGGTGATGGCTTAGTCAAGCCCATGTTTATCTAAGTTAGGTAGCCATAGACGTTTGAAATAATGCATTAGTGTCCACGCATTTCTTATCCTGCTTTAGGCATTTTCCCGGGGGGGAAAAGCAGCAGATCGGGCCAACCGATTCCGGGGATATTCCCGATTCCGATCACGGGCATTGAATGGCCGTTTCCTGACATCGAACTGCTTGGCGCAGCGGGTCCTTTCAACTACTGACCGTTTTATAGAAGCAAACGATGAATCATCGATGATATAGACTGTGCTAGCCAGAATGCGCCGCATAAGGTACTTTTAATGAGGCTAGCCTATCTTACTCCTAACATCCAAATCGATATGCTCTCTATACTATATAATAATGTTCTCTATACTCATAATCTATATCCTATCCTACAGTCCTGCTTAGGTATTTTAGTTTAGTTTTCTCAATAGCATTATAAATAGAAAGCATGTAAGTGATATGCTAAGAAATATATTTAATATGAGTAACTAGGCGTTTAATATTATATATGATAACTAAATGCCTAAAAGCATCTGTAATGCTTAGACTAAGGTGCTTATAGAGGCTATTAAGTTAAACTACTAGCTAATTGTTAACTTCGTCAGACGTCTTGAATACCATAATATTGTCCCGTTTCCAGGAAACGACGCACAAAGAGGTTCAACTGGCCATGAATAAACTCAAATCTGCTAGGGAGAAAAATTTCCCAAGTAACATTTCGCTGCAAAACTGTAGCCGCTGGAAACGTCACCTCAGTAACAGCCCAATTTTATTTTGCCCATATAAACATTGTCGCCGTCCGGATCAGTGTTGTGGAGTGTCCAAGAGATCTCCGAATTATCCTCCACTGCCATGGTCTGAATTGCATCCGCCATCATTGTGGCGAGAACATCGGTGCCAACGTGATGAAGGAGACCAAGGACATTCCAGTACTGGCCTGTATTGATTGTCCACCAGAAGTGCACACCCCCAACCGCGAAAGACCCCGTTGCAAATGTACCTTCAGTTGTTCCAGCAGTAGCCATAATGTCTCTCTCGGCATCCAAGCTAGCTAAATATACAAGGCCGATTGGAGGCACCTCTCCATCGTTGGCTTCGGAAAGGGTAACGGATTGGACTGTAGTGTAGTCGTATGCGAGTGCAGAATAGAATTGCAGCCCGTTTTCCAAGCTTTGATAACGCTTGACAAGAGACGGAGAAGCCGAGGGCTCGGGCAGTGCTGCACGTTCTAAATTCCAATCAACAATCTGTACAATTCTTCATTTCTTCGCTGGATTCGCAAGACTTGCTCACCCTTTGGGCCAGCGGGCTGAAATGGTGCTGCACCTATGGCTTCGGCAGACACAAGCAGAACGAGGGCCGAGAGCGGAAGACGCATGATGGTAACGAGTAAGAAGATATTTTGATGTCTCGGATTGCTGGAGCTTGAATGCTGTTCCTGCTGGAGATTGTCGTTGAACCTTCAAGAAGCCTGGATAGCAACGTACAGTCTCTATTTATATAATGCCTGAAGCCCTTGCTCTACTCCATGTTCTCCTAGTAAAAGGACACATGTGTATTCTTGCTAGCATAATCTATATTACTTCCCAGTGGCGAATCTAGGCGCCATATCAAATTATTAGCTGATATGAGCTGAGACAGCAATCATTGATGAGGGTCGAGTCAGTCAAGATGCAGAGGCCTTGGTAAGCCTCAGACCCCACGAGTCGAGCCATAAGCTGAGACTGAATGTACTAGATTGACCTCTTATTGGTTGAATACCCTTAGTCGGCAGTTCATAATTATTAGCTAATCATTAATGTATGTTGTTAATCAACTAGTGAGAATCTTGATTTGGTACATAGTGATCACAAGTTGTAGTGGACCTAACTAACTAGGTAGTTAAATGCAGAAATAATTTCTAATCATAAGCAATCCTGAAACAAATGTTGTTCATGCAGTATTCATTATTCTCAAGGCGATATTTATTGTCTTGACTGTCTTTTTTCACTTCTTCCCGATTTCCACCAATCCCGTGTCATAAACTTATCAAGTCATAGAAAGGGAAAATCAATAAAGATAAGGGAAAGAAAATATGGGTCGGCGTGATCAATGACCGGAGAAATCCGACCACCAATGTCTCAGACTCTCAGCTAGCATGGTGGAATTGGAGGGGCCGAACAGCGGCTTTTCCTTCCATTACTATTAAACTGTTTTTCTGCAGAAAGCGTACGTTTCCGTGTCCGGATTCGGTCCGAAGCGTGCCCTTGTCGCTCCCTGAGCAGTCCCGGATCTGATCATTGCCTGAACACGTACGGAGTGGGATTGATTATTCCCTGAGGGCCACATGCCAGCCAAATAAAGGTTGTTAAGCCAAGTCTAACTATATCTATGCCCATCCCCCTTCTTTTTAAGGGCATGGTTTTCTAATTTGTCCGATGACGTAGAAGGGTCTACAATTTTCGCTTCGCCTATAATGTACTGACTTGATGATTATACAACACTCAAGTTCGTTATTTCATCACCTTTGCTACTATTCTGGCAACTGTGGCTGTGCTTAGTCAATCCGGCCTCCATAATTCTACGCTTTTGCACATGAGGGTATCTAGAACCCAGCATAGCCAGATAACCTTCTTTTATTTTACCAATCCCTACCTGTACCTTAGACCTCATTGGATCAGAATAATTTGCTTGTTGACTAACGTGATATCTGGTAAGGTATTGTATTATGGTTGTACAATACTGTATTGTATTAATAAACACGAGCTGTCGGCTCCAGACCCTGTCTTAACTCCGGATCCACTTAGCCGCAGCATCAGCAAAATGCTTAAGACTGTCAATCCCCGCTCGGTATCTTTTTCCTTGTCCTTCTCAACCCAACGCTTACGCTTCGATTATCTACAGACTAAGACTAATCATGCCGACTATTTCCTCCCGGTCCGTGTCATCGCGTCGAGCTCTCCTGTCCGGTGACAATCTAGAGCCCGACGATGATTGGTCCGGCTTGACTGATCCTGTTGAACGGCGGAGGAGACAGAATCGCATCAACCAAAGGGCTTATCGTAAGTCAAGCCATCGCCTTCTCATCTGCAACAATTAGCGTTTGACTAACGAGAAACAGGAAGACGAAAGCAAGCTCAGCGACGAGTGCAGACAAGTCATTCCAGCTCGGATTATTCCCCATCCACCACCCAGACATCGCCTTCATCAACCGCAACCTCCATCTCGAGCACAAACACAAGCCCAAACAATGAAACCTCGCTAGTCGTCAACAAAAACTCCACTCAATGTATCAGCTCCAGCCAAGTCCGACAATACCTCGACAGATTCGTCCGCACAGCCTACGAGAGCTACATCCTCGGTTCCCCGACCTCCGACCACCTCCTAACCCTCAGCAAAGTCAACGTCTTCCGCGCCTTCGCCAGCATCATGTCCTTGCTAGGAATGTCACACACCGAAGACTGGATGCACGACGACGCTCTCTCCCCCTTCCCGACCATGGGCCCGGGCTACATCGACGAGCAGAAACTCCCGCCTAGTCTGCGACCAACCCGCTTACAGAAGACGATCCCGCATCACCCCTGGCTGGATTTCTTCCCGATCCCGAAAATTCGAGATAACCTGCTCACAACGGGGGAGGACAACTTTGACGACTGCCAATTGTGCGTTGATATCATGGGGTTCTGGGACTCGGGGATGGATGCCTGCTGCCTGCTGGTGTGGGGGGACCCCACGGATCCGAACAACTGGGAGGTAACAGAAAGGTTTCTGCAGAAATGGCCGTGGGTGGTTCGGGGGTGTCCTAGCTTACTGGAGTCGACGAATAACTGGCGGCGGAAACGGGGGGAGAAGCTGATCTTTCGATATCTGTAGCATATAGCTGTTCAGTCACTGTCACTGGTACTAATAATGAACTGTATGATCTATGATGTCTGTTTCTCGCCTAAGTCATTTGATCTATTGTTGACCAAGCAGCGACCGTCATCATTGCAGGATGGAAGATCTCCGATACCAACAGAAGACACTAATGCATCCTGCTTACGCGCTAGCTGCACCTTAATTCCGAGGGCTAATCAAATGGCTGGATCTAAATGTGGGGTTCGTCATGTAATCTTTCTGTCTGTATTGCATACCGTATTGAATTGTATCGCCTCATCAAAGTACCTCTCCTCTCTCGAGGAATCTACGAGAGCGAACTGGACAGTATGAACAGTTGTTAGTTAAGATAGGGAATAGCATAGAAGAGCACAGCCATTAATCTTCAGAGTGATCATTCATGGTACCGATGGTTGTTGTGGTAATTCGGACCTGCCTTGTCGGTAGCCTCGACAAACATATATAATCGAAGCATCTTCAACTGAGTATTCCTCAAGTAGCTGGTGTTCCAAAATGTAAGGTAGGATGCACCATGTAATAGGCTCAATGAATGCACCACTGGTCATAAGTTGTTTATTTTCAATCAGTGACCTCCAATGCAGCCAAAATATATGTACTGTAGGTATATGGCATTCAAATCGCTTCATATATTCCCATTGGTCTATGGGCCTTGGTCGAATGATACAGTTTACGAGCGCAATTTCCTGCTAGGTCTGAAATAACTAGACACTCAGGTCAATGTAGAATTGGTTCAAGACACTGTTGTCGATAAGCATGCTATGGTTCATTAAGTAGCCTATATCATGTAGGCTCTACGTTGCCGTAGGCTTTTCTGTTTCATTTAACATCAAATATGAATCCTTCAAGCCGTCCGCAAGCCTTCCATCATAAGTCTAAGAGCATAAACAGCTAGGTGCATTATCTCCATTCCTCACTACTATACTAATAACTTAAAGTATTAAGGGAATTCCTAGGCTATTCTAAAAGCTTTTAGGATTTATTATACCTGGATAAGGTTACACTAGAGGATTACTAATAACTCTACTAATAGAGATAGACCTTATTCTATATTATAGATAATATTTATTAGATAACATAGTAAAATAAGACACTAGTCTAGAGACTGAGGCATGTATAAATCAGGATATAACATCTTGAGAGCAAAGGTGTCAACCAAATAACCTCTTGACCAAAATGCGTCTAGACGATCATTATCATTTCCGGCGCAGGATAAGTGACAGTGAAGAATGTTCAACAAAAGGTATGGCCAGATCTGGTCGAGATCTGGTTTAAAAGGATCTGGTGCGGGAAGGGGATCAGAGACACAATACGGAGAAGCTAGCAAAACATTTGCCTCAGCGTGGCCGTATACTCGACTACCATTCGACGTATCCGACGGAATGTGAACCTAATCCAGCGCAACAATCCGAAACAGCATACTATTTTAGCCGATATAATATTAATCAGGTACGACGGTTAGGCTCCGAGCTGCGGACGAGTGTAAGGCCACCAGTGTTGCGGATTTGCCCCATCGCATATTACACCTCAGCTGACTGGTGCCAATACGAGCGCTCATAGCATTGACTGAGAGGAGACGCGTTGGAGCAAAGAGGCCAAAATGAAGTAAGTCGAAATGCACAGATCCAACATCCAGCTGCATCGGCCGACAACCGGGTCATGGATCGCGGTATTCACTCCGGTTGTCTAATCGCAGCGAGCACAGAGAGACTTTCAGGAACCTGCAAACCTTATGATGGGCTAGCCTGGCTGTGGAAAGTGGTAAAGTGAAACCAACTGACGGGGGCAATTGAGCATGTGTACTTGCCACGGATTGAAAAATTCTGCGGGAGCCTGTGTCTTCTTGCTGCGCCAGACGCGCCATGGCAGATAATTGCATCTTCCTCGAAACGCTTCGATGCTGCCGGTCACCTTTGCCCTGTTGACATGGGAGTACACGTGGAGGAGTCTCCGCATTTGATAGGTCGATGGAGTAAACCCCGCCAAGGCCCGCCGAGACTACGCCAAGAGCACTAGTCAGCCAATCTGCGGCTTCGTTTAAGTGCCTCGACCCTCTTCCCGCTCGGATTTGGATGGATGCCAAGAACAGGCTCGAGTCTTGCTGCTCTTGCAATCTTGCTTCGCTCCAAGACAAGCAGGCGAAGACGGGCGAAGCGTGCCTTGGCCGGTTGCCTGCTGGAATCAATTGAGCGATTTTCCTCTGCCAACCGCGGGCTTGCCGGGAAATCTCGAACTTGACGGCTCCTGGGATGGATGAGGGCAATACCAAGACGCTTGTGATGAGCCCATTTCCCCCGAAGTGCGAATCAGACGGAGGCGCGGAGGAACGTGTCAGGACAAGTATACGGACCGGGCATGATTGCCTTGCCACGATCGATGTGAACGCACCCGCGGCTGCATTAGCGGGCGTCTCAAGTAAGGTGGTTCCAGGCGTAGGATGAAAATGTCGCGTGAGGTAGCGATACAATGCTTAAAAGCCGCCTGTCTCGCTGCTTGGGTCAATTCAGAATCAAGCGCTCAACAACTTGTCTCACTTCACACATACAGTCAAGATGGTGCTCAGCCAGTATGACTACATCTTTGCCATTGGCACTATGTTTGCCATGCTTGATGCTTACAACAACGGTGCAAGTATGTCAATGTCCCTTACTCCTGTCCATTGTGACAAGATTGGCTGACATTACCTGTTTGAAAGACGATGTGGCCAACTCCTGGGCTACCAGCGTCTCCTCCAGATCGGTCACCTACCGACAAGCCATGATCTTCGGCACCGTCTTCGAGATGCTCGGTGCCATCACGGTCGGTGCTCGGACGGCTGACACCATCAAGAACGGTATCATCCCCAACTCGGCCTTCCGCGGTGATGCCGGCGTGCAGATGCTGGCATTTACCTGTGCCCTCGCTGCTGCTTCCTCCTGGGTTATGTGGTGCACCAAGCACTCGGCCCATGTCTCGTCGACCTACTCCCTCATCTCTGCCGTTGCCGGTGTCGGTGTTGCAACCGTCGGTGCTTCCAAGGTTCAGTGGGGCTGGAACAACGGAAAGGGTCTTGGAGCTATCTTTGCAGGCCTGGGCATGGCGCCAGCCATCTCGGCTGCTTTCGGTGCTAGTATCTTCATGCTGATCAAGCTCATTGTCCACATGCGCAAGAACCCCGTGCCATGGGCCGTCTACTCCTCTCCCTTCTGGTTCCTCATCGCGGCCACGGTCTGTACCCTGTCCATTGTCTACAAGGGTTCGCCAAGTCTCGGTCTGAGCAAGAAGCCCGGCTGGTATATTGCCGCTGTGACCATGGGCTGCGGTGGTGGTGTCGCTATCCTCTCAGCCATCTTCTTCGTACCCTTTGTGCACGCCCGTGTGATCAGGCGGGATCACGGTGTCAAGTGGTGGATGTTTATCCTCGGCCCTCTGCTCTTCAAGCGTCCCGTTCCTGAGGGCGCCGACCGTGCCAAAGTCCCCAACTACGCCGTCATCCAGGACGAGGAGCACGAGGAGCAGGCTGCCCAGGCATCCCCCGCTCGGACCCTTTCCGGGTTTGACGGCAAGGACCCCAAGACCGATATCGAACCCATTACATCGCCGGCCATCTCCCCCAACGAGAAGAACCTCGTCGCCACCGAGGCCAAGCAGCTCACCTACAAGGAACTCATGGAGGAATCCAACAACCGCCTCAACGCCCGACTCCTCAAGAAGCGCGGACCCGTTGGATGGGCGATGCGCACCCTCCGCGACAACCCGATAGGCCCCGGCGAGATCTACGAACTGAAGAACATGAAGATCCTCCTGAAGCGCATCCCCGCCATGATCACCGTCGGCTTGTTGTACGGTCTGCACTATGATATCCACGCCGCGCAGTCCGGTATCCACGGTACGCCCGAGGGAGAACGGATGCAGCGTGTCTACGCCCATGCGGAGAAGTACCCCAACGAGGTCGAGCACACGTATTCGTTCGTGCAGGTCCTGACCGCTTGCACTGCTTCCTTTGCTCACGGCGCCAACGATATTGGTAACTCGGTCGGCCCATGGGCCGTTATCTACTCGGCCTGGAAGACGGGTAACGCGGCTGCGTCCAAGGCCCCAGTGCCTGTCTGGCAGCTTGCCGTTCTCTCCGGATGTATCTCCGTTGGTCTGATCACCTACGGCTACAACATCATGAAGGGTAAGTGCACCGTCTGTATTCCACGATCGAGACACAAAAGCTAACTGAGCAATAGTCATGGGCAACAAGATCACCTACCACTCACCCAGCCGCGGTTGCTCGATGGAATTGGGCGCCGCCATCACCGTTCTGGTCTTCTCGCAGTACTCTCTCCCCGTCTCGACCTCAATGTGCATCACCGGCGCCACGGTCGGCGTCGGTCTCTGCAACGGTACCCTCAAGGCCGTTAACTTCCAGCGTGTGGGTCTGCTGCTGCTGGCCTGGATCATGACCATTCCCATCGCTGGTACCCTTGGTGGTATCCTGATGGGCCTGTTCATCAACGCTCCTCACTTCTCTTCTTAGATTTTGTTTGAACATGATCTATTCTCTTTTTCTTTCTGTTATAGACTGATTGTCTGCGATACCATTTGGGCTGGGACTAGGGTTAAGGGTTTACCATAATTGATGCGGATATTGATACCATGTTATTAGCAATGCATTCGAGGGGAGTGGATAGAGAAAAGCCCGGATTCACGCAGGGAAAGCTCCCATTAAAGTCAAAGCATCCGTTGTTTTGTCAAAGTAAGATTCCTTGGCCAATGAAGAAGCCCTAGGTTATATACAGATAACTCAACATGACCGCGCCACCCATGATCGGAAGTATATATCCTTTCCTTAATAGTGGTTGCAAATTTGGGATCAGCTTGCAGTTGAGTCGCTCAAGTCAATACCCACTCAGGCTGACGCTATGGGACGATCTGTCCAGGGGTAACTTTTGGAGGTGTTCGTCACGTCCCGTTGTATTCTGAATCAAACTCATCATGTTTTCGCCTCGACGAAGAGAGGGAAAGCCTTTGTTGAAGATAATCGACGTCCGTTTCGTTCTCTAAAAAATTAGAACGTGCGGTGAAAGTTTTGCCCTGACTTCGCCATTGTTCCCCATATTCATAGGTTTATATCGTGTCGTAGTCTTAGAGATTTGCCCTATCTAGTCACCAGCACGAAGCCATTTTCAATCACAAAGGTTGGAAATGGTCGAGTTTGGTTAGCTCAATGAAGATATCCGGTTTTGATAGAGTCTTTATATACTATAGGGAAAGATTCAAGATGACAGATAAAGATACAAACTTGGTCCCATCTAACCTTCAAACGACAAAGACCAATCCACGTCAGACGGCGCTGGATTCGGTTAGTAGGAACGGCCCAACAGGGCTTGGTCTGAACACTGTGGCTTTCTCTGTTGAAGTTACTTTTGGCTAGGGGCTGGTCGTATCTTGAGGCTGCGTCCAAAAGGGTAGACTGGACCGGACCCTGCATGAAGAAAGAGGGGCTGTAGTCCCAGTAAGCAATTGATATTAAAGCCATGGGAAACGGACTATATGGTTGCCAACGAAGTCACGGACAGCATCCTCCAGTGGAGAACTTGACTGAGACGCCACGCCCATCCTCGCCAGCATCTGCACTGCCTGTTTCCATCTGGCAATTAGACACTGCTGAACATTCTATTGCACCACCATTTATAGTACGATCCAAATGGTCGTCTGGAGTGCTTTTAGTTGACTGGTCTACTGGTTGACAGACACACTACCTGGCTCCTTAAGGTAGGAAACGAGCACTTTAGACTTATCAGCAAATATTGTGAAAAGCACCCGTCAATACAAGAGCATGGCTCATCCTTTAGTACGCTCTTGCTAGGCCATGGACTTTACCCATTCTGTTGCTTGCCTGAATATACTGGATTAAAAGGGTTTGAAACCAGACGTGAAGATTTCGAATAACCCCCTAAGTTCATCCACGAGCTTACCATTTCTACTTGTACAAGAGCAAAACAGCGACTGGTCCAAACACGGATCTCCTTGATGACCGACATACAAAATTCCAAAAGGCCAACGCAATATCAACCACATAGACTATATATAGCGGCAAAAAAAATAAAGAAAAAGAAAAATAAAACATATGAATTGTTGCAAAGTGACCAGTTATGCGGGACGGACAGCGCCACACTCACACGGGTCTACAGCCTGGGTCAAGCCATAGCAGCTGTAGATTATTTCCGTAATTTACTGGAAGCAGTCAGGTTTTGCATCCGGGCATTCCTCGCCCCATTCAAAAGATCGGTAGCTGACTTTTTATGCGTCTGCTGGGCAGCCAGGTCCTCGTAGGAGTATGGGTACTTATGAGCAAACCCAGTTCGGGCAGCAGCAGCACTGGAGAGTGATGGATGCATGTAAGTGCCTGAATGGTCATTTAGATATTGTGTCCGGTACTTACGTGTTAGCTGCCACCATGCTGCCATGCGCAGTGTCACGAACTGTTTCTAATTTCTGTCGATATTGGGAGTCGTCCATTCGAGTTCTTAGGAAATTCTTATTGTTCTTCGTCTTTGCCTTGGCCTCTGCATATAGCTTGTCATACTTCTTGTATTGGTTATAGTCCTTCTCCACCTCCTCAGTATATGGCTGTGGGCGCTTGACATAGGGATCTGGCATTCGAGGCTGCCTGATATCCCCATAGGCCAAAGATGCTGAGCGCTTATTCTCGACATTGGAAAAGTTCGGACCGTAGTAGCTCGGTCCAGGCCGTTCAATTCGGTGAGACTTGTTGTAAGAGACATCGTACTCTCCGTCCGAGCCTCTTCTGTCCAAGATGACTCTCTCCTTGTTCCAGTCGCGAGTCTGACCCCGGCTCATTGTGTATCACACAACTGTAATGCGCACCGCGGGAAAAGGAAAGTCCGAAGAAACGCAGGTGATGAATGTCAGACAGTAGGAGAGGGGAGCTGGCAAGAGCAATTGGTCCAGGCCTTTAAAGGATATACAAACGCCAGGCAGAGTATTCGATGATCTCGACAATGTACAGGCCTATCCAGCTCGTGGACATACGGATCTTTATACCTTAGAGAAGTCTACTCTAGAATCTAGAAAGCCATGATCTGCTGTCAATTAGCGCTTTAATTTTGAGCGAAGTACCTGGCGCGCGCGTAGAAACGATAAAACACATGATTGTTTTGCTAGTGCCTGATATACTCGCATTCATTGGCATCCCGTTCGACTTCTTAGCCGTCCCGTTATCTCAAGACCTATTTTAAGCCCAACAATCTTGCGATAGGAGCTGGCTTTTTGGATGGTGCAAAACCTCCTCCGACGAGACTTACCAAAATATCAGTCGAGTCGCTGCCTACGACTTGATGTTTGGCGGTTAGGGATCGCATCCCTGAAGAAGGAGGCGTCTATCTCTTTTGATGCTGTACTAACACACGATGGACGGGATATCTTATGCATCTGCTGCAGCTTCCACTGTGAGATGATGTTCATTTGAAGGCAATCTTCTAATCATGTTTTATACGCTAATAGTAGATGGCTGATCACTCTATCGGACTCGGTCCGAGCAAGGCATTCCTCGTAGTACATGGGACAAACATCATTCTTAGATGAAGCCTTCCTACTGTCATGGAGTCTCACAGACTGTCTGTATTTCCAAACATAACACAAGGCTGATAGGGCTAGGGCAGGGATGGATATTAATGGAATACCACAGGCTCACAGCCACGGGTCAAATGGACGGGCTCCGTGCATGGCGGTAAATTAGTGCGCAACAGGCAAAGGAGGCACAGCAAACCAGTGGATGACAGTGAAAGTGTCAAGACAATTTAGCGCTGACTTTATTATTGAAGGCCCAATATGGAGACGAGTGACGACCATGCATGGAAAAAGCGCCAGCAAGCGCCCAGTGACGATGATCCCTGCCGTATTACATAAGGCGCCTAAAGTACGAAGTCATATGCCTCTCTCCTGCATCTAACAAGCACCTCTTCCTTTTTCTCCCCTCCGACAGCATTCATGTATGTCCTTACCTGAAACTTGATCTCGAGGAAACTTTACGGCGTCAATATGGAAGACTTAGTAAGGCCCATGATGAAAGGTCTCTCGGAAACTCAAAATAAAATTATCTAACCCAGGTAACAGAACCGGCCAACGTTCGAAGGTTTACCAGTGGAATTGCAGATTTCTATCTTATTCAATGTCGATGACCTGGATTCCCTTCGATCGCTTGTATTTGCATCACCAACATATCACCGAGCATATCAGCTCGTGAGACAAGAACTCCTCTACGTGCTTCTACAGAGCTCTTACGATGGACTTGTAGACATCGCAGATGCATTAGCTGCCGTTCGGTCCAGAGGCTTATACGCCGTCAAGCCATCGAATCGCGCAAAGATTATTGCCTTATTGGACAGACGACGACGAAGTGACGAAATCCGCCGCCTTGGATTAACTTCATGGCCATTTCCAGACGAACCTGCTGATATTGAGGAGACAATTCAACTACTGCATCTCCATAGAATGGCAACATTTCTCCTCGACGATTACACCAGGACAGCAGCTTGTCCTGAGTGGATAGACTTGGAGAAATGGAAGAATGAAATTTTACCCCTTACCATATCCAGAACGGAGCAAAGACGCTTTCTTCGAGCATTCTATCGGATGCAGATTTATGGCAACATATTCGGTCCTATTGAACTTCCCCTGGGTGCAGAAAACGTCGAAGAAGAAAATGAGTGGTTTGAAAGTAGTGGCGGCCGGACGCCTGCTTTCACGGATGAAGAAGCGTGGCGTCTATTCTTCGGACCCATGGCGCCATGGGAAGTCGAAGAATTCAGCTGTTTCTGGCGGCATTGTTATTATCGATGGGAAGAGCCATACCTTGAAATATCAAAAAGCCTTGCGGCTTATGCGGCTAATGGTGTGATCTGGTTCAGCGATCTTCCTCCCGAAGAGCGGCCCCCTCTAAATCGCCTTGGATTGGACGTTGACCATCTGCATATTCACCAAGCTGACCAGAGGGAAACTTTGGCCTACATGGTACCATTCCTTGTGAAGATGCTTCGTGAACAGGATTTTAGAACTCGCCGCGACTTGCTTCTCGCCAACACGGTTATTCTTCACCATGAGTTTGCTGAATATTGGCCCAAACCGAGTTGGGAAGAAGTCGGAGCGTTGCCTCTTCTGTACCCTGCCGATAGATTCAACTTTGGCACAGATGTCAGTGGTCTCAAGGCATACTTGGAGACGCTGCCTCCGCACGAGCGGCCTAACGTCGCCTGGACGCAGCGGTGGCTCGATGTGGAGCTGGAGTATCCTCAGGTCTTTGAGGATATGTACTCGTATGCCCCGTACTCCCATTGTTGGAATTGGGGATATGCTATTTGGGACGATGAAAGGCTCATTGAATGGGGCGCCATGGATCATCTCGAACTCCCGTGACACGTCGACTAGACACCTCGATTATTATTGCATTGTTGGTCAAGCAAGTCAGGATATTCATGGTTATGTTTATACGCGCCTGAGACTTTCAACACCTTGATGACTGTCCAAGAGACAACTCCAGCGTCTAATATAGCTCTAAAGTTCAGATTCACCGCTCACGAAACCACCATATAAAGACATACATAAAGCATAGTACGTAAGATCATAGAAGCATAAACCCAATCATAAGAGACCTTCAGTTTCACCACCCCAAGGATTCAGCAACCACCACCACCACCGCCACCTCCTCCACAACTGGCAGTGCTGCCGGCTGCCCCTGCTGCCACAGCGGCCACGATTCCATGGTTACGGCGCCTTTTCCGTCCGTTTCGGTGTTTCGCGCTATCATAGCCGTAATTGTAGTTGTAATTGTTTGAACCAGGGTAGTAGTGTCCGGGGTGGTTGGACCGTCGAGGAGGAGTATATTTCTCGTCGTCGTACTTGGATGAACCGAAGCACATTCTGAGCGTGTAGATATTTGGCACGCTTGTCTTTGAAGGATTGCTTGAGTGGATTTGCTCAATGAGTACGTAAAATCTCGGGTTTAACTGATTGGTTTGTATTTCGGTATATACCTATTGACTGGTATACGAGGTTCGCTGTTCTGCTATAGCTCCGAGATGCATGTCCGGGGCAGACTCGTTGCGATTTATTATTTATCGTGACGCAAGTATTTCATCGACCAGGCAGAGGTTATATTGTTTCTTCTACAAGGCTGAATGATCTGCACGTTACGGTCCCTATATCATTATCTGCTGCTTCAATAAGCTGACAGTACATTATTGGGGTAGCATTGATCGACACCCTGCCACCTACGATGCTGGCCTGATTTTATTCCGGGGCTGTGCAGACGCCCGAGGCCCCCGGCCCCCCATTCTTTACTATGGCCTCATGTCGATCGCAAGGCTGAAGTGAGGCCCTGCGTGATTAATAATAAAGACTATTGATTAGGCGAACAATTTATATGAACAAATGCTCAAAGTCTTAACAAATCACAGCCACGCAGGGATCATCTCCGCTTGCGAATACAAATATGCACAACTCTAGGCTACTGCTATCCTCAGTCCAAACTCGACCATGGAATATCCTGCTGCTTCTAGTTTGACCAGCAAGTTAAGAAGGGCCTTGGGACCAGATGTCCGACGGAATTGGAGGGGGATGAGAGCAAATAGCATCGAATTCAGCCGGGTCTCGGAGACGGGCAGTCGGGGTGTTATTAGCGAAGAGTTCGACAAGGGTCGTGCCTGCAGAGTGGTTTCAGCATGCGGACACTGGTTTAGAGAGAGACAACAAAGCATAGGGACCATACCGTTCGGATTGTACATCGGCCAACCCATCTTCCTTGATAGTCCATCCCTCGGAGACTTGATGAATGCTGCCCACGCTTTTTGGAGGTAATCGCTGGCGGCCACTTCGTACCACTGCGGCTTCTTGTGAGGCTGGAGATGCCTGTATGACCCTAAAGAAAGTGCAATATCCGCTGTGACACATTTGTTGTGAGTGAGACGCATTTATACTACAGGGATATATAACCGACCTTGATGGTAAGGTCCTAGCCATGGGAAGAATGTCACTGTTGGGAAGACTCCCAGGTAGCGATACCGCCACACTGGAACATGATGCTTCGCGCGGAATCTGGATCTTCGTTAGCAGCCTATACCTGTGGCACAGTTGCCAGGTCTATCTTACAAGGCTTCTTGGGACATGGGACAATTGAAATATGTGGTTGTGAGGATGTCCGAAAGGGTCTTGTTGACGCCCTTTTCAGACCAGTTCAGAACCCCATCACCTTCATTATTGGTGATGCCCATCAGGACAGGCTGTCACACACCAAGTTAGGAATTGACATATACGAGGACCGATGAGACACTCACCACATTCGCAAAAGAGCCAGCCGAGCCTAGACGGCTATATTCTTCTGCAGCATCGTTATCAATCATCGGGGCCCCTCCAGTCGTACCGAACTTTGACCGTAAGGTTGGAAAGCGCTCTGTGCAGAATCGGCGCAGGGACTGATTTCATGCAACTTAGCTCCTTCGTTCTGTTTGTAGCATTTCTGCATCCGACTCTCTCTGCTGCCTGAATGAACACAAAATCGTCCTGGGGCCCGACATATTCTGGAACCGCGCTCTGCAAGATCAGACCTTGCACGATCGGGTCATCTTTGAATGCATAGGTCAGCAATGCAGCAGAGTCTGCACCTGCAGATTGGCCACCAAGTGAGATTCTGGCTGGATCGCCACTGAATGCAGCGAGGTTCTCGCGCAGCCATTCCAATGCAGCTCGCTGGTCTCGAATACCAAGATTCTGCTGGTCGATTGGAATCGCGGGGGAGTTGGGAAATCCGAACACGTTGAGACGGTAACTACTGGATTGTGAGCACTCTAAACATATCCAATGGAAAAGAAGCATGATGGGTTGGGTAGAAGGTGTACGAACTTCAAAGTGACAACGATGATATCGGGCTGGTTCGCGACGAGGCCGGTAGGGTTAAATACTAAGGTAGGTAAGCATGAGTGATATTCAATCTTGCAAAGGACCTACATGGAACACTGGAGCCTCCCTCATTGAAGGCACCTCCATACAACCAGACAAAAACTGGCAGCAATTTGGATTTTGGGCGTGCTCGTGGTGCGAAGATGTTCAGTGACAAGCAGTCCTCCGACTCGGGGGTAGTTGCTGCTAGGTTGTCTCCCAGCACGGTCTTATACCGAAACTGATAGCACACAGGACCGAATTGAGTTGCATTGACGATTGTATGTTCGTCACCGGTGTCCAGAGGCTGTGGAGGGCGGAATCGAAGATCGCCTATGGGAGGGTTGGCATATGGGATCCCAAGATAGGCATCTACTTTGTCATGCACTCGGACACCATGGAATATTCCTTGTCGGGTCCTGGCTGCAATATCTGGCAGAGCCTCGAGAGTAGCAGCGAGCATGCTGAGAACTGTTAAACAATGGATTGTCTTCATATTGCACCTGATTCCTCAGCCTGGATATTTTTAGAAGATACTACGACGCAGAACAAGTTCAATTCATATTCAGTAAACCAAACTGTTTCTGCCATTTTTGGAGTATGAGTAGTACGGAGACCCTTTGATGCTTCTACCAAATGCGAACTAAATGCGAGTGCGAACCGAGAGAGAGCGAATACGAACAAAGCCCACTCGAGACCCGCGAGAACCATTGAAACGGTGCTCCACCTCTCTTTGACCGTCTGGTTGCAATCGGTTTCCTGTTAGTCATCTCTAGGCAGCCACATGCAGATTGTACCGTCCATATGTTGCCGACGGTGAGCTCTGAAGAAGCTACACATGCAAGGAACCCTACAAGCTTCTGCCATCCTGACTAACGCAGACGTTAACCCCCGCAATGGAACCAAATTACCTGGTATCTGCCATGAAAAATGCGAATCCTGTGACAGGATGGTGGCTTGGACGGCAGGATGCAAATTTTACCACAGCATCAACACAGCATTCAAGGACAGAAATGTCAAGACCAAAGAGACGAATTCGTCCCCACAATAAATCCCGACGAGGGTGTTTGAACTGCAAAATCCGGAGAGTGAAAGTAAGACAGTCGCCGAAGTTGCTCCTCGTTGCGTCCAACAGACTAACCCAACAGCAGTGTCCGGAGGACCATCCTGCTTGCGAGAATTGCCGGGGAAAGGGCTTGGTCTGCGTATACCCGCCTGGGCTACAGAACGACCTTCAGCACCTTGGAGATCCAGCGCGGGATGTCTCAAACCAACTGGCATATCTGCAGCCCCGAAGACAAGCTGCAGAGTTTACCAATCAATCAATCAATCAATCAAGATTCTATTAACCTGATGTAGCCTATCTATTGAAGCAATTAGCTATGCAGGCGCTTCGCCAAATGAAGCAGGAATCTAGTAACCAAACACCTATCCATAAAGCCCACAAATGCAGAGAAGACATAAGAAATTAGCATATAGCCACATCAAAAGCAGATTATACAACTAAAGCAGCCTGCCACCTAGCCACATCTCCCCTGCACCATCTAGCGCGATACCTATCCCACCTCATTCCATGTAGTCATTCCAAACATAGTGCAATTCCATGCCTAGGAAGACCCTTCCTAGGCAGCTGCTTAGTGGTCTATCTAACCATTATCTCCCATATCTATTCCAGAGCCTCATAGGAGGCTTCCTCATTCCTAGTCCTGCTCTGATGGCTCCCCTAGTTCTGCATAACAGAACTAGCCAAGCAGGCCTGTGTGATGCATAAATTTAGTGATGTAGCAGATTGCCTATAGGTCAGATATAAGCATATTATAATCTAATAGTTTTCCCCAGAGTCCCTCTACATTATATAGCTTAGCCATCATCTCCCTGCAGGCCTCTGCATGCAGTAAGCATTATAGGAGAATATGCTTAGAGGTCTAAGACCCCTCTCCACAGCTACACCAGTCTGAGTCACAGGCATTAATCTTAAAAAGGAAGTATTATAGACTAATCTGCATAGTCTACATCTAGATGATAATCAATATATGCAGCTTTAGTAGGCCTTTATAGAGCCCTAGATTCTTCTTATAGGGGGCCTTAATCAGTCACTATATTAGCTTAGCCCCCTTCTCTATTTCCCACTATTTCTTCTAATATTACTAGATTTATTAGTAGACAGCCCATTTAGCCGCCATGGTGAGCTAGATGATTAGTTATTCTAGTTACCCTACTAAGCTTAATTTAATCTTACTACCTTATATAGCTGCCTCCTTTACTACCTTATCTACAGCCTTATTCCCCACCACACCTACATGGGCGGGGATCTAGTGTATCTTAATATTCTCTAGAGGTAGCCTACATATCCCTAGGGCCTGTATACTTCTATATATAGTGTGTAGAATATATTAGCTAGAGGGGTAATATAGGCTCTAGACTACCTAAATAGCAGCCTAGCTATTAGTAAAGAGGGTGAGTAAATAGGGGCTTAGTTCTATAGCTATATCCATTACTATATAGATTCCATCTAGCTCAGCAGTGTACACAGTTAAGTCTACCTCTGTGCCCAGGTGGTTCTAGTAGATCTGTTAGTTACAGAGGTAGATAGCTGAGGCACCTATACAGCCCTAGTAGCTACTGCCATTAGTATAGATAATCATATACTAGTCATCTACCTCTTTATATATCTTATTATGGGTTATTAGTGCAGCTTCATAGTCCTTAATTATGTAATAGAGGGGTGGCTCCTATAGGGGGAGTATATATACTATCTATATTTCTTATTCTTCTAGGTATCTTAGGGTGGGGGCTAGCAGGCCACCTTACCTCCTAAGTACCTCTAGCAGAGTAAGGCTACTCTACTACATCTCTCTAGTTACTTATTACTTCCTAGTGAGTCCCCACAGACATGCAAAATATAGCTCTATCTAGATTTAAATAGCAGTTTCCTTAATAATCTACTACATCTATAGGCAGATTAGTAGTAGGTATAATTCTATATTTAGTACAGCTATAGCAGTCCCTTAGAAGATACTACTAATCAGAATAGCCACACACTTCTGAATCTTAGTGAATTTATTAATAATCTTATTTTATTCCCCTGCTAGGATTAGCCTATTAGTAGGGCTGAACCATGCTACTACCCTATACAGGAGCTGTAGAATAACTATACTATAATAGATTATATATATAGCCTCTATTAAGGCACCCTAGGTTAATCTAGTAATACTTTATAGTGCCTCCAGGCTGCTATTCACGCGGTTAATCACCTTGGTCCAGTAGGTATTAAAGGAAAGGGTTTTATTAAGCTAGATACTAAGGTATCTAGCTAATTTAGTGAGTTGAATAGTAGTTTCCCTATGGTGGATAGGCATTTAATCATAGCCCTTATATTCACCTAGTTCCTAGATATTAGTAGGGCCTGTTGGGGTCAGCTTATAATAGGGGGTTTTAGGTTTCTTTGGGTTAGTGAAGTAAATTAGTTCAAACTTATTAAGGGTGAATCTAATGGCATACCTATCAGCCTAGCAGCCTGCCTTTTCTAGGTACTTCTCCAGGACTGCAACATTCTAGGTATAGTTCTAGCTAATAGTAAGCATACAGAAGTTATCTATCTAGCTAATTAATATTATCTTTACACTGCTAAGCCTGTAGACCAGTGTTTAGATTAGTAGAGTATTAAAAATTAGGAAAAGAATAGGTAATAGGGGGCTGCCTTATAAAATTCTAGTAAGGGTTATAAATAGCTTACTTAGGAATCTAGGTAGCTGTAGGCAGGTATAGTAGTTTAATAGGAAGGATTATAGCTAGTTAGCAATCCATCCTAACTACATGATTCAGATGTTATGCACTAATTATTAGAGGGAGATGTTATTAAATATGCTAGAGATATCTAGAAGGAGTATGCTGACTTTCTAGCCATACCCCCAGGCGCAGTAGATTATATCAAGGATTAGTTAGATAGCATGGTTAATAGAGATGCCTTTCTAGCTGCCTAGGTGCCCCTTTAGGAGCAGATCATGTTCCTCTAGGGCCTAGGACATATATAATACAATGATTAACTCTAGGACCTTGCCCAGGGTATTAAGCAGGGTGATAGGGCAGTATAATTTAGGAAGGCAGAAGTCCCAGGGGGTGGCCTTACACAGGATGACTATTATTAATATCTAGAAGTGCTAGGGGTTATATCTAACTTAGATATAGGTATTAAATAGGGTCTTAAGCACTTAGATAAATATTAGAACTGCTATCAGGGCATGCTAGATCTTATTAGAGATGGCATCTAGCCTAGGCACTTTATCTAGGGGCGCCTACCTAATAGCTTTAGTAATCTCCTAGTTATTAATCTTAGGGAAGATAATATTATATAATTAGTTATATATTCTACCTTTAATATCTAAGAGGTCTGCAGCTAGCAGTGCTAGGAAGAAGGTCTTATAGAGTAGGTTAGCTTTCTACTTAGCTATCTCTATAATATAATCTCTATAGTGAAGGGTAGGGATGACATCTGTCTAGCTATCTCCCTAGTAGTTCTAGGCCTACTTAGTAATGCACCATATGCCCTGGGGGCCTTAATCAACTATCTATTATACATGTTTATAATAGCTGCACTACAGGGATCAGGAGATAACCTTCCCTTTCTAGTTATAGGCCTTAGTGTACGCAGTCCAGTCATTATTAGTATATATGCTAGTATAGATTTATTAGCAGAGACATACTAGCTTAACCATCTTAGTGTATTCAGGCATCTAGTCAGGGTTAGCCTACTTAGAGGGGCAGGCCCACAGCATAGAATAGGTAATAGCTTACTAGATAACTTTAACAAGGTAGTTAGTAGTATCATTAATCTAATAGGGGGTTTCAAGGTTCCTAATCCACCTATATAGGTTAAGATTAGAGAATATAAATACATAGAGCTTCTATGCATCCATAGCCTTCTAGTTATAGTATTTAGGGGCCTGCGGCAGGGGTGTTATAATATTAAAAAGTAGGCAAATTAGTAGGTAGTTAGAATTAGTATAGATATTAGGGGCTACCTCACAGGCTATAAGGCAGGCTATCAGGTCTATAGATCTAAATATTAGATTAATAGTTAATTAGTGGCCCTACTCATCACAGGTAGTAGTGCCTGGTTCTATCTATAGATCTAGGAGTTAGATATTAATTAGTTCTAATAGTTTATTAGACCTAGGGTTAGTATGGTGGACGTGGTCACCACCCTAGGCTGGGTGGTGGAGGTTAAAATCTCCTAGAAGCAGGCAGCTACTATCCTACCAGTCTAGAACCTACTCCAGGAGGTTAAGAGTATTAGTTTAGATATCAGTATCCAGGCATAGATTATAGATATTATATAGGTAGAGTGTTCTAGTATTATAGTATAGCTTAAGCTCCTAGTAGTCCTATAAGTAGGCTATATACTTCTATTTAGTAGGGTCTATCTAGTAAGAGATATAGAGGTAGACCCAGGTATAGCTACTAGTTTCTATTACCTTAGAGTAGAGTAGCTAGTGAGTTACTTAAGCAGAATAGTAGGTGGTATCTTAGTATAGGTTATCCTATAGTTCCTAGATAGTAATAATATCTACTTTTAGGACCTCTGGGTTGTGCAAAAACTAAGCTATTACTATATTCTTAGAGCAGTGCACATTATATTACAGAATTTAGAATGTTCTATTTATAGGTATGGTGTGGAGTGTTCTATATACTCTTTTAATAGCTGCTAGTGAACTAGGGCATCCCTATAGAGAAGTTAACCTAGGGGTCCTTCTCTAGCTATAAGGGGCTATTAACCCCCTATTTCTACTTCTTCTTCTTCTTAGCCTGGGTGCTAGAGTTAGTGTTAGTGTCCTTATCTTACAGGACTAAGCTAGGCTGCCAGTCACTCTTAGAGGTATTAGAGAGCTTAGTAAGGCTATTCTCATCATTAGCAGCAGCATTATTATCCTAGTATATATTAAGGTAGGACCCATGCACAGTAGTGGTCCATTAGTTCTATAGCAGCTTTAGGGGGTGGTCATCATTCCTATTAATCAGGTTTAGTAGATTAATATCATTCAGGCAGTCCATAATTTAAGCAGAGCAGTAAGAGATAGTAGAGCTAGTTTAATTTATTAGGGCCTTCCTAGGCGCCATCAGGGCTTTAGGGTATAGCTCTAGGGGGGTAAATAAGATGCTATCAACATCCTAATCTAACATAGATATCAGGGATAATGTTAAGGTAGGCGCCTGACCACAGGGTGGCTACTTATAAGATAGCTCTAATCTTGCCTTCTTAGGCCCCTTAGATGGTCTAGTAGCCTTTTTTACTATAGTAGTACCCTTAATGCCCTTAGGTTCCTCTATTTACATGGGGGAGCCCTCTACTAAAGTGTCTAGGGTGGATACCAGGGGGGAGGCACTTAGTATAGTAGTAGAATCTAAGCTACTACTCTTAGAATCTCTTTAGAAGTCTTATAAGTAGGGTGGAATATAGTAATATTACTAGTAATAGTAGAAAGCTACCTATATCTTATCTACCTCTTCTATATACTTCTTACATCCTTTAGACTAGGCAGTATATACACCCCTATAGTTAGTATACTTTCTTAACTCCTAGCTAGTGGCCTGCTAGAGCAGGTAGTTATAGGTCTTATAACTACCTATATAGAGGCTATAGATAGTTTTATTAGAATAGATACTTTCTATATAGCTATATTACTGATAGTTAAAGCACTAGTAGATATAAGTAGACTGGTTATATAAGACTATAATTAGGATAGTAGAATCCTAGATAGTTTCCTTATTAATAGCTTTATTAGCAGCCTAGGGGGTAGAAAACTTAATTACTAGGATAGAAGACTTCTTATTAGTAGGCTAGTTTATAAGCTAGGTAATATAGATAATCTTTATTAAATTATCTTATATAAAATAGTTTATAGCTAGTAACTAGTTAGTAACTTACTTAGCCTCCTTAGGGTCTACTAGATTACTAATTAATTTAACCTAGATATTATAAACTACTATACCCTAAGTTAGCAGGTAGATAATAGTCCCCTAGTAGAATAATTTAGCCTAGCTAGGGTAGTAGCATGTAATCTCTACTTACTAAGTAATTTATAGGCTAAGGCTTAAATTACCTAACTTAAGCTAGTAGGTAGCTATAAATTTAATAGATATAAAGATAGCTACTATAGTCTCCTTTAAGGCCTTTATATAGGTCTTCTTAGCCTTATTCTTTATCTCTACTATCTTTAGGTACTAGAACATGCTTACTATACTAGTATCTAGTAGTTTAATAATAACCTTATAGTCCTTACTTAGTTCTAAGAGGGTAGCCCTAGGACTGCTTAAGAAGCTATAGAAGGAGATTATATAGCCTAGGGGGGGTGCCCCTGCAGTAGTAGCTATATATAATTAAATCTTAGTAGATATAGGAATAGATTAAGTAGTTAGAATATACTAGGTAGAGATAGTATTCTTCTTAATATTAAGAGTAATCTACTAATCTTATAGAGGTTAGTAACTACCTTTCTCTAGTTATTACTTAGGGGGTTTTTAAAGACCTCCTTAATAATAGTATATATATTAGTAATTAGCTTAATAAGAGGCTTTAGAATTCCTTAATTATAAATCTTTAGATGGTTCAAATAGACACTTATATTATAGTGAAGGTCTAGGATATAATTATATAGAGTTTTCTATGGCCCCTTTTCACTACTATAGGAGGCTATTAGGGGCGGCTACCCTGGCTTTAATAATAATATAGTAATTAAGACTCTATAAGATTAGGATTAATTAAAAGTGGTCGTCGTCATGAGAAATTAGGCAAATTTTAGGGTTAAAAGACATTAATTTAGGTAAGAAATTTCAAAAATTTGTTCTGCGTCAAAGTTGTTGTTTTTTTTTTTTCACAGAGTTTACCATTGCTGATATGTCTCTCCTCCAACACTTCATCACCGACGCTCATCCACACCTGCCGGTAGGTAATGATGATGTCTATAGGCGAGCGCTTCCGGCGCTTACGTATAAAGTAAGGCCCGTGTGGAAAATGACGAACCTAGAATCTGCTTGCTGATACTTGGACCAGCATGAATATGTGATGCACGCCATTCTTGCTCTTTCCTCCTCACATCTAGCACTTCTAACCTGATCCGCACTCCCTGTTGAGGCCTTGAGACATCGCCAACGGGCGCTCCGAGGACTAATTCAAGCAATGTCCCAAGCGCCAGCCGAGGCCAGCGACGCTGACGCAATGTTGGCAGCTTGCTATATGTTGACCTTTCAGTCCTCGTACATGCTTGATGGCCTTTCTGATTATATCATGATGCTCCGAGGTTGCGGCTTAGTGACCGGATTGATGCGACAACGGAACCTGCATGGATCTTTCTCGATCGATGCAAATTCGCATATAAAACACATGGAAGCACAATTTGGCCGGTTCCCTACAATCGATAGTCGGATTGCCTCGGACGGTATTCGCTCACTGAGTCTTGTGAAACCTCTGTTAAAGCAGCCAGTCGAAGAAATCTTCTACCAGCTTTTATTTGACGTCCTCGTTCCTCTCGAACAGGCGGCCCCCTGCATGGCTTATGTCCATTTCACCCACATCATCAACGAGTTTATCGCTTTGCCTCAATCCGAGGTCCACCATCTCCTTGATCCTGAGAATCAGATTTCGCAGGTGTTAATGGCTCATTTCCTCGTCATACTGGCCATCCTTTCCCCGATAACGTCGTTGGAAGCAACTAGTCGACTTTGCAATGTTCCAATGGCGGGAATGTTGTCCTGGGTTGCCAATATATGTATGCAGATGTCTGGGAAAAAGGCCGAACGATACCTTACGTCGCCGAAAAGTGTGGTAGAAACAATCCGTGCTAACACCAGCCGAACGGGTGTGTTGGTTGATGACCTTCTGGTCTTGATTTTGAACTCCCCAGATAGACTCCTCCTATCACAACATGATATAGCCTGATAGACATAAATTTGTGCTGATATTTGTCTCGGTCTTGACATTTCCGGCTTACTCAGCACCTCGGGCTTAGACGTGGCAGACTCGGAGGCTCGGGCGTTGTTCCCAAATTCAACCTTGAAGCCATGCCATGAAAGCATCCTCAGCCCCCCTTTCGGCATAGCTGCTCGCTTAATTAGATCTTACTGCCGACACACCTGCCATTCGGGCCAGCTAGATGGGCAGCACCGCCCCTGCGCCTTATGGAGGCCGACTGCGAAGTGCCTGTGACCGGTGCCGACAGCGGAAGGTTCGTAGAGGACACGTGACAGCTCGGGAATAGAGAGAATGCTTCAAACTAATCACCATCGCTCGATTTCCAATCCTCACAGATTCGTTGTGATAGAGCCAAACCGGCCTGCGAGGCTTGTCATTTTGCCTCCACTCCTTGTATATTTACTCCGCTACCGATCCAGCCGCGGAAATCGGTCCGCGAGTAAGGTTGGCCCCTTCCACAGGCATGTGATATCAATCCGGATTGACACTCCATGATCAGACAGTTGCAAGACACTAGAGCTGAAGTTCGCCGATTGGAAGAGGCCTTGAGAGCGGAGAGGGGTTCCCGTCAGAGTTCCAGTCCCAGTCTCCAGCAATCTCCCGGGCTCGTCAATGATCTCTTCGATTCTCGTGGCTTCGACGTGACGTTGAAAGCTTTTCGGTGGCACCTTGCATACTGCACGCCTGGGTTCGCTGCGTCAATTCAGACCGATCCCACGTTCGACCTGGAGGAGCTGTTCGACCGGGTGGCGGATACATTCGACTTGCAGTTCCGCACAAAACCTGCCCGAGTAGTCTTGCCAAAATGGCCTCCATACCGCCTGATCGAGTCCTCTCTGGAATACTTTAAGAGTAACAGATTGTACTCAATCCATCCGGTTGTTGACATCGATGCACTGGGCTGTCTACTGGACACTTCCGATCTCGATGACTCCGGGACTGCGACTATGGCCGACTGGGCCTGTTTAGCAGCCTTGACGGCAATGATTACTAGAATTCGTCGGCAAGAGCCTGCATTTGCTGATGCGGATCCCGATGCTTACGTGCAAGCAGTGCTTTCCGTGTTACCACAGTTGATAATGGAACATACAAACGTCCGAGCTCTGGAAGCTTTGATTATCCTCGTAAGTCAATACTCTGCCAAGTTGTCCCATCCCCGCGTCTGATATCAAAGGCACTCTATATCGCCCCTTTGGGTCAACCGCAAACAGCAGAAACACTACTCGCTATGGCTGTGCGTATCCTCTTCAATCTGGGGGCACACAAAGCTAAGGCGACTTATGAAACTGCTGCCCAGAAGCATCAACATCAGCACTTGCGGGCTCTGTTCTGGACCTTTTATGCCGTGGATAAAGAAATGTCGCTTCGAAAATGTCAACCGCCGATGATCAATGACGCTGACTGCGACTTGACTCTACCCGATAAGTATGTTGCACAGTCGTCTGAGCACCAGTTCTTCACGTCTGAGTTGTCACCCAAAGAGCTGCTCTATCCCTCGGATCTACGTCTCGCTATGCTCAAATCAAAGGTGTATCATTTGCTCTATTTTGAGCAAAGTTTGAGCCATTCAAGAGCCAGACGACTTCAGCTCATCCGCGAACTAGACCAGGAATTGACTGACCTGAAGGCGCATTTTCCCGCTGCTTGTAAGCCTGATGCCGTTGTGAGCGGAAACGTGCCAAATTACCTTATCCATGATCTCAGTTTACGGGGCGTGAATGTGCATCTCGAGTACTACCACTGTCTTTCTAAGATTCACGGTGCGAGCGCCATCGGCACCCCGGTTCTGCAGAGTCTGTCTCCTCCATCTACAAGTATGGAGTTATGTTATCAGGCGGCACGATCCACTTTGATATATCTGCGTCGAATTCGCCATTTGATCTTCCCTGAAACATTCTGGTAAGCGGCAGCATTGACTAATGGTTCCAGTAGTTCTGACGTACCCTTACAGGATATATGCGCAAATCCTTCTGACCTCAAGTATTTCACTCTACATTCGCATACTATCGGCTCCCAAACAGTGCGGAGTCAGTGATGATATGCAGCTCCTAGAGAGCACAATCGATGTATTTCACCAGCTAAATTATGTCAAACCAAGCAAGCGTTTTCCGCCCTTCGTTATCATTGAAGCTTTCATCCAAAAATTGACATTTCTGGCCGAGCAATCTCTGTTGGAAGCTGCGGACTAAGACCATGCCGTCCATGTTGCTGAAACATTGTGCGATGGGCGTCTGAGTGTTATCAACCTGCAATCGCCTACAAAATAGGGCGGATGTAGGATGCCTCTTGCGCCCATCCGTACAAGGTACCTGGGATATTGGGATCATACCTTCGAATCTTCCATTTATGATGCTTTTAGTCATGATCACTGTGATCAATAATATATGCAAAGCGATCACATGATATGAGGTGCATCAGAACAGCAGTCATGTGATCATATCATGTCAACAACTGCCCTCAGAAAAAGGAGAACTGCTCATACTCTTCGGGGCCATATTTGACAACAAGCGAGTCCTCTTCTGTTCAAATATTCGAATTGATAAGGCTTCCCAAAGGCCATATATTGAACGTATGGATTTTGATGACATTCAACTTCGGCAGTTCAACTCTCTCAAACAAGAGTGGATCAGGCTGTGTTCCACCTCATCAAAGGGAATTTGTGACCTAGCAAATCGTTACCGAAAACGCGATGACTGCTTGCTCCGGTCAATGCACTCTGGCTCATTCAATTTCAGTCTAAGATTGCATTGGGAAGATGGTGGCGAGGACTGGCTGATTCGGTTTCCGTTGCCAGGAAAATCGATGTTCCCAGACGAGAAAGTCCACAGAGAGGCCGTACTCATGGAATTCATCGGTAGCAGGACCCAGATTCCCGTCCCCCGTGTCATTGCTTATGGAGCAGCGCACGAGAATCCTACTGGTCTTGGGCCCTTCATCATCATGACCTGGATTGAAGGTAGGAAAATGTCAGAGATTCTTCGAAAAGACAGGCCAGGGAAGGAAGATATTTTGAACCCCGACATTGACCCCCGAACGTTGGGGCTACTTTATAGCCAGATGGCAGAGATACTACTGGAGCTCTGGAACCTCAACTTCGATAGCATCGGTTGTCTAGGTCAAGACAAACAAAGTGGGCAGTATATGGTTGATGGCCCGCCTTTGACATTGGAAGTCAACGAGCTCATGCGGACCTGCGGGTTGGGAAACCGCACTCCGTCAGGCGTATATCACAGCTCTACCGATTATATTGCATCGTTGTTGCAACTGCAGTCAACTCACCTGAGGGAACAACGGAATAGCGTGTATGATTTCGAAGATTGCCGGGAGAAGTATGCTTGTCGCCATCTGATGAAAGCTATAGCCTTGGATTTCATTTCCCAGGAAGATAATCACGGACCTTTTAAGTTGTTCTGCGACGACTTCGGACCTGGCAATGTACTTGTGGATGACTCTCTCCACGTCACGGGAGTTATTGACTGGGAGTTTTGCTATACAGCTCCCATTCAATTCGCCGGTGGTATTCCATCGTGGCTCCTTCTTCAACGGCCTCATCGAATTATTAATGAACTTGGTGCTGCCGGCTTTCTCGATATGTTTCTCCCCAGAGCAGAGGTTTTTCTGAACTGTTTGGAACAGAAGGAGGGAATCACTGGGGCTAACCCTGAGGACAGACTTTCAGCACGTATGCGAAAATCAATCGAAGACAGGAGCGCCTGGTTTATTCTTGCCGCACGGATGGTATCATCCGTTGACATGATCTATTGGGAGTTACTCGATGAATTCTGCTGGGGAACGCGATCATCCATTGCAGAGAGGATCCACACCGTCACCACAATTCCCGAAAAGCATAAAGAGCGCGAGAGGTTCGTGCGTCTCAAAGTTCGCCAGCTTCAGGAATACTATACCGAGCTGGGTGAAGAAACAACAGTCGAATATGAGGAAGAGAGGTTTACAAAACCAGAGGAAACTTTCGACCATGGGACAGACTGTGCTAAATTGTCTTCTTCACGCTCTGTTACAGCCCTGGGTACAGGAAGCCATGTCTCTCTACCGCTTTGTATTGGTTTCTTTTCACTGGGCTGCGCGGTTGGCCTTTTAGCAAAGAGATTTATCGTCAGGTGACAGTCTACTTCAATTAACATTCGCATGCATGCTGGCATGGAGAGTATGTCCTTAGCAAATATTCACTGGTTTATACAGCAGGGTTAAAGTCCCTTATTCATTATATCAGAGAATCCATTTACCTCGTTGCACACGCATTTTCTACATGTATTGACCCTCGCTTCTCTAGCTGTACTATGTAGAAATGGCTTCAAAACCACGTTGGCAGAGACATTGTCTGGTATACATATATAGTAGTAATTCATGTTGCCTTTGGCCGAAGTTTTTCATGCAATACAGGGGCGACTTGAATTCTTCAAACAATTGAATGATTTATCCCATCGAACATTACTTCCAGGGTAGCCTTGCGGCCACATGCGAGTCTGTTCTTCTGCATAATCGAGGGGCGTCTTGTTTAGGTTGATGTTAGCCAAATCGGGATTCTTTAATTTGAACTCCTCAGGGTTCGCATCATATTCTTCTTCAAGCTTCGCCAACTTCCGCTTATTAGAACGTCGCACCAAGAGTTCGCCATACTCCCAAGGGCCATCCAAACGACCCTTCTCCTTCCGACAATAATTAACCGCATCAAGAGGATTCTTCGCCTTCATCGGCTCGCAATGCGCACGCTGACCAAGGACATCCTTGGCCTTCTTCAACGAAGTATTTTTGTCAAGAAATTGACAAACACCCTGGTAATGACAAGTTTTCAACTCCCCTTCCTTGAGTTGATAAAGAAGATACTGCATCTTTGTCTTATCAAACACAAGACATTCCATAGGATTGTTAATAGTGAATACCCACCAAGTCGCCTTAACACACGGCATCTTAAAGACTTAAAAGAACTTTCGCACCACGTGACAAAGGGAGCGAAAAAAGGGTAGCCCAAAGTAATATCCGAGATCACTTACCAATGGCTCTTAGCTACCCTTATATAATCAACTGGGCAACAAGCCCACGGCGGGGGGTAATACTATGCTCCCGTTGGTCGCCCCCCCGCCTTTTGGCATTCTCTGCCAAGAATTACTGTATGTAGTAATTTACTCAGTCTCACAGTCTCATGCCAAGAATAGCCTGTTCCGGAAGCGGTCAATCTCTGACCGCCTTTTTATCAACGGCAATACAGTCTCAATACAAGCGACTGCCCCTTACCGGGAGTAACCCGCCAACCGCGAGCGGCCCCTCCCGCAATACCTGCGGGTCCCTCCGTATCCAAATTTCCCCCAAAGGGGAAATAAAGTCGAGTCTCAAGTCTCAACTTTTTGGAGCAAAAGCGAGAGTGTTCTGCTGCGCCTCAGTCGATAGAAGTATAATAACTCAGGATACAGGTATAGATGCAGGAAACAAGACGCAAAGAATTTTATGACTTCTCCATAGAGCATTCAAGTTTATACATTGTAACAGTTCTTCCTTTCCAGATGGCATTGTCACCAGAAGCCATCATTGCTATGATAGCTCTTTTTGTTGCGTGTATTCCAGGGTTACGATTCATCATCAACTCTTACCAGACGAAGTACAGACAGCAAGATGGAATCCAGAACACAAGCCACTCACAGGCTGCGACATCCCATCCTATTGTCCAGCCTCCTGAGCTACTCCAGGCCTCTAATGTAGTCTCCAACATAGGTAAAGTCATTTATTTCATTTACTCGGATTTCTTCTTTCTGACCTCAATCTACTCCGCAGATCAAGCTCATAGTCGCCCTGAGATTCCCGAACGTCCCCAGATTGATGCTCCTCCGTCTGGAGCCTCTCCGATGGACCGGGCCTCCCGCCGTCCCGAGCCCCACCTCCATCAGCTATTTCCATTTCTCGAGTCCCTGTCCGTTTGGCTAAGGAGACCCGACACTGCAATACAACCAGCTCAACTTGAAGCTGGGTTTTATTGGGTCCGCGGGGTGAGTCACTCGGATACTCCCGATTTTTTTTGGTCCTTTGCTAATCACAACCTTGGCGGTTTCTAGGACCTTAACACGGTCAATCTCGAGAATCAGCGCTTGATCGACCCGGATGCTAATAGTATTGACGACAATTATTGACCGGAATGCATATAATCCTGGCTTCATGGATGGAATCGGATTTACAATGGGTTTGGAGCATGCTGCAAACGTTATGGCAAGCAATCCATGGTTAGTTATGGTGCCGGATGTCCTCGTGGTTTGTTGGAGTTATAGACTTAGATTACTTTATTCTTATTTCTGATCTTTTTTTTGGATTCGTTTTGTTTTTTATGGAATTGTATAAACCTTGTCATGTGTGCCCTGCCCCTGCGTTCTGTGCATCTACTGAACCCAGCAGGCTATCACGTGATTTGCGTAAAATTCTTGGTCATACCTTCGTATTCGTGTAACAACCAGAAAGGTGCTCCCGTCCCTGATAACTGGTGCAACAAAGCATACACTTGGGCTAAGGACTATAAAGCTGGATCTGTTTTAAGACGGAGGAAGTAAGTAACGATGTATCCTAACGTTACCAGTCCCTATGGTATTGGGATGAGGGGCCATCAAGTGACTCGGCAATGTTAGAGAGCAAGACATGGCCTATCCCTCAACCTCACATAACTCTAATCCATTTAACCGGTAAATCGCAGTAGTAAAAGGCGAATAAAACTGGGAGCCATAAAACTTATATATATAGGCAATGCTAGATCGGCATCTCCCCAGAGAACGAACTACATTCTTCACGCATTGTAACATTGTACCCTCAATATAGCCATAAAACTCTCGACACTCCGTGCCGTAGCACAGTCCGTGCATTGTCTTCTCCCATGATCTGCTCTTCCTACCCCATTAGAGCAGTCCACGGCATCTAAACCTGCATTCGTTCTTGCTGGAGACTCAACTATGCCGCAAAAGTATTACATATGCTTATGATACTAGTTTGGGCACAATGACCAGAAGTCAACGTCTGGAGTCTCCATCTCGCAGTTTACGGCAAACCTGGAGAAAATGGTAGCCGATGTCCGGTCCGCGGGGGGATCCCCAGTAAGTAACAAGTCCGCGTACGTGTGCGATTTCTACTAACGTAAAACCCAAGATACTGGTGACTTCTCTGAGCCGTCGAAGCTTCGACTCTTCAGGCCATGTGATTCCCTCGCTGGCGAACGTCTTTGCTGCAACCAAGGCCGTCGCAAAGGCTACAAACTGCGAATATGTGGATCTGAACAAAGCGTCAACCGACTATCTGAACAGCATCGGCGCAGAAAAAGCAGCAACGTACAATCTCTCGCCCAAGGATTATACGCATCTGAATAATCATGGAATGACCCTCTTTGGTAATATGATGGGTTGGCTCTTGCAGACCACTATTACCGACAGCTCGAAGATTGCGCCTTATATTCACCCGCGGAGTGACATGGTAGTGGCTATTGAAGATGGCAACTACATATATCCTTCCTGAATGACGCAGGCGATTGAAACCATGGTTAGCCTTGTTAGTGACAAGGTCGTAAAATGTTACAAGTCTGATGCTCCATGGGACCAATATTCTTAGCCACCTCTGTCACGGGTAATGCCACGGATTTTGTATTCTTCGGAAAGCTGAGATCTTCAAGAATGTGCTTGATAATATAACCAGTGGTTTCCGGAGTCACTAAAACAGTGATAGGCTTTGACATTTTGGAAGTGAGAACTATTTCCTCTGTTTAATAATATTGTTGAAGCCCTTTATCTTAATGAGCATTCCCATTGATCTTTTTATCTTCATTGTCCTAACATCAGAACAATATACATACAAAGGTCATGACTAAGAGCCTAGTAGATCATCCTCCGTGATTAAACGTACAAACTGAGACCTCACAGCCACACGCCAACTGTAATTATATTACTGCAGTTGCTTCGAAGATTAGGCAGGTTGGGACTCCAAGCGACCGAAATATAAACAAATAAGCTTTCGGCTGTTGCCTGACCTGTTCCATGGACGATGAGATAAAGTTCCCCTATGTCAAGCGACTCAAGCCAACCCCTTTTTTGAACATCTGCTATCTGCTTTGTTCCTCCGCCTTTGGCTAGTCCTTTGTACACCAGACGACAGGTACAGATTAGGTAATCTTTCATGGTAGTGAGATCAAATAACCAATAGTCCATGTAGAAAGATAAGACTGGAGACACGTAGCAACACCCGGAGTAAGCCAACCACATTCTTCCACCTAGAACATCCCCCGATCGGATCTACAGAACATGCCACCATGTCGAAAACCCTCTTTGACATTGTCTCTGAGTTAGATAAGCATGTATCCCTACAGCTCTCGCACATTCAATGCATAAATACTAATACATCGTAGCTTCCCATACTACGAGGATGAACCAGCCCGCTTCACAGAAACACTCAACTCCTACCATGCATTCAAAGTACAAGGCATCGATGCAACTCTCGGATACGTCCAAAACACACTTGTACAGAGCATCTCATGGCCAAAGGAGCATTGGATAATCGACTCCGGGGCAATTATCCTACTGAACCCACCAGGCAATGCATCGTCCACACGCACTCAAATCATTCATGACTCAATCAACAGGATGATTGAAGCCGGATACAAGGATATCCTAAAAGGCTGGCGCAACGAGCGATTCCCAGTCTACGGACCCGGCGGCGACATGATTCTGGAGATTGAACGTTCCGCGAGCGCCCTATTCGGCATTGTAACGAGCGGCGTGCAGATGCTCTGCTACGTCAAAGATGCAAAAGGCATTCGCCTCTGGATCGCCAAGCGCTCGATGCAGAAACAGACCTATCCGGGTATGTTGGATTGCACTGCCGCCGGGGCCCTGAGTGCGGGAGAGTCGCCGCGAAGTGCGATGATCCTCGAGGCTACAGAGGAGGCGTCTATCGAGCGCGAGATCATCGAGAATGGCATGAGATACGTCGGGGCTATCTCGTATTTTCACATGAAAGGCTCGTCTATTGCTTTGAGCGAGGGCGCCTCAACGGCCGTTCTGTTACCCGAGGTCGAATACCTATATGAGCTTCAGCTAGACGAAGGTATTGTTCCCCGGCCGAAGGATTCGGAGGTGGAAGACTTTCGGCTTTGGAATGTGGACCAGGTGCTTGTCGCCTTGGGCAGGGGAATGTTTAAACCGAATAGTGCGGTTGTGGTCATCGACTTTTTTATTCGCCATGGCGTCATATCACCAGAGACAGAGCCAATGTATGAAGAGATTATAAGAAGACTGCATCGGCGGCTACCGTTTCCTACTGCAGTCTGGTCGATATAATCATGCACATAGCTTGATACCTTATTATCCGAGCCAGTGGAAAGATGGCGGGCAAACCAAATTCATGTATGCTACACTTAGGCTATTATTTGCATCTCAGATTCAGATACCAACCGGTCGAGGTTCGTATTCCTGAATATTATTATACTCGAGACAGCGTTTTGTGTTGTCAGGGATCTCTCCTCAGACTCGGGAATATTATACTAGATTCTCGCTCAATACATGTCTCCAGAATATGGATGCTGGATAACAGCCCTACAGGCCATCGGAATGCAAGAGGTGGGGGGGGTCAGTTAGCGTTAGTTGAAGGGGTCGGTTAAGTACCTGGCATGGCCCTATCTGTTTTCATCCTACTATGATCAATTCCGAGGCAGCAACCATTTCGTGAAATCTGTTCTCTTCCTTTCTCGGATTTAATCAGATGGATGCAGATAAACAACCTTCTACATCAATTCCTTACTCTTCCTCCTCAGCAGTCCCTTCACAGCGGATCAGGACTCTTAAGAGCATTGTACAAAACCCATTGAGGTAAGTACAGTTCTATATACAGTGAACTAGGATATGAGGAGCTGAATTTTTAGTCTAATTTTGATCGTGCTGTTCACTACGCTTGTATGATGGGTGTGGAGTTACATGGGGTGGCCTAATGGAGGAGACTTGGCCCTGTCACTTAATACTCTCTTGCTGCTTCTTTATTATGTCATATCACAACATGTTGATGAGCTCTAAGGAAATGATGGGTTGTGTCACAAAAAAGGTTTGTTTACCTCCTTGGAGATGTACTGCCTACTCCATACAATCTATATATCTTTTCTTCTAACTATAAACCAAGTATTAATGTGCTAGGTAGCATTACCAAGAAAGTTTCAAGTCTTGGAGCCAGCAAATCAACCAGTAGCAACTGGCAGTCTCTTGTGTCCGCTGAATACTCATGATATTCTGAAAAAGCCAGACTAGTATAAATCCGATTCTTCCAGTGCATAGCCTTTAAGTACTTAAGGTACCACATCGGTAGCTCCAGGTCTCGTCTGATGTCTCATGTTTTCTTCGCGCCAAGCCTAAATATTTGTACAAAGCGGCCAGAATGAATTTTTGAGCACTACTCCGTACTCCGTACCTCCGATGTGATCAAGACACAATTGATGGGGTCATCCAGTCAGGGCTCCAGTCTGAAATCATCGGAGAGTTGACGAGAATGGAGGGTCCACGGTAGTTTTGCGAGGCTGGGGCCGCAGACGATGGCCACTTTGGTCTTGCTGGAGCAGCATAAACGGGGCATATCGTGCGTTTACGGGTGGTGAGCAGGAGTAGCGAAAAGGTAGTGCTTTCGATCAACACAAGAATTTGACATTTCCTTATCGATCTGTTATGCTCACTGTCTCCTGCTCACGCCGGGTAGCATTGGATGGATCACCATTGTAAGAGTAGGAAGGCGACATTTAGTCTTGGTAAATTCAAGCAGTCATTTAGCACTTGGCAAAGACTTTAGAGTATGCACACTCTAGTGGAATAACAAGCAGTAGGTCTCAGTAGTCGAAACCGCTCGCTATTCCGTAAAGGAGGAGTCATCCACGGAAGCTGGTAGTCCCCGTAGGCAACCTCGACAGAATCAAATCCACACTTTCTGAGAACACTGGCCGAAGCTTTATTTTCCGTGTCGCACCAGGCCTCGAGAACATCGAACTCAGGCCGGCCTTGCCAGAACACTTCCTTAAAAGCCGTTAAGGCTTCGGTGGCAAATCCCAGACCCCATGTATCGCGATGAAAGATGAACCCAAGTTCAGGCACTGGGTCGGATTTCCAGGTCCCAATCCACCCCAGGAACGCTCCAGGAGTTATGTAGCCGCTAGAGAGCCGCGAGTGCTCTCCCTTCTGCTTCAGAGACTCCATGATATCGGAATCCAAATCTTGACGGAGTAACACAGCGTAGTTCTCGCCAGTCGGATTGAGCTCAGGCAAGAGCTCAGCCATCCATTCTTTAGCAGCCTCTAAAGTATTGCAGGGGCCGTGGCTGCTCCATTTCGTAGCCTCTGGGTCCTTCCACATTGAGAAGTAACCACGCAAATGGTCTTCTGTCAAGCGGACCAACTCTAGTCGAGATGTTTGCATTGTGAATATCAACCTATATCACTGGGAAAACAAATTCTAGAGTACAATGAGTAACACTTCTAAGAGAAGGGGAAAGGTGGCATTTAAACCGGCGATAGTACTCAGTTGCTGAAAGAGTCGGCGTCCGAAATGGGAAAGGGCCAATAGTGGCGGTGCTGAACAATAATCATAACTGACTCGATAATAATGACTGGGACCCTCGGGCAGACTGGTTCGATGTTGGAATAATTTACATATTAAATTTAGTATTCGAGACCCCTACGGTATGAGCATTCGATATCAATACTATGCAATGATATATCTCTAGTATACAAGAATGATAGCTCAATGGTTTATTCATTTTATGATCGCATCCTTTTGGAAATAGGGGCCATAGGTAATACAAGCAGGTGACAGTAGCAAATTTGTTTTGGCTGTTTTGTACATTCATTCCGCCGTAGGTTGCCCTTTGTTGTACTTACTCCACTGTTGCATGTGGGCACGTCCACTGCCTAGTTAGAAACAACTTTCAGTTTGACTTTTGTAAGCCTTCTGCGCGGTCTCTCTGAGGAACGCCTTGACGTCGGCTTGGACGAGCTCGTGCTCCCTGCGGGCCCATTCTTCCCACAGGGCAGCAAGATTCCCGTTCCACACTTTGAGACAATGGCCCAAGTCGGCCAATTTAAGCAATAACATACAGGCTATTCACTTACAACGGCCCTCTCTCCGCGGAGAAGGACGGCCGAACGAAATTATGCTTACACCACCATACCAGCCACCACCGCACCCACCAGCATCATCGGCGCTACTGTCCTGCCTGCGACATTCCCAAAAACCGTTGTGCTCGTGGCAGAAGTACCTGCTACCGTCGCACCTGTAGTAGAACCCGTCGTTTTGTTCGTTGTAGCAGCTGTAGCAGTCGCAGCGGTGCCAGTAGGGAAAGGTCCCGTCCCTGCCACAGTCAAGGTAGCAGACAGGATTTCCCTAATCTCGGTTCCAGGGAGAACATATGTCCTATCATGAGTCACGGTGTGAGAGCGAATGTGATATGACTGGCTGTACGAGCAAGTGGCGGTGGTCGGTATGGGCGAGCCAGTAAAGGTGCACCCGGTGCTTGTAAAGCTAGAATCATCAGCGCCGTAGCAGGATTATTCCCACGGTAGGACTTACTACCCATAGTCGCTCATGATGAAGTCGTAGGCTGCGTGATCTGGTCAGTCATGTCCGTTGTCCGGGTACATCGAAGACCTACAGCTGGGAGCAGCGATAAATGTCGCATCTGGATCAAACCTGATACAGGCCGTTTCGTCACTTGCTGGAGGGCAATTGATTGCGTACGTCGTCGTGTCCCCGTTCTTGAGTGGTGATCAGAAATAGGACAGTCCATGGCGTCAGTAAACATACTTCACCTATCACGCGTCCCTCATAATCCTGCCAGTAGTTCCCAGAACTTGCAAAGCCTACCCATGGCATGGTCTGCTTGGTATGAACATCATCAATACAGTTTATGGAAATTATGCGTGATGCACTTACTAGGACAAATTCCGCCAGACTGAGCTTGACACAGCCCAGCGGGACTAATAATGACAGCGTGTACATGAACCGCATTCTGGGCAGGCTGACCTGGAGGTAAAGATATCTGAGCTCTCTGAGTAGAAATGTTGGGAATGAGCATGATTTATGTTTACCCTCTGCTGACTATTTTTGCAATATAGGACACCTCGCTTCTCTGAGCTAATGCCTAAGTCTAACCCACTAGTTTCTTCTTAGGTTGCATTCAACCCAGTGGTAAAGCCAATCATACGGGTTTCAGGCCAGTAGCTTGGAACAAGACGAATCAAATCAAGCATAACGTCTCGCCAAGCAAGGTCTTACCATAAGTCCTGACTCATTGTCTAAGAGGGTGATTGCGGCTGATTTGAAGAAGGATTGCTGGCCTATCTGTCAAGGTATATCGACGGAGCTGAAGCAGATATGATACTTTACGAAAGGTATATTTGATTATTCCTTGGTGTCAGAGAGATGAAAGTCATAATCAGATATCCCGCTCTTGTGGCGTGGAGAAAGGTAAAACTGGTGATGCAATGCCCCATATCGCCGTCAGCCCTTTCATTCTCTCCATCCGGAGCTGCTAACGGCGCAGCGGTATCAGCTGACCTGACAGCAGCGGTAGTTGGATGCAAAGACATTGTGAGCAGTTCTGCATGCTTCGATTCCATAGTATATCCCTATCTGTTTATGACCAGGGAGCGAATATTCAGCGCAATCCAATATACCAGGAGACAGTATAATATGATCGCAGATCTTGGGATCAGTATAGATGGAGGTGTCCTTCCCGTATTCTCGGTCTCTATGACTATTGTGGAATTTGGAAAGATCTCCATAATACCAATTATTTCAACCAGTGCACAGCGGCCACGGTCCACCATCGAGCCATTGTCCCGCGAGCTCACCAGCTCAGTTCACACTCGCAGTCCACTGCGACACTCTCAAAGTGGCAGGGCCGCCAGTGAACGGCTCAGTTCCGAATTGCATGTCTACACCTGTCAGTAGCACTCCAGCAAATCAGCGACAGACTTACTGATCAGGTACTGGCTCGAAGCAGGGTAGCCATGGTTGCTTGTCAGATAGTCCCAAAAGTCCATGACATCCCCGCTGAAGGAGGTAATCGGGGTGACAGAGACAAAGCTGTACGTCTTCTGGGTACTGCCGCCGTACCACAGCTCCCACGTATGGCCGCCAATACTGGCGGTGTCGATCTGCGAGCCGATGGGCTGGACGCTACCGTAGCGAGCGAGCCTATACCAATAGGTTAGGTCTAACTAGTCTGACCTGAACACAGGCTCATACCAAATCATCAGTTCATAGTCCCCGCTGTAGGTGACATGGTTGATATCCGCAGCTGTGAACAGATCGTACGCTACGTCTGCACGAATGTTCGTATTATCGTAGCTCCACTGCGCGGTGGTTGGGATACTGCTGATCTGGCTGACAAGCTTTTTGGTCAGGGCGACCTGCGAGTTGGCGTAGCTTTTGACCTGGTTGTCGCCGCCGGACCACGTCCAGGTCGTGTGCCAGGCTACGTCGGAAGTGGAGATGCTGTCGACGTAGGTGCATTGGGAGCCGGAGCCGGAGCTCTCGCCCCAGAGGTTGTTGTTGACTGTATACCGGCCGTTGCTGTAGGTGGCATATTGGTCACAGAGGGTATGAGCAAGGGCAGAGGAGAACAGAGCTCCAAGGATTGCGAAAGACTTCATGTTTTCCTGCAGCAAATTCTCTCATAAACGCTTGGGCTGGAAGACAATTGACTCAGAGCAAGACTTGGACGGTCTCCTTTATAGATGCTGAACCGTAGGTGAAAACCACTTCCTTTGGAATAGCCATTGTGTCCTCAGGGCTGCTGGTGTTTCATGTTGACAACAGCCTAATCATGGCCATCGCCTATTGAAGCATTCTGCAACCGGATATAGGGAATATAGGTCTAAGACCTTCCGTATAGAGAAATAATTGCCATGACAGTGCGCCATTTGAACAATCTGCCGCGGCAAATGCCGTATCCGCACCGGTAATTGCATTCTGGGGACAGGCATCTAGGCCCGAGAAGCCGATGGGTATGACACTGAATAGCTTCAACTCGTGTCTAGGCTAATTTGTTAGTAATATCCGTATTGAATGCTTTCTTAGATACCTGTCTACGCGAAGCGGAATACAGTGCCCTAACTGAATAGCGCCTGAGTTTAAGCCAACCAAGATTTGTCTTCAGCGCCACACGGACCTACCTTACTTTTTACAGTGAGGTATCGGCATCCGGCCGATATCCTCAAGTGACTAGCGATGTAACGAGGCGGGGTTGAAGGCCAAGTCTGCACGAAAGAGGAAGTCCTAAAGCTGATCATCATTTGGGCTTACCAGCTGCCTGAATGGGTAAATGGGGTCTTGCCCGCGACTCTGAGGGACGTGTGTGATCTTATAAGCAGGCATAAATGCCGAGGAGGTATACCATCAACGAGCAGGAATATGAAAGAAATCTGCACCCAAAGCTTTGCAACGCATGTCCTTTATGCGGTGGGCAATGCCAGCCATCCACGTGCACGCTGATCTCTGCTCCTTTGTTTGCACGCCACAGAACGACTATACGAGACTCCTTAAAGGTGACGGCCAATACTGAATCATATGCACGGCCGAGACCAAACAGACAAGTAGATTCGGCGTTGATTTGTCGGCTTTCCTCCCCCGCAATGCCTAGCTTCCACGACATGGTCATAATCGCGCCCATCCTTTGCGGGGAAATAAGGGCAAGGATACTAGCCGTCTTTAGCGAGGCCCATGCCTTGGACCAGTCCAATAATCATGGTCTAATTTCCTTGGTAAAGTTTGTGGAGAACCCGCGATGTAACAATGCCACGAGAGCGATGCGATGTCGGGATGCATCTTTCAGAGCCATGCGATGTAGCAGTAAAATGCATTCTAGCTAATCGATCTAGACCCCTCGAGATGATCCATTCATCTTTCATTCCGATCCGCCCGCTGTGGCCGTGCACTATTGATTCCAATAACAGAGGCATGGCCCATGCGGGGAAGCAAGGGGCCTATGCCCCTGTCGATTCTTTCCCACTTCGCTATTTTCTCGGCGCAGCATAAATAGCGATGAGTGCCTCCCTGTCCGATCTGTTCCCCAGTGATCAGCATCGACGCCCGCCGACATGCAGAACCTGTTCCTTTCTCTCCTGGCGGCCGCCGTGACCGTCCACGCCTACGGTTCCGGTGGCAGCAACTGGGATCTAGCGTACTCTCGCGCCAAAGATGCCCTGCAAAAGCTCAACCAGACCGAAAAGGTGGGGCTGGTGACTGGCGTCAAATGGATGGGCGGCCCCTGCGTGGGCAACACGTACAAGCCCGAGTCGATGGACTACCCTTCCTTGTGTTTGCAGGACTCGCCGCTGGGTATCCGCTTTGCAAACCCCGTCACGGCCTTCCCGGCGGGTATCAATGCCGGTGCGACCTGGGATACGCAGCTGCTGTATGCCCGGGGAGCAGCAATGGGCGCTGAGGCGAAGGGACTGGGAGTTAATGTGCAGCTTGGTCCTGTGGCTGGACCTTTGGGGAAGAATCCCAACGGAGGCAGGAATTGGGAGGGTTTCTCGGTTGATCCGTATCTGAGTGGTGTTGCTATGGAGAAGACCATCAAAGGAATGCAGGACTCCGGAGTGCAGGCTTGCGCCAAGGTATGCTCTCCTCGCCAACCTGAAGAGCCTCGTGCTGATGATGAAGTAGCACTGGATGGGAAATGAGCAGGAGCACAACCGCGAGACGATCAGCTCGAACATCGGCGACCGCGCGGCTCATGAGCTGTACGTGTGGCCGTTCATGGACGCGGTCAAGGCCGACGTCGCGGCGGTGATGTGCTCGTACAACAAGGTCAACGGCACCTGGGCGTGCGAGAGCAATGAGCTCAACAACAAGCTCATGAAGGAGGAGCTCGGCTTCCCCGGGTACATCATGAGCGACTGGAATGCGCAGCACAGCACCGTCAACAGTGCCGTGTCCGGATTGGATATGACCATGCCGGGGAGTGACTTCAGCAGTCCTCCCGGCAGTATCTTCTGGGGATCGAACCTGGAGGCTGCAGTGGCCGACGGATCCGTCCCACAATCTCGCCTCGACAACATGGTCACTCGTATTCTGGCCGCGTGGTACCTCGTCGGCCAGGACCAGGGATATCCTCCCGTGGCCTTCAGTTCCTGGGACGGCGGCAAGGCCAACGTCGACGTGACAGCCGACCACGCCACCGTTGCCCGTGCCGTCGCTCGCGACTCGATCGTTTTGCTGAAGAACAATCAGGTCGCCCTGCCCCTGCGCAAGCCCAAGAGTCTAGCGATCGTCGGCCTCGATGCCATCGTTAACCCTGCCGGAGCCAACGCCTGCTCTGACCGCGGCTGCAACAATGGCACGCTCGCAATGGGCTGGGGAAGTGGAACCGCCCAGTTTCCCGTAAGTCTGCACCCATCGTCTCCAGCACGACATGCTAACTGGATAGTACCTCGTCGGGCCCCTCGACGCCATCCAGAAACGCGCTGCAGCCGACGGCACCAAGATCGTCTCCAGCACCACCGACGACGCAACCGCTGGAGCGTCCGCCGCCGCTGCCGCCGAAACAGCCATCGTCTTCATCAACTCCGACTCGGGCGAGGGCTACATCACTGTGGAAGGCAATGCGGGCGACCGCAACAACCTGGACCCCTGGCACAACGGCAACGAGCTAGTCAAGGCCGTCGCCACCGCCAGCAAGAACGTCATCGTCGTCGTCCACAGCGTCGGCCCCATCATCCTCGAGACCATCCTGGCGCAGCCCAGCGTCAATGCCATCGTCTGGGCCGGCCTCCCCGGCCAGGAAAGCGGCAATGCCCTCGTGGACGTGATCTACGGCGACACGGCACCCAGCGGAAAGCTCCCGTACACCATTGCCAAACAGGCAGCTGACTACGGGGCTAGCTGGGTCAATGCTGAGACGGACGACTTCACAGAGGGCTTGTACATCGACTACCGCCATTTCGATGCAAATGGAATCGCCCCGCGGTACGAATTCGGCTATGGCCTGTCCTACACCACCTTCAAGTACAGCGGGCTCGCGGTGAACGTGTTTACGACCGCGGGTGCGGCAAACGGCCAGGTTGTCCCCGGCGGTCCGGCCGACCTGTTCGAGGTGGTCGGTCAGGTTTCCGTCTTCGTGAGGAATAATGGACGCGTGGCTGGCGCCGAGGTGGCCCAGCTTTACATAGATCTTCCTGACTCTGCGCCTGCAACGCCGCCTAAGCAGCTGCGTGGCTTCCAGAAGATGATGCTCCAGCCTGGCCAGATTGGGCGGGCGACGTTTGAGCTGACGCGCCGGGATCTGAGCTACTGGGATGTGCAGCAGCAGAAGTGGGTGGTGCCCAGTGGAACGTTCCAGGTGTATGTTGGTAGCTCGAGCAGGGATATCCGGGAACAGGGCTCTTTTAGGGTGCGTCCCGGATGGTCTTGACGTAGTATGAGTATAATGTTGGAAGATCTATAATCGAGAGCCATCATATCATTCCTGAGTCTAGCTAATCATAAAACTTGTCTTCGCCTGTTCGTTTTCGATTCCTTTAGACGATGCCTGTAGACATAACTAGCTCCCCCGCTATTGAGTGCAAAGTACATGCACGTCAAGCGTAATGTACGGCTGCATATTGCTGCATTCTAGGAGCACCAGTCTCCGTGGTCTCTTTGAAGCTGAACACACCTCTCCACCGCAGAAAGGCAAATATCACGCATGAAGCTGGGAACACCCTCCAAGAGATTGCTGTCCAGTATAGGATCCACCTCTCTCAGAAGTGGCAGGTTATTGGTTGTAAGTTGCACGACAAGATCTCTGAGTCCCCGATCATTCTCCGCTGTGGAACTGTACACTTCAATGACAGCAGCGGTGTACGAATCTCGAGGAAGAAACCTCAAGGACTCCATGAAGTGCTCCTTGAAGTACTCCTTCGCCTTCCACTTGAGAGCATTAATTTGGAAATAGTCGCCCTGGGCATACATCTGCGCGTGGAAGCAGGCCCTCCCGGTCCGTGGATTTGCAATGCTTGTTTGTCCCTCCTTCCCTGAAAAAAGTTCTATCTCTCCCTCTGACAGTGGTTCCATCTCCGCGTCTTCTGGTGGGTCGTACGTATAGTTGCCCGTGTAGAGGAACTCAAGCGTCTTCTCGACCAGGGTTGGATCTTGGCCTTCGAGTCTTATCTGCCCGTCACCTTCCTGTCGATGTATCACGTATCAGTAGCGTTCATGATTGAAGGAAAGAAAACTACCTTGAATCGTCCATCACAAGCCACTTCAAAGTACTTGGATTGAGGGCAGATGATGCTCCTATGTGCTGGAAAGACTTCATCACCAGACAATCGTCAAATCGCTGTATTTTGGGTTGAGGAAGTGGCTACCAGAGAGATCAATGAGCAGAGGGGATTCCTCACAATCCTGAGAGGTGTTGAGAATCTCTCACCTAAGAACAAGACCTGTCATTTTTCTGCCGTGTTCCTCATCTGGGTCAGACAATGCAACGGCTATTCGTATTCTTTTGAGTGTTATGCTTCTTTTTCTTGCCAGAGACATGGCTGGGATTGCTTGATTTCCAGGATCCGCCATTGGGACGCTTGAGAGTTTTGAAGTCTGGTAGAAGTAGAGGAGAACAAATCGGCAGTTAGAAACAGGTGGCGCGGTTGCTTCCCTTGCGCCAGTTAGGTCAGTGTAATTCACTAGTGTGGGCAGCTATAAAGAGTATTCACTTACAGTTTACTCGCGTGGTTTTGCATAAGAGAGATATAACTAGAGTGCAGTGGCTGTTAGTGTGGCTATAGCCACTCACAGTTAATGTACTATTACTGCACCTGCTACTGCTCTGAGACTAAAGTCCTCTGCTTTAGTGAATATGTACTCTTAACATTGGCAAGACGCTAGTCTGTCGCAGCGTTCTCGTCGTCTCACATGAAATGAATCCCAAGCTGGTGCCTCCAGACAATCGATCTCGGCTTTGGTGTATGAGTGACGGTGATTCTGTCGGCTCAAATAGAAACCACTGGTTTCGAGAAACGCCTGCTCGAGTTCATCGAAAACCCAAGGAAGAGCCGACGAATACATGCCGAATAGAACTTTGGCATTGACAACGCTCAGCCCTGAAAAAACAGTGCATCGCGGAAAACTGAATGGCCCCGAAAAAGGCTCCCAGGGGAGTGTCATCCAGGCAATGCCAACGTTCAAGTTCGTCGAAATCACATAGACTCTCCCTCGATCGGCGGCCAATGAGACAAAATTGCCTCATAATACAAACCTGTGAGCTGCTGATGATCAAGCTCAAAGCCCCAGGCAGCAGCAACCCGTTCATCAGGCATATATAAACCACAACATCCTAGATCCCACTCGACGGTGATCGAGCCCCATATAGTACAAAACCTGAAGTAGAAAATTTCTGCGTAATTGAGATTAAACTTGATGTACCTCACGCGAGGCATACGCCTTGCGGCATAACCCAAAGAGATAAATAGCCGATGGAACTGCTCTTGCTTCAAGATGGGTCGCTCCACGGCTCCTCTATTATCGCCGTCCATCGCTTTCCCGTCTGGAGTAACGTGAACCATCCGTTCACCTGTTTATATTTTGAAAGTTAGTGGTTCAGGTGTCTGGCATATTGCACCTACAATGTCCATACGAACATATGGATATTTGAGGGAAAGGTTCCTACCTGAAGGAAGGAAGGGCTGAAATGATAAACTCATAGTTTCCAGATTCGGCCAATGCAAAGATGAGTTAGCTGGTAGTGAGTGATCTTTCTCATCCAAAGGCCAGAGAAAATCCAGGGACACAGGAACTTCCCATAGTTGTAGCTCACGAAGGGAAAGACTCAGTTCTCCGATTCTGATGGATAGGATATCAATGCTTGAGGATAAGACACTCCAGTCGGGCACGACATCGTACCACCCCCAATCGTATTCATAGATGAAGTGAAAAACTCTCAATGAGGAGGAGAGATCGTTCAGACCTTCAGCGACAGCTACATGCGGATCAGCGAGGATTCGAGAGAACTGGGAATATGCCGTGGTGGTTGGTGGTATTGCTGAACAGGAAAGCCTCATACCTTGACGCCGTTGTTTCATGTATTCCCGGTGATCTGGTCTGATCCACCGATCCAGGTCTATATATAGTTCTGTGAGTTCCGGACAGTGTCGAACAATCCGCATCACGGCCCCAGCCCATATCCCTTTTGGAATCGACATTTTATCAACGCATGAAACATCGCGTAGCATCCATGCGCCATTACCATAGAACCGCGCGCGATACACAGGGACAGAGCGTGTGGGCCCATCTCCAGACAATATAAGTTCATCACTCAATTCCGTATAAGGCTCCTTGCCTCGCTCACGTCTTCGAAGTTCCAGGATCACAGATAGACGATGGCTCTTATCCCATGACACTAGAGTGTCGAATAGATTGATGACTGCTGATTGAAAGGCGGTATCATTTGCCTGTCGAACAGGATTGTTGGTGGTGTAACCTTCCTCTTGGCGGGTGTACCAGTCCGGGAGGTTAAAAGGGAGAACAATATAGTACCGCAGCTGACGAACCCAAGCCCGTCGTGCGAATCATGGCCCAGAAGTGATTTCTCGGAATTGTTTGAGGCAAGTTCCGCGTCCATCGAAACCATCCTCACTGTACACCTTCAATTTGGAGTAGATGATCGATTCGAAAGCTGTCTGCCAGTGACGACAGACAGTGGTACATGCAACTAGAGAAGCGCCTGCCTGTTGGAGATGACCTGCAATCTCACATAGAAGTTCGAATGGGAGTCTGGCTGCCATATCTGTTGGGATGAAAGTTGTTTATATCTAGTCGCCGGACGTGTCCCAGTGGAGAGTGGAGACTGGATGACAAAGCACCGAATGTCTCTTATGATTGGATTGATGCTTCTATCTGATCGGACATACGGATGAAACATGAAGGTTGTGGACGCACTACAAATTAGAAGAAAGAATGTGGAGATAAAAGATACTGCAATTCAAAATGACCGAATAAGAGTTGGCCAGGCTAACAGTCTTCAAAGCATAGGCAGATTAGCGTCCATCCTTCTTGGTACAGACGGTTTCACGTTCATATAGCACAGCCATCACACTTTATAGACCTGTAGGAATCTACTGTGTGTATACGTCTCTCCTGAGACTAGGCTGCTCCAGTGCTCCCCATTCAACCAGCCTTTCGTCACTCCATAAAGCAAACCCCCAGTCCCAACACGGAGAAGGCTCGCCATAGCAGAACATATCCACAAACACCTCTGGGTAGTCCAGCCCTGCTCCCAGCCACAGCTGCGTCCAGGCGATATTAGGTCGTTCATGCGGTGGCAAGGTGTTCAAGAACTCCTTAAGTCCGTCGAAATCCGGGCCAAAGTTGAATCTGTCTGCAGGGTAGAGAAGGGGCAACGCTCCTGGCTCAAAATCTGGCCTTGGCCAATATTCACCGAAGAAGTGATGCCAACTTATGGCGTTTGCCATCACCAGGTCTCGCCGAGCCCGGAAGTTCTGTTCGCGAAGGATCTTGACAAGCAATGATGGTCCCATGCAGGCTAAACTCTCTCTACACTCGCCTTCTCTAATTTTGAGCTCATCACAGTCGTCCCAGTAACGTATCAAGGGAGACTGCTGGTCAGGTGGAATCTCACTAATAAAGGTAACACCGTAAGATAAAAGGTTGTCAGATGCCTCAAAATATGGCTCCGCCCATCGATGGTAGCAATGTCTCCAGAAACTGGCAATTTCTTCCACCTCCCACGGCGCCATGGTTCCAAAGAAAAGACGCCATACTTCTTCTTCTTTGAACACAGGTGGGACTCTCTCACGGGGGCTAAACCAGTCATTCTCCACTTCCGGCCTGTCTGCGCCCAGGGGAAGCTCGATGTGACCGAATATATTGCCCCAAATCTGCATCCGATAGAATGCTCGGAAAAAGCGCCTTTGTTCTGTCCTGGATAGGCGTAGGGGCAAAATCTTTTTCCATTTCTCTATGGGCATCCACTCCGGACGTCTCGCTGTTCTCGAGTAATCGTCAAGGAGAAAAGTAGCCATCCTATGGAGATGTAATAATTGAATAGTCTCTTTGACACTGGCTGGTTGGTCAGGAAAGGGTCCAGATAATAATAAGCCTAGGTGGCGGGTCTCTTTGCTTCGTCGTCGGCTATCCAAGAGGGCAATGATCCTTTCCCGGTTTGATAGTTTGCAGGCGTATAGTCCTTTAGAGCGCACAGCAGCTACTGCGTCTGCAATGTCCACAAGGTCATCGTGTGAAGATAGCAGGATGCTCAGGAGAAGCTCATCTCTAACCAGATGATAAGCCTGGTAATAATCAGGCGATGCAAGGACAAGAGAACGCAGAGAATCTAGGTCCTGAAGTTTAAACAAGATGCAGATGTGTAATTCCACCGGCAAGCCATCAAGCGATGGCCTGGCCTGATACATTGTTAGATATCGTTTCTCGCAACACCCGTGGTCTACTTACCGTCGTCATCATCATCATTCGTCAAGTCGTAGGCTTTTATGATAGCAATCGGCAGATGCAGAAATGAAACATGGATGCTGAGGAGAAAAAGGGACTTCAGAGTAGACGGAGACGACGGCGCTTGGGACTGCTCAACCGCCTTATGTAATATGGCTGGCATGCCTAACAGCCTGACATCTCAGCCTTCTCCTGATCTGCAACAGAAATCATCACATGTTTTTTGTTCATTTGCTTCATGTCTTCTCTTTCCTGATGTCGCTGTTGTTTACGGCTATGTACACTTGACGTTGGTTTGTTTTTAAATATTTGTGCTGGGTAAAGTCTATGTCACCGAGTTCTTGATGTTGTTTATGTATATGTCTACCAGACGCAAATCGCACATGGATCATGTGTCTTGCTAGGGTGTTCAGTAACAAGGAAAGAATTAATCACGTTCCATTTGTTGACTAAAGAATCTCTGCACCAGCTGCTTATAAGATAAACAAACCAAGAGCTAAGAGGGTTGGATCCTATTTCTCCTGCCACCTGGGAGGGGTAATTTTAGTTGGGCATATCTCGTGGTTACTACACTATGAAGAATCCAACAGGGCTAGGTCATGACATAAAAGATATTAGGTTTCCTAGTTGATTGACAAAGCATGTTCCACGCATATCATGCCAGTGGAGTTTGTGAGGCTTGCCTTTCTGCTTTATTATCCAGCTGGGTAAGAGTTGTCATGGTTTAGGGGAGTATGGATTAAACATATCCCTCGCATATAATTCAGGGCAGGATCATTGTATGGATGCATAGGTTGGTGCCAGAGGTGGAAGCAAGTTGCGAAAACTTTAAAGCTCTAGACAGATGCAGTTTATACCATTTATTGTTAAGGGGGTGCTGTTGGGAAGGACATAATTAGCACATTTTTTTTTGGGCATCTTGCATTTGAGCATTGAGTGAGTAAGAGAGTTAGCAAGACATGCACTGGAGCTTATAGTCTTGAATATTAACATTAGTGTAAGTTTTAATATGCCTATCTATTGCATTATTAATGGCATGCAACTAAGATAGCATTCTGAACACAACATCAGTGGCATGAACAGCTCTCATTCACATTCACAAAAATCAACCAGAGTTCAAGGATAAATCTGTTAAAGCAGATGCATACGTCCACATACTAGACTCCAACAGAGTCCCGGTCCTTTGATAGTGAGAGACCATTTTAATAAGGAATATTCGAAGAGATGAAATAGATACATTATTCTTAAAAGTATGAATTAACTTAGTCGTATATAGCTAAGGTGATGGATAAACATACATAGCGAGGATGCGTTGTCACCTGGTGCAAAGGGGAGAAGATTAAGAATCGACAAGAGTCTCTCCAGAGTCTCTTATTTGGCCTGTAAGACCATCTGGTCATTCCTTTTTGCTTAGTCTGAGATGAGCTGACATGCACTGCTCTGACCTTGGCCCTCTTGTACACGTCAAGCCCGATTGAATAGATGAAATATTAACCCGGGTAATGCATATAAATATACTTAGTACTGTCTACCTGGTGCACCGTTTACATTCAGGTAGATTAGTGTCAGCACCGATTGGCATACTGCCCCATTTCAATCTCACCATCCATCTCATCATACCGCACCACAACTCGGGTCGTTTTTCTGATGACACATGCATTCGGGTTCATCCTCTCTTGCCCCTCTGCCGCCGAGACAGTCACGTCCGCTCCGGCCTCATCCAGCACGCTCCATCCCTCGATTTTCTTCGGCGTCGCCTCTACCGGCTGCGAGCGGTTCCCGTGTGAGGCCGGGCCAGCGGAGCTCTTGTGCAGTCTGCTGAAGAGTCGGGGGAAGAAGAAGGAGAGTGGGCGGCCCAGCGCGGGGAGACAGGCGCAGATGATGCCTAGGTTGGATTCGATGACTGTCCACATGGACGAGCCGATGCTGTTCCAGGTTGTGTCGAGGTGGTTGGTGGCCACGTTGAGGGTTGTGATGCGCAGGACGGAGGTGATGCAGGTGCTGTTGGTCAATCAGTATATCAGCTACAGTCGTATATACTTGTAGATAAGGAAAGGACTTACAAGAGGCCTACGGCGAAGATGGCGCAGAGGGCGACCTTGGACTTGAGCGGGAGTTGCAGTTTCAGGACGACGGGAATGGGCAGCGCGATCAGGACCAGGTCGGTGAGGATGTTGAAGGCCGCGTTGGCGTACCAGAAGGCCGTCATGTTGATGCAGGCGCCGCGGCCGGGGAGGGACTTGTTGAAGGCCCATTGCACCGGAGTGCACTGGAAGATACTGGAGAAGACGGTGCCGACGGTGAAGGAGACGATGATGGCGATCCACGCCCAGCAGGTCCTGAGAAACCAGCGGTGGACAAACAGTCGGATGTACAGGAGGAGAATGCTGATCTTTGTCAAGCCGAGGTTGACCTTGTAGAGGATCTGGGCCACGAAGTAGAGCTGTCGATGTGAGCTGTGAACAGGTGTCTGTTTTGGCGACACACCTCTAATGTTCTGAGAACCAATTCCTTGGGCATCTCATGCTGATGCTTGCCAAATGCCCATCCACAGACTAGTTCATCAGTCGTCGTCACAGGCAAACTGCTGTCTGACTTACCGATGATCATCTGGATTGAAACCGCTTCTGCAAACGCCTGAGAAAGTCCAGATCAGTCAACGACGCACAGACAAAGGTGCAATTTTGCTGATACTCACACAAGACACCAGAATCGTCCAGTCGTCTGCTCCTACACGGCCGGAAAAGAACCGGCGACCGAGCAGTCTTGCAATCACTACGAGAGGAGTGACGATGGCAAAGACCAGCGATGGATAGGACAGTCGCCCAGAGCTGTCCGGGTGATCCCCATAGTCGCTAAACAAAGGCATGGCCTACGGACTGACACATATCGCGCATTCTGAGCCAGGGCCGGAGGGCAGGGAGTGACCTGCACATAAATGGGAGCGACCAAGAGCAGAGACAGGGATCAATCACACCAAGTCACAAAGAATCCCTTCATGTCGCGGAGAATTGAGATTGAGCCAGAAGACAAGAACATGTGCAATTTCCATCAACAAGCTGGCTAATACGACATGGCAGCAGCCAATCAACCGCAGCAATTGTCCACCATCTTGTCGTTCTTCATCCATATATTCGGCAGGATGAGCAAACTCGGCGGCAGGGCAGAAGCAGAAATTCCCGTGTCTCGGCGGCGATTCCTGCATGATTAATTGAGGTTGCATTTCCTCGAATAACCGGGTTGGCATGGCCTAATGATATCGAGGCAACCCATGTCAGTTTTAATAAACTAGCATGCACTGTTCATCCGATGGTCCAATCCTCCTCTTGGCCTCGAGTGGACAAGCCCACTTGTCTCACTGTTTAATTTGTCGATACGTGCCACTCCGTCATCCCCGCCGGTCTAGAAATTTTAGTATCACCCTAATCATGCATCATCCAAGGGATCTACACCCGGCACGACTGATGTTGAGCCCGTGGTGCGCCCATATGCAGGGATCAGTGCCGTGAGGGGATAAATGTCCGTTTCGACAAGAGTTTTCATCTTGGTTTTCTGGCCATGTTACATTAATATCTATTTATCCCAAGTCCTCTAGCAGGGGTCATCTCCTTTCCTGCCGCATTCCCATTGAGTAGCAAGCTCCGTGGCTGGCCACGCTATGCTGTGACGTTTAAAATTCTTTTTAACGCTTTCTCTCCAATCCATCTCAAGCACTCGTATCCCAATTCCTGCACAGGAACAGATTGCTTGATCGCCATGGAGAAACAGCCCAATCATGAGGTCAGCCAGACGGGCAGTAGCCTCGAAACCGCGGCCCCCGAGATCGAGATCAACGAGAAGCGAGAGAAGGCGCTTCTGCGCAAGATCGACCTGCACCTGATGGTGCCGCTCTGGGTCATCTTCGTGTTCGGGTTCCTCGATCGAATCAATCTGGGTAATGTGGCGGTGCTGGGGATTCTCAAGGAGCTGAAAATGGACGGCAACGATATGGCGCTTGCCATGCAGATCTTCTTCGTTCCGTATATCATCGCGGATATCCCGAGTAATATTATTCTGAAGCGGTTTGCGCCGTCGACCTGGATCAGTGTTTTGACTTTTTTCTGGGGTAAGCACCTCCCCTTCCCTTGCCCTTCTCTTGAGCCTGTCTAACAACTAAGGTATAACATGCATGTGCCAGGGCCTGGTGAAGAACAAAGCCGGTCTGGTCGCCTGTCGCTTTTTCCTGGGTCTCTGCGAAGGAGGCTTCGTCCCCGGCTGCGCATACCTGATGTCCATGTACTACTGCCGCCATGACTTCCAGAAGCGGTTCTCGCTTCTGTGGGTAGCAGGTCTGGTCGCCGGTGCCTTTGGCGGGCTACTAGCCTATGCTCTCGACCATATGCACGGCCTGGCAGGCTACTCGGGGTGGCGGTGGATCTTCATCATCGAAGGCCTACTATCGATTGTCTCGGCGTTGCCCGCGAAATTCCTCATCGCCGACTGGCCCGAGCAAGCTCGCTTCCTCAACGCCGAGGAGAAGGCTCTGCTCAAGGAACGCAACGCGCGCGACCTAGGCGGACACGACGGGGCGAGGATGGATCGCCTGGACGGCGCCGCGTGGCGGCGCATCATGGCCGACTGGAAGATCTACGTCGGCAGCCTGATCTACATCAGCATCACCGTGTCGGGGTACGCCACCGCCCTGTTCATTCCGTCCATCGTCAACTCCCTCGGCTACTCCGGCATCGACAGCCAGATCCACAGTATCCCCATCTGGGCGGTCGCCGCGGTCGTGACCGTGATCGTCTCGTACCTGACGGACCGGATGCGCCATCGCTACGGGTTCATCATGTTCGGTGTGCTCTTCGCCAGCATCGGGTATATCATCCTGCTGTGCCAGGGTCCTCTCCCGCAATTCGGGGGCCTGAACATGCATGTGCGCTATATGGCTGTCTTCTTTGTGACTACGGGCTGCTATATCGTCCAGCCGGTGGCGATCGTCTGGATGGCGAACAACCTGGGCGGGCACTATAAGCGGGCCATTGGTCTTGCCATTCAGATTGGGTTTGGAAATATTGGAGGCATCATCGCGAGCAACATCTTCAATAAGAATGGAGCGCCGCGGTATCTCGTCGGGTATGGCGTGTCTCTGGCGATGATGGTGCTCTGCGGGATTATGAGTACGGTGTTTGCCGTGGGGGTCTTGATGGAGAATAAGAAACGGGATGAAGGCAAGCGGGACTATCGGTTGAATTTGGATCCCAGTGTGCTGGACAATATGGGGGATGACGACCCGAGATTCCGCTTCTGTCTTTGATTAGGCATTGAGCTACGGAGGAATGCATTCAACTACTCAAGATGAAGGGCATCATATAGACTGACAATCCCTGTTAATCTCATGACCAAGTTGCAAACAACAGGGGAGTCGAGGATTTTCCTAGAGACCATTGGCAACTGAGCAGAGCAAAAGGAGCAAAAGATCTAATGATAATGTACAGAGCGTCACCGAAACTCAGCATAATGGAAATCAGCCGGCGTGAGACACTTTTGCAACTCGCCATAACTATACAATCCCAGCATCATACCCGAAAACGGCGCTCCGACAGGAGGCGCTCTGGTCATGACGCTATTCGCAACCTCGCCAATCCACTGCGTCGGAGATTCATCTGCCTCGCTGACCTCCTTGAATCCGAAGCGATACTTGCCTCCGCATTCGATCAGGAAGATGATGTCGGAGCTGGGGCCCACCTCCCGGTCAATGATCTCGCCTTCTGCCGGTCGAAAGCGTACGATACGTTTTCCTTTGGTGGATAGCCGGATGCCGATCGAGCTGTTGGTAAAGTAGTTCCAGTAGACTACCGTGCCGGCTTCTACGTGGATGGAAGAGGGTTGGAAGGAGAGTCGTGTCTCCCAGGTGCAGTGACGGGATGATTGCTTCCTTAGGAAGAGAGTTGGGCATGCCGGTGAGGAGAGGTTGTATGGGCCGCCGTGCAGACGCAGATGGTTAGGACGCTCCGTAAGCGAATAGTCGATTTTCACCGGTGTGTCTGTCTCGTCAGCAGAGCTCACCATGATAGGATACTTTAGCGCGTACTCTTTCTATACCAGCCCAGCTGTAGCTTGGGATTGGAGAAGTCATCCCTCCACGCCACCGGCGGCTCATATTCATACAGCCCTGGTCCAGACTTGAGAGTAATCTTTTGCCCACCATTAATGACCGGCCAGTCGTCCTTCCACTCCATGGGAACGAGGAACGTCTCACGACCTGCCATCAGCATGTTCATCAGCTACCCTCAGCGGTAAATACCAGCAACGGTGAATGCCACCTACCAAAAACCGACTCCTCCCACTCCCCATCCTTCCACACCGGCCTCACCCCCAGAAACACCGCCCACCAGTTTCCCTCCGCGTCCTCGACCAAATCCGCATGCCCGGTATTCTGCACCTCGTCGTCCACCCCATTCCGCCAGAGCGGATTAGACGGCCCAACCTCCCACGGCCCAAACGGACTGACCTCGCTCCGACAAACCCACTCGCAGTGCCCGCTCTCGGTGCCTCCCTCCGCCGTGAAGAGATAGTAGTACTGTCCCCGCTTGAAGATATGCGAGCCCTCCGCCACCCCCGAGGCCGATTCGCGGATCAGCCTCGGCTCGGAGGTGGAGTTACCCGTCTCGAGGTCGACGGTTGCGATATGGATTGCGAAATCCTTGATGGTGACGTTGGGGGTGCGGACGAGCTTGCGGTATGTTGACGAGAGGTACACGGTTCCGTCGTCGTCCCAGAAGAGCTATTCCGTTAGTTTCAGTTGAGTCGGGTCCCGGGCTGGGTAGGCTTACATCCTGGTCGAACCCGACCTGGTCGAAATACACGGGGTCAGACCACGAGTCCGAGTCCCAGATGTTCTCTGTCTTGACGTAGAATCCCCGCGGCCAGACCCGGTCGTCGTCCTGGGGACGGTACCGCTCGAAGCTGGCGGCGATGATGTAAAAGGTCCCCTTGTGATAGCGCAGGGTTGTTGCCCAGATCCCACCGCCTGGCTCGGGGGTGTGGATCTGCAGCTGGCTGGGTTTGGTCAGGGCATGACCGATCAATGACCAGCGGATCAGATCTGTGCTGTGGTAGATTGGGGCGCCTGGGAAGTACTCGAACGAGGAGGTGACGAGGAAGTAGTCGTTGTTGACGCGGATGATGGAGGGGTCCGGGTTGAAACCGGGGATGATGGGATTGTTGTACATTCTACACTACTATAGTGTTTCTCCTGATTGACCGTTCAGCAAATTGATGTGATGGTAGATATGTAGATATTGCGGGGGATTGTTATATAGCGGAGGTTGATAGCTTGATGGTCTCTAGTGATTGGTGGAGAAATCCGGCCAGAGTCATTCCGTGAGGATCATCTGTCGGATCGGGGCTAAATGCATTTACCCATATTCACAGACGATTTAGCCGCAGATGCAGTAGTAGATTGCAGATAGGTTGTATATTTATACGTGTAATCCCCGTTGTTTGATAGGCAAAGAGGTGGCCTTCTCAGACTTGAGGCTTTACTTCAACTCACGATCAGACTGTGTGCTCATGACCCTAGGCAGCGCATTGAGCTACAATCTATGGATCTGAGGCAAGCTTTCCGGGAGTCGCAAGAGTTCAAATACGAGGAGCTCAGCAAGTTCTCTGATGCTTCACTTGTCATAATGAGCCGTCGTGACTGAGCCTAGCTGAATTAACAATTGCTTGCTAGGCTCTCTGTCTGCATCCTCGACGCATGAGCGGAGAACGAGGTGCTGTCAATTGTCGCACGATAGGAGCAGCATCCCTTAACTTATGATATTAGCTGTATTTCGAGAGGTACAAGACGAGGAAAAAGGGGAAGTCGTCGATTCTGGTGATTCTGTTGTATGATGGGTTTGTGGCATGTGATTGTGACTTCGCTGATGGATCGCGAAAAGGATCAGGTTCGCTTGACCAAGTGGACTGCGATGTCGATGGAAGATCATGTGAATCTGAATTCTGGCATGTGCTCCGAGAATAACTTCAACAGTTAAAATGAAGTACGGGATAATCCGAATACCAGGAGAATGGATCGAATAAGAATTATAAGATATAAGCAGCACAATGCCAAGCTCTTTGTTGCCTGAATGACCAGGCATCAATCTTCTCAGGATAACACGCGTCGCAACACTGAGTCAACTGGCAACAAAAGACAGAAGATCAAGAGATGATAATCAAGAAATGAAGCGCTTCATCTCATCTCATCGCAGTTTAGCTCATAGCTCATCTATTCTGTTGAGGCTGTTAATCACTGATTCAGCCATTCTCCTCGGTATTGCCGATGAGGCTGGGAATCCCTGCATACCGACAGGGCTGATCTTGCCCATCCTGGTCACTCGATCTGTCCCGGCGCGTGGATTGCCTTCAGTTCCGATGACTTTTTCTTCGTGACCGAAACAACCTTTTTATTCCCCCTTCAAAAGGCACGGTACTCGGCCGGAATATACTCCGTCCACTCTGGACCAACTGAAATCAGGCATCCAGGCCACCACGCTGGCTGAGCCGAGGTTGATTCCTCATCGGGAAACGCCGCCCACAGACCGAGGTGATTCACTCTTCCCCATCCCCTTCCCCGTGGAGAAAAGAAAGCAAGTTATAAGGGTCATTGTCCATTTCTTTCATCTATCTACTGCTCTGCTTTCTCCAATCTACACCTTCCCCCGATTCCCCCGTATACTACTCATTCACGATGCCCTCCCCTCCTCCCGACTGGGTCAAGGCGCTCACGCCTTCGAGCCCACAGGGTACCGACCTGCTCAAGCAGGAGCGTGCCCAGTCCAATGTCGAGGTCGACAAGCTTGCAGAGTTCCTACACACCAAAGCCTTTTTGGAGAAGCAGCAGCGCTTCCTTGAGCTTCTCTCGCCCGAGAAGGTCTTCGACAAGTCTCAGATGCACTCCCTGGGTCGTCCCGAGCGGATCCAGCGGTCATTGGCCAAGGGTAAGCGACTGCAGCAGTTGAAGGAGAAATACAACTGGTCGACAGAGGATTACCACTTTGCCAGTGAGATGATTGGAGAGCCGACTCCTTATGGTCTCCATGCCAGCATGTTCTTGGTACGTTGCCTTTCGCGCGATTACGGCAGGGCTTGCGCTAATGGTTGCGGTGTTGCAGGTGACTCTCCGCGAACAATGCACCCCCGAACAGAAGAAGCTCTTCCTCGAACCCGCCGAAAAGTATCAGATCATCGGTTGCTACGCACAAACAGAGTTGGGACACGGATCGAACGTGCGTGGTCTGGAGACCACCGCTACATGGAACCCTGAGGATAAGACCTTCACCATCCATTCGCCCTCTCTGACGGCGTCCAAGTGGTGGATTGGATCCCTCGGACGTACCGCCAACCATGCGGTGGTGATGGCGCAGTTGTTCATTGCTGGCAAGAACTACGGTCCTCACCCCTTCATCGTCCAGATCCGCGATTTCGAGACACATCAACCATTGGAAAATATTTACGTGGGTGACATTGGACCCAAGTTTGGTTACAAGTGAGCATCACCCCTCCATAATTGGGTCCCTACTGACCTGTAAAGCACCATGGACAATGGTTTCCTCCTGTTCAACAAGGTCAAGATCCCTCACATCAACATGCTTGCGCGCTTCTCCCGCGTAGACAAGGAGACAAACAAGTACATGCGCCCCGCATCGCCGGCTCTGGTGTTTGGCACCATGACTTGGGTGCGCTCCAACATCGTCCTGCAGGCCGGTTCCGTGCTGGCCCGCGGTGTCACCATCGCCACTCGCTACTGTGCGGTCCGCCGACAGTTCCAGGACCGCGACGCCAAGGCGGACGCGGGCGAGACCCAGGTGCTTAACTACAAGATGGTGCAGATTCGTCTGCTGCCTCTGTTGGCAGCCATGTATGCCCTGCACTTTACCGGCCGGGGCATGATGCGTCTGTACGAGGAGAACCAGAACAAGCGCGCCGTCGCCGAGGCCGGTCAAGACAAGCGCGGTGCGGCTCCCGAGGCCCTCCGTGCCGGGTCGGATCTGCTGGCCGACCTGCACGCTACTTCTTGCGGTCTAAAGGCGCTGGCCAGTACCACCGCCGGAGAGGGATTGGAGATCTGCCGTCGCGCCTGTGGTGGTCACGGATACAGCAGCTACAGCGGTATCGGACCATACTATTCCGACTATCTCCCGACTCTGACCTGGGAGGGTGACAACTACATGCTCACCCAGCAGGTTGCCCGCTACGTAAGTTTTTCTGGTCTGTGTCTGTCAGATAATGCTAATGCTAGGCAGCTCCTCAAATCCGCTCGTGCGGTGCTTGCCAGCAAAGGATCCGGCAACGACACCAGCCAGATCCTCCAGGCGTACCTTGCGCGTCGCGACAAAGGTGCCTCGTTCGACATCCTCGAGGTGGACAGCGACATTGTGGCCGCGTTCGCCTGGCGCACAGCGCACCTCACCTTTGAGGCCCTCAAGCACCGGGATCTCGAGAAGCGGTCATGGAACAGCTTGCTGGTCGACTTTTGGCGTTTGTCTACGGCCCACTCGCAGTACCTGGTGGTCAAGAACTTTTACGAGGCGGTATCGTCGCCCGACCTGGCCGCCAAGCTCGGCCCGGAGACGACCAAGACCATGCACAACCTTTTCCGGCTGTACGCTCTGCACACGCTGGAGCGCGAGGCAGCCGAGTTCTTCTCGTCTGGCGCCGTGACCGTCCGCCAGATTACTCTGACCCGCACCAACGCGGTCATGAAGCTGCTGGACGAGATCCGACCTCACGCCGTCCGCCTGGTGGATGCCTGGAAGATCCCTGACTGGCAGCTGGACAGCAGTCTGGGTCGCTACGACGGTGACGTATACCCCGATCTGTTCAACCGGGCCAGCCAGAACCCCGTCAACGATCTGGTGTTTGACCCGTATCCGTGGAACGAGGCGGTGCTGAAGAACGCGCCCAAGAGCAAACTTTAATTTTCTGCCTGTATATATATTCAGTGTATATGATAGAGCAATAGATGATATGACTCATTCGTCCTCAGTCACGAAGTACAAAGTACAATCTACATGACCTCTCCGATGTCGGAGCGCATGCATACATCTCCGCACTATAAGATCAACACAATCCCACACCACATCATCACATTCATCTCCATCTATACAACATTTTCTATCTTCAATTCAAACGAAATGAAAGAATCAGCAACCTACACGCACGGCCACCACCCGTCGGTCCTCCGCTCCCACACCTGGCGCACAGCCGCCAACTCCGCCGCCTACCTCCTCCCCCACCTGCGCCCCGACATGCACATCCTAGACGTCGGCTGCGGCCCGGGCACCATAACCGTGGACCTCGCGCGCCTCATTCCCAACGGCCACATAACCGGCCTGGAACTCGCCCCCGCCGTCCTCGAGCAAGCCCGCGCCCTAGCCGCCTCCCACTCCCTAATAAACATCACCTTCCAGTCCGCCGACGCCAACGCCCTCCCCTTTGACGAGGGCACTTTCGACCTCGTCCTCTGCCACCAGGTCCTCCAGCACGTGCGCGACCCAGTCCATATCCTGCGCGAGATGCGCCGGGTCGCGAAAAGAGGCGGGCTCGTTGCAGCCCGGGAATCGGATTACGCGGGCTTCGTGTGGTACCCGTCCACGGCCGGGCTGGACGTCTGGCGGGATACGTACCTGACGGTGTGTAGGGCGAACGGCGGGGAGCCGAATGCGGGGCGGATGGTGCATGCGTGGGCGAGGCGGGCCGGGTTTACGCGGGAGCAAATAAAGTGCAGTTCGAGTAATTGGTGTTATAGTACTGCTGGCGAAATTCAATGGTGGAGTGGGCTTTGGGCGGAGAGGACAGTGGCGTCGGAGTTTGCGAGGACGGCGAGGGAGAATGCGGGTGTTGAGGGGGGGGAGTTGGAGGGGATTGCCAGGGCGTGGAGGGCGTGGGGGGGTGAGGAGGATGCGTGGTTTTCGGTGCCTTCGGGGGAGGTAATCTGTGTTAAGGGAGTGGTTGACTGACTGAGCTTGTGATGTGATGGTTTGTTGTCTTGATCGTATATAGATATACTACGTTTTAGGGCAAGGATGGTTTAAGTTGCTTTTGTTCAACGACATATAAGGCTGGTTGCCACCGGATTGATAGATTTGATAGAATGAAGCGCCATCCTCTGCCTGTAACATATAGGCGCTTACACCAGGCTGAATGCATACAAAGCACTCGTCCTCCAATATCCCCCGTAAATTCGTCCAGGAAGGCCCTTCACACAGCTGGCCTAAACTGGATGCCCTGGAGGGAGCTCTGATCCACGATTTCCGACCAGCGAAGGACCGACTAGAGGATGGCAAGGTATCCGCACATGTCAAATGGTGTGTTATACTGGGGGGTCGCTGTTAGGAACCACACGTTCTAAGTCTCCGTGCACTCGATGCTTCAGGGGCTCAGTCTTGCTGACTCAGTTGGCCTGCTTTTCGCCTCTCATCCTCACGTCTCAAATTATCGCGTTCGTCGGTATCTTCCTAAAGTCTGTTTGTTTTTGGCTTGGACGGAGGATGGACGAGTCTATGACTGGGCTGACACCTACAGCTCACTCCATCTGGTCTAGGTCGCAGGGACCATTCCCATATGAACGAGTGCGTCACCAGCCTCCCGTCGAAGAAGATCGATGCTCAACAGAAGAGCTGTATTGGCCGCCAGTCCTTGCGGAAGAGCAGGTCCGAAAAGATCGCCAGCAGTGATCGGAAGAAAGATGCCCATCGCGTTGGCCGGAAATATGACTATTATGATGTTAAATTATCTCTCGGTCCGCCGTCGAAAGGGAAGAAATACTTACCGCTTCCTGCTGGAGCAACAGGTTTCCCGCTGCATCGCGGACATACAACTCTGCTTTCCCAGTGACTTCGTTGGCTCTTCTCCGCGCGAATCCGCCTTGAGCCTGGTGACCGCCTGATGGACTCTCGTCCGGATGGTTCGGCCGCGTGGCCTCATCCGGCCAGATTCAAGTCGAATCTCTTGACTTGCTGATTCTGCCGGTGCCATGCGCAGGACTTACACGAGTCGCGATATTCGAGTCCACGTCGATACAAGAGAATTGCATTTTGGTGTGCCTCCGATGTTATTTCCCTGGTGACATCGACATTATTCCTCGAGGCCCATTCGATCTCGCGACCAACGTCAAGCAACTTAACGAGACTCGGTTGAATCTTGTTCAAGGCGAAGGGAACTTCTCTTTGCGCAGCCGCTACCGCACCCTCACGATTTGGAACCGTAATGGCGATGATTGAAAAAGGGGACTGGGCAAGATAGTAACGAACGAGTTGGAGAATACGGAAACGATCAGGAAAAGGAACGGACTCTAAGAGTCCACAGATCTGAACAAGTAACAATCGATTTAATGGATTTGGCATCGAAGGGTTGTTTACAGCAATCGCACGCAACGAAGTGCGAAAAGTTGGGGATATTTATACCTGGGCGACCGTGTCCTTGGGCATCAGGCGCAAGGCCATGGTGGAGCTGTATTTCGCCCACTGCTCCGCCCCTGCACCAATACCGGGATATCCGATATGAGCCAACTCAGACGCAGCAGTGTTATCGTCATTGGGTCTGTATTGGCGTCTTGCAGAAGTGCGGGCATGAATCGCCTGTTGATTCTCGTCATCCAGCTGCTGGATCTCGCCTTCGTAGGTCGAGGTGAAGGAGAAGTGGACATTCGACGTTGCTGTTTGTCCCAGACGGAGGTTGCCATAAACTCTGCGCCGTTGTACGCGCCTAGAGCCCCTGATCCTGCGGAGCAACAGTTTAAAAGGATAACAGATTTCACCCGTGTAATGTTCAAGGTATTGGCGAATTGGCACCAGTTAAACCTAGGGCCTTGTGGGCAACACAGGAAGAAGAAGAAGGCCCAGTTCCTTTGGCGCCAAAACCAGTTCCGTTCCCTTGAGTTGTGTTTCCGGCAGTAGCTTAACTGCTTTATGCGCGTCTCCCGCACCTGGGCGTTCCTGAGCGGCCATGACTAGCGGTTTGAGGAGGTCGTGGAGCGATGCAGCCAGCTAGGGGAGGGCCTTTACCACGTTGTTACATTCGATCCAGCTGGAGATCGTGTTTTCCTGGAAGAGGATCCATGCCTTTTGCGCCTCACGCTGTCCAAGGCGGTGCATCCGCCGCACTGCTTGGAACAGGGGTGTTGAGTTCACTGGGGGTTCCAACAGGACCACACGACTGCACTCTTCATGTTCGGTCGGGCTCCTGGGGGCTCGGTCTGGGCGAATTTCCCCTCTGGAACCGAAATCTGAGGGCCAATACCTGTGTTTGTCTGTCTTTGTAACATTGATCGTGACGACATCAAAGACCTGAAGGTCTGACAGTCTGGTGTATTGTGGAGGCTGTGGAGCATCCTGTATCCACGGTTCGACAAGTTTCCACTGTGTCCTGTCTCCGGGATCGCCGGCGGTAAGGTGCCTGGCGTGGTGAACTGACTGAGTGCAAAGGGCTGTACCTGCGATTGCCCGGGTTCAACCTTGATAAGGACGTGATGGTCACTAAATTGAGTGAGCATCTGTGGTTGGGTTGCTTGCGAAGGTGCTGGCGTCACTGCTGACTCTGATGAACGCCCTGGAATCTGGGGAGTTTGACGCCTGCCTGGAGCGGGTGTCCTCCGGTCTTTCATGGCAGTCTTGATAGATAGCAAGAGCGTAGAGTTACTGAGCTGTACCTCGAGCATCATCATGATACTTGGCCTTGATGCATTGTGGCATGCGGTCGATATAATTGTCAATGTCATCTCAAAAATCCCCAGCTATAGTCGTGATTATCTTCCGATCAGTATAGATCGGCCTTGATTGAAGGATCTCCCTTAACAGTCTTCAATTCTTGCCCGATCTTCTGCCTTTGCCCCGAAAGAGTTCCAGATGTCTGATACCTTCATTGTCTTTCTTATGTCGAATTTGTGTACTGCACTGTATTTGGTCTTCCTGTTCCAAAGCAGTTTGTAACCAAGGGAATAGTTAGAATTAATTAAACCTATCGAGGCTAGCACATTTCAGACGCGCCGTCTGTGTACACCCAGGGAGTTCGGTCCGGTTGTGCGATGGCATCGTCCTTATATTTGGCCTTGGTTGGCATGCTGTCTGGGAGGGTGTCGATATCGCTGTTGTGTGCGTCCAAATTGAGCCCATGAGCGCCGCATTGATAGGATAACTTGACTGATTGTCGGCAGAGGCTCAGCCATATGCAGAGCGTATACTAACCGCAGGCTGATCAGAACAGGTCTGTCCGCACATCTGGCTTCCGTTGACAGATCAGCAGCACATCGCAGTTGGTGTCTGCCTTGGTGAAGAGCTCAGCCGCCTCACGACGGGCTGCAACCGTCATCGTCGCCCTGATCGTCACGTAGTTCACCCCAATCGAGTCCAGAAACATCTCGACTACCCGCATTACCATGGGGCAATGCACGAATAATAAGAAGTGCGGTCGTCGTCCCTCTGCCCTCCAGAGACCCTCCTGGTGGGTCGCTTTTGTGAATTATCAACGATGATCACCAGAGCATCATAGTTTCTGGGCGATTTCGGTAATCCGCAGTGTTTGGTCGTGAGCAAGATTGCGTCGCTCCCTGCATGTTCACTTCATGGATCGATCTCCGATGAACCACTGACTATCTGGATGTACCGGCTATTGGTAGAAGATCGCTGTAGCATCCATAATCAAGATGTATTGCTAACTCAGCAGTAATTTATGTTCAGATGGCAGCGGGTAGATATCCGATATGACCGCTGCGTTCACGCTACTTGTAAATGGAGGTAGTCGTAGACACGCAATGTTGCTTTTAACGTGCTTCCAGTGATGGAAGACACCAATTTGGCTCTCAACTAGAGCGGTTGGCGCTTCATCCGAAAGATAGTATCGCTATAATATTCCGGGGCATCTCGCAGTGCGTGGTTCAAAGCTGCTGCTGACAGCCCCCATGGGAATCTCGCGACGTCTTGTTGTAGGCGTAAGTCTCCTGGCAGCTTGAAATGCGGTCAGGCCATTCCTGTTTCTCAAAGGAAGCATCGGCGTCCCTTGGCAGGCCATAAACGGTGTAGGGATCGTCGCGGCGCTTTGGCGCCTTGGCTGACTATGCATTATATCCTTCGAAGATCCAAGTCATCCGCAAGGTGCGGTGCGATGGTCGTGGAATAGCCGGGCGAGTGCTTGCTATCAGGTTCTCCCTGGGCGTAAGGCTACCATTCTCTCCTCACAGGAGCGGGAGAGTCGGAGTCCGTCAGCTTTATTATTAAATAGTAGTTTACTTCTTTCGAATTTTTAGCTGTTTAGTAAGCAGTAATATAGATCCGCCTCAAGAGCGGACGCCTGACTAGCCGGCTATTCACGGCCACACAGGTCTGTGATTGGAAAGAGGTCTTTATCAATCGCAGCAAGGGTCCCCGGCCTCTGCGAGGGATCAAAACACCAACCGATTCGTTGATTTCGGCCTGCTGACTGAAATGGAATTGTCCGACGCTTCAGTCCGGCATAGATCAGACTCAGCGCCATTGTCGCAGTGGTCTCCAAGGGACATCGCATGAATTGAACTTGCCAGGCACATCGCTGGTTTCACTGGTATTAACCAGCTCACTCTTCTCCACAGGCAGATCCTCCATCTCGGGGCCGTATCCGGTCATCAAAGGCAGACCACCCCTGTGGATTAACGAATTGTTAAGTGTTGGCAGTGATTTGCTTCATATCCCGTATAAGGTCGTCATGTGGTTCACTGAAGCCCTCATCAAAAATAACAGTACGATAGCGGCGGCAGGTCTGTAGGTCGACCTGCTTCACCCGACGGTCCTTCGGTCCCAGTGGCTGCGCAGTTTGGGCTTGGTGATAGTCGAATAACATCTGTGTAAGGGCAACCTGCGCAAGGAGGCCGTCACCATGAGTCGAGTGATAATCCACAATGATGGATGGTCGGGCATTGGCCTGGGGGGGGGGACGCTGCGTGCTTGACTTTGTTGATAACCAGGTTATAACCTGGTTAAAGGCCGGTAGGTCGGACAGTTTCGTGTGTGCTGGGGGTATGTGAGTGTTGTATATGATTGGTTCAACAGTTTTCCGATTGTCAATATCGACCGACGTGCCTGATCCGTCGGAAGCTCATTGACGCGCCAGATTGCTGACTTGACAATGTGACATATCCGTTGGCATCCGCAGCTGTGGTAGTTCTTGAGTCAGATTTATGTTCAATGGGCATTGGAGCGATAAGGGTCATTGCTCCCATGTCAAACGCATCGCTGTTGTCAGGCTTGTGATCATCGGTTCTATTTCGTCGATATCCGTGTCGGTGACTTCGTTGACAAGACATTCGGGGTTCTGGACGCGGCTAGGGCCATGTCTGTGAGAACCGTATGATCATGATATTCGATATGGGTGCTATCTCGGAGAGAACCATAAAGCCATCGGTTTTGCGTACAGTCTCCCGAGAAATTACAAATCCAAGGTCGTGGTTTGTGGTCGTCGCCCTCAGTTGGCTTCTGATGGGACGAATCTCGTTCATCTTCGTCTCGCCACTGTAGAGATAGTTTTCCCACTTATTTTCTCGTTCTTTGGGCGCGCCATGTTAATGAGATTTTGGAGATTTCGAATGACTGGCGGCAGCACGGGTTCGGAATCTGAAGATGACATGAGAGAATGGAGGGGATGTTGCAAGAGTGAGAGATCCAATCCCATTATGCTTGGGAGGATGTAAGGCGGTTTTGTTACGCCTCGTCGACTATCGGGAGTAGTCGAGGCAAACAAGCGGCCAGTCTACCTTTCCCCATCATATATTCTTCAACCCGGGGGCCTTTCTCGACCTAGATCCCTCCAGGCAGTGGCGTTAGCGTCCATAGAATGCAAAAAGGGAACAGCAGCTGACATTTCTGAAAAATCCTCACTTGGCAACGCCCTCCTCCCAAGGCTAACCGAGCGTTGATCCTTCCTAGTCTTGATGGCCCGACGGCGCAGGGATCCACGGTGGTTGTAATATTCAGTGTGTTCGAACTGATTGAGTCTGCTTTCCCAATTCCAATTCTCAACGTTGGATGCAAGGTAGATTGCGGGCAGCTCTAGGTTACCGTCGTCCTTTCGTCTGAAGATCACCCGGAAGTATGCTGGCTTCACCTTTCCGTGGGAATTGAAGTATCTGGAGTAGTGACCGGAAGGACGGAGGCTGACGGGCGATAGTGAGTAGGTCATCATCTGATAGAATTTTGGTTGCCGGACTCGCGTGAAGTTGCATGGTGGGAGTTTTCGGTATCTGCTGCCTCTGATGGTTCAAGCTTCCATATAACGACAGCATCAGGCTGTTTGAACCGGAGCAAGAGATCACCGTCCAGCGGTAGCAGAACGTCGTCAAGCGCCCCTTGAACTGATTCTCCGGTGGAGGAATCGAGTTGCAGATGGTTCAATGCCATTGGTGTTCGCCGTGGAGACCTCTCCGATGACCACTTGTCTTGATAAGATGCCGACTCATCTGGTTTTTTGCCGGCTTTGTGGCCGTAGGTCATTCCTCTTAGAACATCAGACTACGCGAAAGAGCTGGCCAGATTTGTCCGCGTTGGTTTCGACAAATATTGCATGGCTTGCTGGGCGGACTGAACAATCCATTTCTGGCAGTTCCTCTGTGTGACTTTTCTGCCAATCTTTGTGGCTGACAAGACCTAAGGTCTCAGGTTAGCTCCTATATTCTAACATTACGTCCCCTCGCGTGGCTCGCTCACCAATATTGCGGGTCATCTTTGCTTGGATCATGCGTATGCCCGGACATCGCAGACGTGATGAAAGTGTTCAAATGTCCTTGAGCGGACGTGTCCATTCGTCAACTCACGTCCGGGCGTATGATGCAAACGCCGATCGGCCAGTCGTTCAGTCGATCGGGCCTTTCCAACTGCTCGGTACAGCGGAGCGTTCAGTTTCGTTCCTCGAAACCCACTCGAGCTCACGTCCGGTGTCGAGTAGCTTGACGAGACTCTGCTGGACCTTGTTGAGTGCGAACGGAACTTCCCGCTGGGCAGCCGCGAGAGCGCCCTCCCGGCTTGGGATTGTCACAACCATCGGAGGAAAATGGGGTTGTTCGAGGTGATAACGAAGAAGTTGTAAAAGACGGAAGCGATTTGGAGCAGTGGTTATTGGTGTCCTGCCTGGGGACGCCACAAATGATCGAACATCGAATATAGTCGTCCAATCGGTGGTAGGCATGGATGATTGATGACAGACGAGCATTTGTGTCTTGTGTCTGTCAGAACTTATACCCTTACATGAATATATAGTGGAACTTACCTAGACTTTCTTTCATAAGTTCAAATTCAACTTCGACCAAGCCAGGCGTTGTGCATGGGCTTAGGTTTCTCCAACCTCATCATTTGACTCTTAAGGTGTAGAGTTCGGCACCTCCTCTAACCGTGTTGGTATTTGACTCGCTGCCAGTTGAGTATGATTGTCGCTTTAACTTGTCCCTGGCCACCGACCAGCCGGAGATTTATATCCTCCCGGAGTCGGGGCATAGATTCACTCCACCCGGACTCAACGACAAGAGACGGCAATGGTAGATTGTCTGGGCGAACCAACAAATCTGGCTCCTTTCTGGATGTCGAATATGGGCCATTGGTGAATAAAGGAGCTAGTAACATTGTTAAATAGTCAATCATCCAGTCGATAAAATCTCCACTTACTTGTACCAACCGAAGTTTTTAAGAGCTCATCCTCAGCAGCGGTCGTAAGGCCAGCACGGTTCCACCGGGATTTCTGAATAGTGGCTCAGTTTTGATGGCAATCGTGAATTGGGGTATCAAGTAGAGAACGCAATGGAGATGAGCATCGCGAGAAAATCCAAAGTGTCCTTGCACGTGCAGTTATCACGTTCTTTCTGGGCTTTCGCAGCAACTTGGTCTCTAGCACTGTCCAAAGCATCTTTAAGGATTTTCCAGGCTCAATTGCTGTCCTGAGTGGATGTCACTTTGCCGCTGTATGCCTTCCCCGATCGAGTCACGTTTCTCGTCCGCGGCTCGTCCAGAATGGCCTGCAACTCATCATCGTCTAGCACCTGCGGTTGCTCCACGACAGGAAGTAGTGGCTCATCAAACCACCCGAGCGTCGCTAGTCCGGAGGACGAACGGGGGGCAGAACGTCTGGGACGGGACTGTCCCTACGTCGGACGTTGTCATTTGCGAGGACGGTGTTGCAGAAGGGTCGTGGTTTCTGCCTGGTTTGTTTGTTGGGACGTGGTATGGAGCACCTTTGAGCTAGCGGTCGAAATCAAGGTACCGAAGAGCTTCGGCACCTCTTTTGTCTCATGAATATGTGTCTTTGCGTCATATTTGTGTACAACAAACATTTGGCCACCAACTCTGCACTGCTCAGGCTCAGTGATTGAGCGCAGTGTGAGTTCTGAGGCTGTATGAACCGTTGGTGGCTTGTTTGTGAAGTGGATCAGGATCATGCCAGGGATATGAAAGTCGCAAACTCGCAGGCCGTCGGGGAACGGCTTAAATCGGAGACCACTGTCTTCGTTCTTTTGCCCAGTTATTCCAGTAGTCAGGAGGGAGGCCCGTGAATAAATACATCAAGGCACATTCACCATAGCTTTAAACAAGCCCATGAGCGGTCTCAGGCGCGAATCCGCGTATCTTGATCGTTAGGTAGGCGCTTGGTCAGAAGGTTATCACGTATGGCCGTCTCACCATCTGCATGTAAAGTGCACACTCTGGCGTCCGCACGGGCAAGCACCGCGTCACGCAGCTCCCTGCTCCGGGCGCGAAAATCCATCCAGGTTGCATCATCGAATTCCTCTCCCGCCTGGTAAAGTCGATAGTGCTGATGGAAGGAGATGAATGCGTCCAGGGTCGACCATGGGGCCACAACGATGCTGGAAAGTTGCAGCATCTAATAACTAATGCTCAGCTTAACCTGCTTCACCTGACGGTCCTTCACACCTAGTAGCTGCGCAGTTTGGGCTTGGTGGACGTCGAATAACATCTGCGCAAGGGCAACCTGCGCAGGGAGGCCGTCATCAGGAGTGGAGTGATCTTCCATGATGATGGGTGGTCTGACATTGGCCGTCTGGGGGTCGCTGCTTCTTCGCTGGCATCAATAGAAGATCCTCCTCAGTGCTGAGCGCATGGCAACAGACAATGATAGTCTCACGGTCGGGAATGAATTTCTAACCAAGCTTCCTCGATCCCGACGGCGAGATCATTGACCACGTCGCTGGATGGTGCTAAGAGCATGACCCGATGCCATCTATCTTGGTTGTTAAGCGTTTGTTAGAAAGATGTATGCAAATTTGCAGACTTCAGCGGTCGGTTCTTATCAGATGCAAGGAATTCGAATTCCTCTGCGCTGACGCCCGAAACTGCACAACTTCATGCCTCGTGTGTAGGCTGTCTTGGAGGTGGCTGCAAATTTGCATACGTGTTATACTTCAGACGATCGGTATGCTCTGATGGCGAATAAATTCAAGGAGAGGAATAAATATAACAGTCTGCGTATATGCAAGAGACTATCCAAGATGACAAGAAGAGATGGTTGTATGATTGAGAAGGTAGAAGGGGGCGTTGGGGGTATTTATCTCTGACTGAGGCCAGTGAATACCCATCATGAAAGAATCATTCAATTCATTGAGCAAGGATAGTTGTCTTTACCTATCACCAAAATTATTCACAGACTCATTGAGCCATGTCTAAGACTCCCTATGGACATTGTCTATAATCATTCACTCAGTCAACCCCTCAGTTATCATCGCTCTCCTCCGCCTTCTCCAAGGTCTGTTCCTTCGTCAGGCGCGGGTTGCGGATACAGAGCGAGAAGACGATCAGGGGCACGGTCAGACAGATACCCGTGATACACAGCAGTCTCTGCGCATGCTTGTAGGCCAACACAACGGCGTCCCGATCCGGCGTGCCTACGGGGTTTGCTATGGCGAAGGTGAATGGGTCGGCGTAGACCTGTCCGGCCAGTGTCACATTGCCAAGCCGGGTCTCCAGTTCGCCGGGCAGGACCTGGGTCCAGATGGCGCCGGAGATGGTGTTGCCGATGGCGCTGCCGACGTTGTACGAGGCGAGATAGATGCCGGTGATGACGGCAAGGTCTGTGGGGGTTAGTTTTGTGAATATCCCTGGGACGTCAAACTTACGCTGATGCTTGGAGGCAGCCTGAATGCTGGCTTGAGCTGGGTAAGGGAACAGACCACCGGCTGGACAAGTCAGTGAGCAGCTTCTTAGATGGACGAGAGCTCACTTACCAACACCAAGGAGAATCTGTCCACCGATGATCCCTGCATGATTGGTGCCGTCTGCGCCTCCCCGGAATCGGATGAGGATACCAAAGGCTGCCATGAAGAGAAAGGTACCTGCGACAATGAACGGCTTGAGGCGTCTCACAAACACGACGATCGCTCCGAGAATAGTTCCCGTTATCACAGAGACAAAGCTACGCGAGTCAGTGAGGCCCAACACTTGCTGGGAAGTGGACAAACCTGTAGAGCGAGGTAATGCGCGTAGCACTCATTGTACTCTCGTCAAAGCTCACAACGAGGACGGTGTAGAGGTAATCGCCTTGCAGGGTCCAGGCTAGTCTATGTTAGCAACGGCTTGCAATCTGATTTGGTATATATACCGGTATTGAGCATGACAGCGATTCCCAGCGCACCCCAAACCGCTCGATCTTTCAGCAACTAGACCTAGTCAGCGGATTCCGTACCCAAGGTAGGAGAGACTCTACCTTGAAAGGAACCATCGGGTGCGGACACCACCGCTCCCACATTATGAAGGCTGGGATGCACAGCACTCCAATGACAAGAGGGGCAATAACTTTGGCTGTCTTCCACTGGGTCTCGACACCTCCGGCGATCGTGAACGGCACGAGGATCAGAGCTAGGAGGGCAATCAATAGCAGAATGCCAATCACATCCAAGTACCAGAACAGGTCGATGACAAATTGGCCAAGTCCCTGGTCCAAGAGCGAGAACCTATAGGCCTGGGGGTTGGATCGGCTAGCCTTGAAATGACCCATGAAGAGGACAACGAGCAAGGGGACGGTGCAGACTGGGTAGATGATGGCGAACATCCCAACACCCCATCTCCACGAGGTGACTCCCAGGACGGCGGACGTGACGTTGCCGCTGATCCAGGTATTAATCTGCCATTGTGAGCATTTTCTCATTGAAACGGGGACGGGTATCGTACAATGAATGGCAATGCAGGAATATATGAGAAGAGCAATCGAGACCGAGTGGATGTCACGTCGGCAATCAGAACCTCCACCAACAAGATAATCGATGTATATCCGATCTTGATTCCCGGTCAGCAGCGGCTTCATTGCTGATCATCAAGGCGAAATACCTGGTAAAGCACGGCACCCGCACAAAAAGTAGACAAGCTGTTGGACGCTGCCTCGACGATTGTGCCTATAGTATAAAAGACAATCGAGAGCAGGATGAGCTCGACTCTTCCAAAGACATCTGCAATTTTAGCCGCGGTAGGCTGTTCCGATTAGCGTGGGAGACAGGAAGATCAGGACAGAAAAGCTGGTACCTGAGCAGCAGCAGCAATTACCGCACGGAGAACATTGACCGTCGCCAGCAGGCTGTGTGAATCATAGTCGGCAGTCGCCAGAGGCTAGAAATGTTAGATGACATGTATACACACTTGAAAGATGGATCCGAAGATAAAATACCTGATAAGTATACCGAATCGTTCCATCCAAGCCATAGACATAGGCGATGAGGAAGACACCGAAGAAGAAGAAAATGCGATGGACCAGACTGAACTGCGATGAGATCACCTCGATCCGCCTCACACCGGGACTACCGATGCCTCCGAATCGTTCAACGGGGAGGTCAGTCTGGACACGCGACTCGACGGCATCAGCGGCATTTTTCTCGGGGGAGTCGTGCATCGCCATGTTCCTTTCCGGATTGTCACTGGCACAGGACCTCGAGAAATCGAAAAGGATCTGGTTGGAGGGAAAAGGCCTGCCTTAAGAACCCCGGTGCTGCGAAGACGGCCGCCTATTAGAGTTTGGCGAGCTCTGGTGCCAATGTCTTGGCGACTTTTAGTCAGTCGTATTCATCTTATCTGATGAGAAAATGATGAAAGCGAGGAAAGTGAAGCCGACACCCTTGAAGAACTGGAGAAAGTTGTAGGATTCAAGAGGAGAAAAGTTGACGGTGGATGATGGATGGTCGTCGTGAGGCCGTCCGCATGCGGAAAGAACTGTCCACCCTGATTCCATCAACAAACGTTGCATTGGTTTGATCAGATAACCGAGAAGACTCGGAAAATACCTCGATTAGTGGTGGGGGTTATCAATCAGATAAGCGGATCAGAAACTACGTAAGACAAAAAAATTTTCTTGTGGATGACCGAATCGCTGCTCACGCTAGGATGCGCCAAGTACTTAGTCCCCATCACACCATCAGGTTCATTTCCCATCCGGGTGGGATGATGGAAAGAAAAAGCAAAACTGATCATTTGATCTTGTTGTACACTTGGGTATCTTGTATCATACATTTCTGCTGCCACAAACTGCCAAAACAAAGAAAAAGAAAATTAAAAGAGGTACTCCAAAAAATACATCGACCAATCTCATGTAGAGGCATAGGTCTTGGATCGCGCTGCGTTGCCCAGATCGCGCATCAACTGACAAAGACCCTGGACCAATGGAGGTAGAGTATCATGGTGAACATCGCCTCGCAGACGCGCTTGAATTGCATCCATGATCTGACCGGGATCGGCGATGACAGCGGCACCACTTGGAGCCTGCAAAGCCGGACAGCCGCACCCTAACGAGATGAACCTTTGCACGTCGGTCGTCTCCTCACCATCCAGATAGACTGTGGGCCAGGGACCGCGGAAGTGCGGGTCCGATGGCGGACTGCCGACGACCGCTTGAGAATCTTTGGCTTTCGATACAACACTGTAGGACCAAAACGCGAGACTAGCGTAGTAGACCCCCAAGGCAAAGAACCCAGTCAAAGACCCTGGAGGCATGACTTTGGCCGCCCGTATCACTTGGCCGGCGTGCCAAATCGCTCGTCGCGAGTCAATACTGCCGATCCACTCGAGTGCGCTCTGGTATACCCGACGGGCTTCGTTCTTATCCTCCTTGCCTGCGAACAGCTGCAGTTCCTCCAGCGACATGTGGAGGAACATGGAAATGAGTTCAAAGACCAAAACAATCCCGGGCCCGAGAGCGCTAGACATCTCGAAACAAAGCAGGCGGAGATGTTGTAGTGCTTGTGACAACTCCTGATGTCGTGAACTGATCACCAAAGCACTCCAATGTTTGGAATGGCCTTTCGTTATAAATTTTTGGCGATGGTATTCGCTGATGAGCGTAGAGAGACCGTGAATGAGGGCCAAGGCGGACAGTTGAAGATCGATTCGTGATTGGAATGCCGACAACTGGGACATGTCTTGTAGAGTGTCAATCAACGAGGGTGTTCGGCCCTGGCTCGACAGTCCACTTGCCAAGTACGCTTCCTTCCAGTCTTTGGCAGATTTGGCCTCCCACAACGAGCGAGGAGCAGGCAGAGGAAGTTCCAGCTCGGAGTACGAGATTACTGGGTTCACGTTCAACATCATCGCCGACTGGGCATCATGCAGAAACATGTGATGCACGAGTCTGTCTGGGATCAGTAAACCGGTTCGTCCAGCTGCAAGCAACTATTACCTGGTGAATGATTCGGAATGAGCCCAATCCCGCCACTTTTTCTCCAGAATATCTCCCTCGTCGTCGGGGTTCGGGGCGATGTTGGAATAGACCGAGCGACGAAAACGTAAGCCGCGTCGCATCATCTATGATTGGGATCGTCAGTGAACTTGTATCCACAGGCCCTTCAGATTGACAAACCGTGACCAAAGGCTGCTGGAAGCTTTCCGCAATCTCTGTCCTCCGTGCGTTGCCACTCCATATTCCGACATCGATAGTCAGAGCAAACGTCTGCGAAGCGCGCAGATCGCGTGTGGTGCTATTGTCGCTCTCGTACTACATGTGAGCATCTTTAGCTGGTTTCTTCGCGCCGGGAGTTACAGACGCCAACGAACCTTGACCGACATCTGGAGGCGCACTATTTCCATCAAGGCATAACCTAACCTGCGGATGGTCGGAATAGTTGATCGAGCGGCTCCAGCAGCGGCAAGAGCGGCAAGCATATCGGGCGGTTCGTCATTCATCCCAAAGGTCGGTCCGTGGATCCAGGAGTCTATGTGGTGACTTTGGGACTCGAAATAGTACTGGATCAAACTGCCCAGCAGTTGGGTACTCGGGAAGGATTTCATGATGCGAGTTAGGTTGGCTCGCTGGCTGGTCTGCAGAACCATGCCAAAAATGAGATCACGACCACTTGGGGACAACCGCTCCGAGAGGATCTGACGATCCGGTCTGAAATTGGCGTCGGGGCTGTCAATCGCCTCCGGAACAGACAGATTTTCCTGGTCGGCAAACACATGGTCTTCGTGGGCCGGTTTCCACGCAGACAAAGATGACCGATGATACGCCTCGGCACCGATGGCAATGCCGCTGTCCGCATCACCACGATCGTTGGCTCCATCGCTATTGTGGGCATTATGATGGACAGCGCCCCGAGAGTTGAAAACGTCAATGAGTCCATAATCCACGTCGGTCAAATCGAAGTCGAAGTCAACGTTGTGGTCAAATACACTGTGGATGTAGTCCTGTGGAAGGACCGGCAGCGGGTCCAGATCGCTCGTTCGGGTCAATGAAGGTATCAGTGAGTCCGGGATAAAGTCGGGAAACAAGGTACCGTCGACGCTGAACACGCCACTTTCGCGATCTATCGTAGGCGACCCGGATTGAAGCCCCGCAGGTAGGTAATTGTTCATCTGCGCATTTGGACTGACCATCTGGTTCGGATAGTGGTTTATCTGCCCGTCGATCGGGGGTGGGAATGTGGTGTGCACCTGTGATGCGTCGACAGGGAGATATGGAGCCTGGTCGCTTTGGGATGCTGTATTGCAAATTCCATTAGCTTGTGAATCTTGTCAACTGAATATTCTCGCACACACCTTGCCGTTGTGATTGAGGGGATGCGTCGATATTACTGCCATCCTGCGCCCAATCGCAGACCAAATTCTTCTCCCGACACCGGCGACAAGGCTTGTCCTCATCACACTTGAGTTTCGATGCAGCACATGTCTTACAGGCCTGCGACACACGACCCATTCTTGGGATAAGGGCGGGGACGCCTTCGTTTGATGTCGCGTGGGTGAATATGACCGGCCGCGTGTCGCTTCATCAGGTCCCTGCAACAGATTCAGTCTCGACAACACAATTCGTTGTGACTTTTCTGTTGAGGCATAAACATTTCGAGAGACAACTCACGGCCTGGCGAAGCCTTTACTGCAAACGTCACATACATATGGCTTCTCGCGGGTATCTACGGGAAGTTAGCCGGCTGCATTGACAGCACTGTCTACATGAAAGAACTGACGTGATCGAACATGTCGGGTTAGGTGGTCTGCTCGGTTGTATCTTTTTTCGCAGAAACCGCACTGGAAATAGCCGTCGCGCTGCCTGGCGAGGGAGCTGTGGGGAGAGTTGTCGAGAATGGGGGGCGGGGAGTCAGTCGTCATAGCGAAGATACATGAATCTTTTGAGGAAGCTCTACTTAGAGGGATTGATTCGAGACATGAATACCGTCAGCAGAAGGAGAAATTCGGATGTGCAGCTGTGAGTAGCGGATGATCAACAGGATGGTCAACAGGGAGAAGAGGGAAACTGGGGTGGATGAAGCTAAAATGCTGAATATGCGGGGGAGCAGGTTATTTGCCTGAGGCCTGTTCTCCCTGTCGTCACGTCGCTCTAACAGTTCTGACTTTGGTTTTGGAATGACTACAGGTCCATAACTAATGATACTCTAGAGGATCGCAGCTGACAATCCCATCTCATTCAGATTCCCAGCTTGAAAGAAACGGGGCTATGCTCCTCTGATCCAAAGAGAGGATGCCAACCCATGGCAAGACAGTTCAACACTAATAGTTCAACCTTCAGAGGCCTTCACTCTTCATACGCCGTCCGTCCAGCATCCAGCAGGGCAATTGATAGGATTATAATCACTGCAAGTCATGTGGGAGATGAGCATTACGCGGTCATTCGGATGTCCTCGTTTGGGGCCACCCAAGTCAGAATGCGGAGGCGCGTCGGGACGTGGGAGGCGCATACCCGAACACTTCCAGCCAGAGACCTCAGCCAAGATGTTCGGAAACTGGGTGACGGATCTGGACATGGTCGGTGCCGATAATAATGCAGCTAGAAATCGTTTCCAAGATGATGTCTTTATTTTGTTGAATTCGATAGTGTCTGACAGAAACCTCGAAGGCTGCCCATCACTGTCGCGGTATATAGCACAACCATCTCAAAGCAAACATGTGTATGGCAGGCTCTCTATACGGCATTCACAGAATAATAGCTGACAAGATAGGCCTCACACCCGTTCATTTCTTTTCCCATGGCTCGACCATGATGCTGGGAGAGAAATCCGAGTCGGCAGACTACTGGAGGAGGACTGGTGAAGAAGCGCTGGCTCACAACATCAAAGGCGTAATCATCATGGTCAGTCACCTTCAGGCTTCAAATATTGACGACAAACTGAACCGATCAGGGCGCACACTGGGACTGTCTCGGCGACAAGATCGAGGTCGCAACCAACCCCAACCCGGACAAGTCGCCTGTCGCCTACGTCCACCCGGACAAATACATCAACTACAAGTTGAACCCGGACCTCGAGACAGCCCAGCGATGCATCGACATGCTCACCAAGGAAGGCTTCAACGCCAGCGGCAACCCAACCTTCGACTGGATCCACGACGTCTACCTGATCCTCATCCACATGTTCCCCAATGGCTGTCCCCCGACGACCATCATCTTGATGAACGCCGGCTACGATCCACACTACCATGTGAAGGTCGGCGCGACGCTGCGGCCCCTCCGCTACGAGAACTACCTCCTCATCGGGACCGGCGGCGCAGTCCACAACCTCTACCGCAACCGCTGGGCACCCATGCTGCGCTTCCGGGACAATTTCGCCATGGAGACGCCGCCAGCGGAGTGGGCGCTGGAGTTCCGCCAGGCGGTCGAGGACGTCATCACGAAGACCTCTGGGCCGGCGCTGCGCCGCGCTATGACCCGGTTGATGAAGCATCCCCGGTACCGTGATGCGCATGCCACGGATGACCATTTCATGGCGGCAATGTTTGTGGCCGGAGCGATGGGGGATTTCGAGGATACGGGGTCGCCGGCGGTGATGGGTGCGGAGAGCTGGGAATTGACCAACATGTGTAATTCGCAGTTTACTCTTGGGTCGTGGTCCAGGGATATTTCTGTTTAGTCGATATCTAGCCATTTATTGAGTATCCACCAGCCGTGAATTACAACAAAAATCCGAGTTTGCATTATTCTCCTAAGTCTCGAACAGCCAAAGGTACTTGTTGGCCTACCTTTCCTACCGTGATAGATCAAATTAAGTGATAGTTATTTTCAGAGCAAGATGATTCTGCTCCCTATCATGTGAGAGTTACCTCCTTTGCAATATTGTTGCGTGTTTTAAATGTTTGTGAGAAAATATATATTGTCAAAGGCTGATATCCTCCGCAAACAACCGAAAACCTAAAGAAGTAGAATTAAAGCTAGATTCCAAAGATAAAATGCAACGGTTACAGCAATTATACAGTACCCAAACTATCTAAGCTCGCAATCTCCTCACATACGAAAAGGTATACCACCCCACAGTCGACACCGTCGCTACCAACGTCGCAAGCGTAATCACCCCACCAGTGATTAACCCTTGCTCGAAGAACCCGATTCTCCAGCCGGGGCGCTGGCCTGTAGCCGGCAAGGAGGCAAGGGCCTCGTGCGGTGCTGGGGGCCGTGTTGATGGGGTAGGCAGGGCCGACTGAGTCTGTTAGCTGGATGGAAGGGAACGGAAAGGAGGACGTACTGAGCATGTCGACGGGGACGTGGTTAATCCACGAGATGGAGGCGTCGATGAACTGAGTGATGTATTTGGCTGCGGAGGGACTGCCGAACGCGTATGTCGCTGCCAGTGTGCCGCTCCTGAAGACGTCAGCGATAGTAGACTAGGGAAACAAGAGCGACCTACGAGTTGCTAAGGTCAATAGCGTCGTCTAGACTTGTCACGGGGTGAAGGATGAGCACTTTCTCCTGCACCTTTTTCGTCAGGAGAGGCGAGTTTCTATAGTAGTCAATGTCAGCCGCAGCCACTGTCAACAGGATGAAGCATACCGATCATGGACCTCCACCACCCCCCATCCAGACCCAGAGACAAGCACGCGAGCACCCGCGTCCTTATGCGCAGCATCCAGAAGCGAGGCACTTGGACCGAACCGACGGGTATTCGACGCGCCCTGGCGTGCCTCTCCGTTCGGGCCAGCCAGATATCTGGACGCCTGCTGGATAACCGCCTCGACAAACCGCTTCATCGCAAACTCATTAACCAGCACGATATCAGGGGAATACGTCGACCGGCCGCCAAAGGCGAAGCGCGCGGCGACCAACGCTTCAGCTGCGGCTGCAACATCTGCTGTTCTGTCGACGACAGCCACAGTTCGCGCGTTCGCAGGCGAGAGCAGACTGCGCTCGGCGAGCGGCGCGGAACCGGTCTGGGAGACCCTGAGCACCCTGCCGAGGAAAGCAGCATCGGGTCTCTCTTCGCTGATGGCGAAGGTATCCGCGTCTAGGGCCTGGGAGAGAATTCTGCGCAGTACGGCTGGCAGCGCCATGGTATTCTTCGTCAACTGCTACCGTCAGTCTATCTCATTTGATCTCTGAGAGTCAAGCCCACCTCGAGAATGATACAATTCCCAGCCGCCAATGCCGCGCTGAGCGCCGAGACAACGGAATAAAACATGGTATGTGTGCTGGGGACAATGTAGACAATGCCTGCGCCGCGCTTCGCGTCCCCATTGTCCTTGCCAGCTACAACGCGATACTCCTCTTCAAGGTCCTTCTCCAGGCTCAGTGTCAGGTAGTGTGTGCGGATCTCCTTGAACGCGAGACACAGCTCCGCGCGGACTTCCTCGGGTCCATTCCCGGAGTCTTTCTGGATGGCGTCTTGGATCTCGTCGATGCGCTGGCTGAGGGCCGACTGGAGGCGATGGAACTCATTCTGGCGATATCTGGTGTTTTGGGTACGTCCGTCGATCTCTGCTGCGAGCAGCCGGGAGAACTGTGAGGAGACCATCGTTGCTTCGGTGGCTGACTTGTCCCTGTCAAGATGTGTTCACCGTCAGTCACTGCAAAGAAGATACAGTGTCAGTACCCACAGTCTGATTCAGACAGTCCAAATGCCTTTCAGAGGAAATCTTCTCCTATGTTCATATCCTAATCAAACAATGCCGCAGCGTGCAGTCGGCCACTCCGCTTCGGGAGGTGGGGGAGCTGCAAATGGGGGCAACCCGAGGGCCAAAGATGGGTTGATCATTTTAATCTATCTTCTTGATCGTTGGATTTTGTATCTCCGAACGAATAAAAATGTGGGGGGGCCATCTAGCCTCTGTTCATTTCCAAGGCCATATCTAGCCCGAGTGTATGTTGTATCCTGTCGACATCCTACATACATTCGTCTCGACTATATCAAAAATCTGAAGACTACAAACTCAAATCAACATGGCGACAACAGCTACAACCACCCAGACAAGCACCAACTCCCTCTCCATCCTCGCCGACTATGAACTCCACCACAGCGGCAGCGACGAACCCCAGTCGTCTGAACGAGCCCCCATCTCGCACGCAGCCCAACCCGCCAACTGGCCGTCGAATTACCGTCGCGTACCAGCATACCGTCCTGCGAACCATGACCTAGACCAGAGCGAGAGACCAGCGGGGAACAACCCCGCAGAATTCGTGTTTATCCAGGTGATGCTGCACGGGGTGTGGTTGAACGCGGTCGGTTCAGCCCAGTTCCATGAACATCACCAAGGGGTCTACTAACTATCCATAGTCTGTTGCTCGTTTGTGGAGGCTCACAGGGGGGATAATCAACGACCGGATCTTCCGGTATGATATCGGAGGGGAGTTTTAATCATATCAGCATCTGTCTGGCGTCTAGCAACCAATACCACGTCTACAAGTACTTCATTTTCTCTCACAATCAAAATATTAAAATAAAACCATCCATTCGATTCACAAGGCAGACCCAGAAGCACAAGCAGAAGCAGAATGAGTCAAGTACTAGGCCTAACCCCCATATGCCCCAACTCCTCCCCCAGCTTCTCCCCCCCAATCTCGATCTCCTCCGCCGGCATAAGGACATACAGCATCCGCGCCCACCCCGTCTGACTCATATTCCGCCACGCATGGTTCGTCCCCCGCTGCACACTCACATCCCCCCTCTTCATCAGCCTCGTCTCCCCGGAGTCCAGGACAAGCTCGACCTCCCCCTCCAGCACAACCCCATAGTCCAGGCTCACGGTGCGGTGCATCGGGCTCGTCGCCCCAGGCTGCATATCCACGATCCGGCACACGGAGCCCGTGCTGATCACGACGCCGGGCGGGTGCGAGAGGTAGTGCGCGTACTCGGGGATGTCGGCCTCGTTGTTGAGCTTGGCGGGGAAGTGCGAGGAGGTGTACGCGAGGCTGAAGTCGGCGCCGTCCGGGATGGTGGTTACGGGCATTTCCTCGGACAGGGCGCTGGAGAAGATGGCCTTGCCCGAGGCATCGTGAGTGGTGATATAGCGTTTGAGGGGGCGAATGTTCTTGGGTCGGGAGGACATTTTGGATAGTATAGTTTGGTATACGGGGTAGAATTAGAGGACGTTGTACGTTGTGTTTCCGTCTTGTGTGTTTGTGTAAGGTACAGAGGGGATTGAAGTAGTTATACCCCTCATACTGTAGTTTCATATTGTGTAATACTCCAATTGGCATACTATTGTTGTCTCGGGACCACATCGGGAGCGGAGAGCTGTTAGGGTTCTCTCGCCCTAGCGCTCCGCCGCGAGCCTACTTCCTGCAGGATTATCAATCCAGGAACGACAGCCGGACTCTCCCGACTCACGTAATCGTGGAGTATATTCATACGAATGCAACTATCATATCTCAGTCATATCTGTCTATGCCTCGGGGGAACGATGGGCAGGACCACATAGTTATCGCCATGTCCAAAGTTGATATGGTTCTGGCCCTGGAATTTCTCCGGTGCTCTGTCCAAGTCAAGTTAGTATAAATAAAGTCCTGCGAGAAAAGGCGGCCTACCGGTCAGTCGGGGAGTTATGCTGGAAAACACCGCAGCCCTGGGTGTCCCCAGACGAAACCTCAAAAACGATCTTGCCCCCTTTCTCCACGACCACATTCGTGGGCCACACCTCCACATCGACCCTGTACACCTCGCCCGGAATCACCGGCAGCACATCGGTGGAGTAGTAGTCGCGGTGGGGCAGATAGGTTCGATGACAGCGATGCTCCTCGTTCACCTTTCGCATGCTGACACGCAGCCATCCCTTGCAGAGAGGTACCGGGTCGCCTGCCGTGCCGGTATAGAAGACCTCCTTGCCCTCGGGGGAGATATACCGCAGCGTGACGAACAGATCAATGTCCCGCGGTGTCGGTGCACCCGGGTCAGGGTTCATCGACACATTCAAATGCGCGACAATATGTCCAGTGATCTCCGTCTCCTGCTCAAATGGCGCGGTTGTGAATTGCACAAGCTGGGGGTTGTCCAATGTTCCCAGAGCGCGGTAGGTGATCTTCACCGCTCGTTCCTGTCTGGCTTCAGTGACCAGTTCGCGGCCGGACGTCAGGTAGTACTTGGTGTACTGCGTCCGAGCAATGGGCCATTCATTCTCAACACGACGAGGAAACTGTTTCTCGGCTTCCGCGTTGTCGAATCCGACGTTGCCCTTGCGGATAACAATGTCTACCTTTGGCGCCGTTCCGTTGCTCCAGCCGACACGATCCTCACCCTTGAGGAACGCATCCAGGAAGCTACGCTGAATCTCAACTTCTTCCTTGTAGTAGAATGGAAGGTCGTGTCGACCGGTGATGAATCGCAAGTACTTGAGCTCGCTGCCTGCCTGCGTGTAGCCCTCCACATTCCCCCGAAGGTGCAGAAGAATGCCACCCCAGTTTGCGACGGAGAGCAATGGCACCTGGATGTCAGACTGTGTGTATTCCTTGGACGCGTAGTAGATATCATCGCGGAAGTAATTCTTGGCGTTGTCGATCGTCTGATCTTGTCGGTTGGCCACCAGCTCCTCCTCCGGAAGGTCGCCTTCAATGGTATCAGGGCCCCAGTTACGCGCTGCGCGACCGGGGCGACCGTACTGGTTGCTGATGACCTGCCGGTCCCACCAGAATTTGATGAAGGAGTGACTCAGAATGCCTCCGTGACGGCAACGGTCCCGATAGTAGTCCGACATGCCCTCCCAGGGGATAATGCAGCTGAGGCCCTTGGGCTGGCGCGCGGCTACTCTCCACTGGCTACCCGCGTAGTAGCTGATACCCAGCAGACCGACTTTGCCGGTCGACCACGGCTGTTCCGCTGCCCACTCGACGACGTCGAAAAGAGCCTCGCTGGTTTCGCGTGACATGGTGTCCAGCTTGCCCCGTGATTGACCTGTTCCTCTCTCGTCCGCCCGAACAATCGCATAGCCGTGTTTGGTCCAGAAACCGGGGTCGGGCGTCTCCCATGCGGAATGCTCCGAGTGGTGCTCGGGGTTGACGTCGCTGAATGACTTGGGGTTGAAACTAGCTGGGTCAGCAATCTGGGTACATGAACAGCGGCGCAATAAGACTATGCATACTCGCGGTAATGAATGTCCTTGCCGTACGGCCCATAAGTGACCAGAACGGGAGCCCTCTCAAGGTCTTTGGGACGATAGACATTGCAGCGCACCAGACCGGAGCCAACCTTCAGCTAGATGGTGACATTCTGCTCAAAGATGTAGGGGAACGAAGTATCATCCCTCGTGGTGATGTCTTCACGAACTGGGTTCGGCATGACGTCGCTTGGCCTTCGAGAATCTGAGATGAAAGGGAAGGAAGTGTTGCTCCCGATAGCATGTGTGACAACTAAATTATAAACACACTGAAGTCCCGCTATCCGATCCGTCAAAGGGCTTACGTCCGCATCAGCGGGCGACTGCCCTCTGTCCTGTCCGCATGTGGAGCCGAAATGCGGAGCCGATGGCCGGCCACGATGCCTCCTCGATTACTCCTCGATGATGCGGGGGCAATGGCATGAGGCTTTCCGAAGGGCAGGTATGTTCTCAAATAAAGTGGAGCAAGGCTATGTTGGGGAGAGTTCCTGTTTCAAGGAAATCTACAGCTTTCGTGTTGTAATTTCCGACCAGGAGATTCAACCACCATGGGGAGCAACGACTTGAACGGGACCGACCAGGATAGCCTCCAAATTCTGATAGTGGGAGCTCCTTGAAGAGACTGAAGTATCCTTGCATGAACTTGCCTTGGTGGTCCATCCTGGTACCTGCTAAACTTATAGATTACCTTAACTGCCTTAAGGGGAGTGATGGGACAGGGGACTTTTCACAGCATCGATTCCTTTCAACATAAACCGGTGTCCTGCGTCGTCAAGGCTCCTAGTTTTGAAGATGGAAAAGCTGAGAATTGACGTACATAATGAGGAAGTTGGGAGAAGTTGGGAAAAGCCTGTTGTATTATTAAGGTCATGCCGCATTACAAAACATCAGCTAAATTTATTTAGCACAGCCATGATGGTCCGTGCCACAATACCTTTTGTTGCTGACAGAGAAATACTATCTTCGATCCGCGCCCATGCTCATATCATACAACAGCTTTCACTACACTGTTTCTCAAATCTTCAAGTGTGGCCACCCGTCAAATTACGATAGAAGACTTTCGTTGCAAGATGAGGAAATTGTTCATTTCACTTGCTCCACGTATCTTGCGACCGGACTTCACCTGGCCGCGAACAGCGCGACATGCCATTTCTGAAACCACTCCTCCAGTGCCTCATCCGCCAGGCAGAATAGTACGATTAACTTTCGGCATCCTTCACAAGGCATTATACTATTTTTCGCAATGGTACTGCTCATGGTTCGAAATCCCCTTTGACCCCCAAATTGTACAACTACCGTTTGGGCTTGTGATGAAATGGACGGATCGGACAAGCATAGAGGAGGCTGTTGCTATGCAGATGGCTGCAGCTGCTGGAATACCTGTCCCAAAATTCCTGAGCTGTGGGGAGCACCCAGATGACCCCTTCAATCGGATCTTTTCAATCTTGATGACAAGGTTGCCAGGTGTGCCACTGGGAAACTCATTTAACCATTTAGAAGTTGATAAGGAACCATGGCTGCATGAACTGAAAACATGCTTACAATCTATGCGCCTATGGTGTTCCCCTTATCAAGACTCCATCTGCTCACCAATCGGCACACACATACAAAGCACACGGGTTCCTGGTCATTCCATGGGTCCTTTTACAAATGCGAGGGATTTCTATAAGTTCCTCTTCAGCCCAGCCTCTTGTCATGGCTTTGAATCAACGGCAGAATATGAAGAAGCCCTATTATGTGCGAAGAAAATTCAACAACGTTCTCATCGGATAACATTTACCCACGGGGATTTCAAGTTCCATAATATCCTTGTCGATGAAGAAAGGCATTTATCGGGGTTTCTTGACTGGGAGTCTGCAGGCTGGTATCCTGAATACTGGGAATTTACAACAGCAATGCGGTTTGGAAAAGGCAGTTGGTGGTATCAGGCAGCTTTATGGATGGGAGGAGACCAATATCTTGAGGAATTAGCTTCCGATGTTGCCTTGAACTTGCTGACGGTCGATTCCTACATTGCCATGTAGCTATACAATAACATTTAGACTCAGACAGCATCGTGAATCAACTGTAGTGTACCAGAGTTGAACAGAGAAGAGCAAGAGGTAGCTCGCGTAGTGGAACAAACAGGAACGTCGCTGTAAAAGAGGAAACTCCCCTTTAGGGCCAAGATCGCCTCTGACCAGGTTGGCTTGCTCAATGACTGGGCCCTTGATTATCAGTGCGTCTGGCGACAAAGAACCTCTTGTAGGACGGAGAGCTCAGACAACAGAAGGATCAGCCAGATCCCTTCCTGAGCCGCGAGGGCCATGGAGATCAATTCGGACTTGCATAGTTCTACCGAAAATTGGAAGCTCAGTTGCTGGTTGATATAGAATGGGGCAGAAAGAGACGAAGTTCCAGGGGTTGTCATGTTAAGTGGTAGAATCAAGGCCCACGCATCATTACATCCCTAGGCTTTGGAGGTTATATATAGATCTAACTTAGGAAAGTATTTAAAGATATAAAACTAAATCTAACTACAATTTGAAACTAACACTACCTTAGAGATACTAGCATAATTGTCAGCTCACAAAAGAAGCCACTATCAATAATCTTCCAAAAGTAAAGTGACATCCAAATAAGCAACATTAAAGGTGCTCTCCGGATTTGGGACGCATTCACGAATATGCACCCGAAAAGATCTTTAGAGGCAGATTCTTGATTTGACCACAGGCTGAGGTTGGGCATTAGCAACGGCCAACGCACTATGTTGATTTCTGATTTCCATGCACTCCCTCTGCAGAGCCTCGGGATCCCAGCATCAGACAATCTTGTTCTGGACGAGGGCTTGGAGTATGGTCATCAGCCATACTCGGCAAGTTACCCCAGGGATTGTGTCGACGTCTCATCGCGTGATCTCATAGCTTGATTGAGATCTGAATGCTTTGCTTTGGGAACATTTATGATCTGAACAAGAACACAGAGAAAGTTGGACTTGAACACGCCACTAGTTAGGCCATGGTCCAGTATCCATCCACCGCTCATGTTTCTGACGTGGTATTTGGTTCCTCCGGCAGCATTTCGGTGAAGGTAGTAACCCCAGTAGAAATCATTCAGACAAGGAGGATCATTTCTAACCCAGAGGACAATGTAGAGCATATTCACTGGTAGTCGGGCCAATGCTTCCTCTTGTAGCTTTTTGGGAGGGACACCCCTTTTCTAGACGTTATCAGGTGGAGGGATAATGTAATTCTACATCCTGAAGACAAAGGAGGTAAAAATATTCAGTTAAAGATGCTGAAAGAGCCAAATATATTGATATGTTCCGTGAAAGAAGATGTGATGCCCAAGGGAGCTCCCGACTTAAATATTCCACCGCGACCATAATTGCAGTAATAGAAATCCGCTTGCTGGACACAAAGATGGCAAGGGTTCAGGATATACCGTAACATCCTGGCGATGCTTTAGCGCTGTGGCTTAATGACAGAGTTTTATGTTATGAAAAGGGAGGTAGATGTTGTTGTAGTAGAAGTTTACTAGCTAAGAACTCCCTGTCCACCTTCCGCTGGCAATTCAGGTTAGAGCTAACCATCAGCGCTACGATCCTGCGGCCGAGAACAGCATCTAGCCAGGCTAACAGTTGGCCCCAGTTGGCCACAGTTGCCAGTAGTTGTCCGAAGTTGCCTTTAGTTGTTCAAAAGCACCATCTCCAATGATCAATACCATTTAGCGACTGCTAGTGACGCCTTACAGGCTTTGCGGCGTCCTATGGCTTATAGGTCTTCCGGATCCCTTTCGTCGCCAGTCTGCCCGTCTTTCCTTACTAGATAGTCTTGTACAGTGCTAGCTGCGGTCATTATCCCTGCTCAATCTATGGCAATGCTTCCCCCGCAATGGCGCCTGGACTAAGTTGGGGCTGGTATTGACGGCTTGACTGCAGCTATTGCTCTCAGACGACAAGGCCACCGCGTCACCGCACACCTCTAGCAGAGTGGTTGACATTGATCCGCACCGTGCCACCGTCACACTCGGGGACGGACAGGTGGTTCAGGGTGACGTCGTCATCGCCGCAGATGGCGTGCATTCCGTTGCGCGATCCAAATTGCCCGGCGCCAGCAACATTGCCCCCTATGACTCAGGCAGGAATGCATTCCGCTTCTTGATGTCGCGCCAGGCGGCACTGGATGACCCCGAAACTCGAGAACTCGCACAGGATCGCGGTGTGATCGACATGTGGGACTCACCTGATCGGAGATTGGCCATCTATCCGTGTCAGAATAACGAGATCCTGAATTTTGTCTGCCTGCACCCCAGTACAATGACTGCCATTGAGACAGGCACGGATTGGAATCAGTTGGCCGGCAAGGATGCTTTAATCGAGGTGTACAAAGACTTTGACCCGCTGCTGGTCAAGTTGCTGGGCAAGGCGGAGGCCGAAACGCTGAGAATCTGGCCGCTGTTGGATATGGACACGCTTCCCGCCTGGGTCGAAGGTTCGATGGCTATCATTGGAGATGCGGCCCATCCTTTCTTGCCCTATCGTGGCTCTGGAGTGGCCATGGCTATTGAGGATGGCGTAGCACTTAGTGTTATGCTGTCGTTCAGCGGCACGAGATTCCAGAGCGTCTGAAGCTCTATAACCAAGCCCGCCATGAGCGAGCAAGCACCGTCCAGAAAATGACACGGGATTCCGCGCATGGTCCGCTGCCACCACCTGAATGTAAGCCCCTGCCCGATTTTGGACCTTCAAGAAAAGCTATGGCTGACTCATCTCAGCCCAAGCGATAGTGTATTACATCTACGGCCATGACGAGTTCGATCATTCCACACAGATTCTGCGCAAGTATCTTTGGGCCAAGAACCCGCGGATGTACTGGCGCCAGCCCATCGTCTTCGGACCAATGCCGGGCCCAAGGCAGGACTTTTATGGCCAAGACCGCGCGGTGAAGTCGTTGAGATCAACCTTCAAGACAGCATCAATCCGCTTCAGGACCAGCCGCACATTGCTCCAAAACCTGCTGCCGAACGAGTCATACAGCTTCAGTAGTCCTGGAACTATAGCCTATGCAAGCTTCTCACAAACAATGCTGAACGGAATGGACTGGCTGGGCGGTGGCGGATACCGCCATCTGGGACTTTACATTGAAGGCGTGCAGAACAAGAAAGCCAATGGCGAGGTCGTCAAGGGCACATACATGCCTATCCTGTTTGAGAACCTGGCCGATCCTATCATCAGCGGCAGAGAGGAACTCGGCATGCCCAAGCTCTACACAGCCATCGATGCACACGAGCGGCGCGATTCCTATCATCTTCAGACCAGTTGGCAAGGTGCCGTCTGGGGACACTTCCACCTGGAAAGCCTCGAGGGTGTGGACCCAGAAAATGACCCCGGTGTTATCGGTGGGGAGCCCAGCGATGGTATCCTGGTGCACCGTTATATTCCCAAGGTCGGTCGCGATCGCAAAGGACAGGCGGAGGCTGAGTATCCAGTCTTCGTACCGCATGCAGCAGAATCCAAGGTGGTACCGTCCAAGGTGATACGAGTACGCAAAACGACCAAAGCTTTTTTCGAGATTGATGCGCTGGGCTGGGAATCGCTGCCAACCCTGCAGCATATCATTTCGCGACTGGCAGAGATTCCGGTCGATCAAATTGTAGGTGCAAAACTGGTAGAAGGTGAAGGAGTGCCTGATGTGTCATCAGCCATGCGTCTGGAGTAGCAGGGCTGTTTCGCATGGATTTGAGCGCAAATTGTCATGAAATGCGATGTACGTATCATTTCGACGCTCCGCTGTGTAACCATAGCATGTGGCATCCTGAGACAATTGTATGTATTTGATCATATTCTGTCTGACGCCATCATTCCTATGGAGAGTCATGCTCAGATAAGTCGCCGATACGTCTGCTTAGCAAATGAATATTCAAAAGCCCCAGTCTATCTCTGTACTGGCTGAGCGTGTACATTATTGACCCGACTCATATTCAGAGCAATAATGGTTGTGATTTCAGAACCACCAATCTTCTCAACGTCCGCAGCGGAACCGAAACAATCGTCTCGGCGTCAAACAGCCCAAGAATTTAGCTGCAGCGACGTGTCCTCATAGCCTCCTAGCCTCCTAAGGTACATAACATTATCTCCAAAGGTACTATCTTGGAAAGTGCGCTCTCGCATGTGAAGTACACACTCTCAAGAAATCACAGAGTGTCCCAGAACGATTAAAGGGCTGCGGTCTGCTTTCCCACTATGACGAAAGGCCAGGCACGGCATCACACCAAGTTTCCCCTGCCGCTCCAGGGTGGGGTCAGGCGACGCTACCGAGCCATATTTGACAGGGAGCGACAGGTTGCCGTTCCACCATATGCCAAGGACGATCAATATCGAGGATTGGAATCATAGTCCCTCTCGAGGGTAACAGCCAGATAACAGATGCCTTTATAATCGTTCTGCCGACATCTGCTCTCTGCTTCCCAAATGACATAGACACATTGCGCGGGTCCCTGACATTCTGGCGTTCAGTCAGCTCGACGATCGTGACTCCGTGAAGAATCATCAAAAATTGCGAGATGGCCTAGCGCGTGGCTGATGATGCCAGGATCGGTTGTCCTCGTGGCATCAGGCCAGGATAAGATCAGGTACGCTGCACCATCTGGAAAGAAAAGCGTGACAGTGAGGCTTTAGCCGGCGGTCGCATCTGAGGCGCACGGCAAAAAGCCGACGATCCCCGCATTGCGATTGTTGGAGAAAGAGCAATTTAATATAACCGTTGCACGTACCGGGTATCCTCATTCAAAGCTCAATCAGCCATTAGCGACGAGACCTAGAATAGGACAAGCGCCAACCGCAGCTTGCATTGCAACCTTGCAGCCTTGCAGCTAGTACATGGCTATAATAATCATAAAAGACTTGATTACGAATCAATACTAATCCTCGATTGAAGAGGGATGAATAAGATGAATGATCCGATAGAATCCGAGTGAGTCCTGAAGAAGTAGAGAGAAAATGGAGGAGAAGAGAAGGAAGAAAGAGGCGATGATGACATACGACTGCTGCCTGTCAAGCTCCCCAGGCAGCTCTCTAAGCACTCCAGCCAATACTGCGGACAAATAAGACCTAATCGGGCGGGCTGCCGGGAGTTGACCTCCGCCATCAGCTGCATATCACCAGAAACGCAACGCCTTTTGACTCTCTCCCAACACCATCGTCATATCGCTCATCAAATCATCCCATTTCTTTCCTCCTCGCGAGCTACCTTAGTCACCTACTTACCTCCTGTAACCCTCTCCTCCCTTTCTTCTCCTTCAGTCTCTTCACTCCTTCCCCTCTCTTACCCTCCTTCATCTTCTTTGTGCCCCCCTCTGATCATCCTCCGTTTGTCCCTGTATGAACACCTTGCCTAGAACTTTTTTCGGTTACTTTCTTCCGCTGCACTACCTATCATTCTCGCTTTGTACATTAGACCTCATCACAGAGACAACCTGAAGAACTAAGCCGTGTCATTATCTGGCTGGACTCGCGATCAAGCTAAGAAGCTTTCCCCGCACCGCACGACTTCCAACACAATGTGAGTCGGTCGGGCCGAACCTGGACCCCAGGCGGGCCTTGCATCGTCTGTTGCTGACGGATTCTCTTCTACACTCAGGCGCATCACTGTCAGCGTTATTCGACCGGACCAGGCCGACTCTGACATCATCTCCCTCGAAGTCGGCGGGGATATGACGGTCGAGCTTCTCAAGGCTATCGTTGAGAGCGAAACATCCATACCCACAAATACTCAGCGCCTCGTATATAACAACCAACTACTTGGAAATGATGCACAGACTTTGGAGCAGATTGGTATTGGGGAAGGGGACATGCTAGGCGTTCATGTTACAATGCGGAGCCCTCAAGCGCCTGCTCGCAGCGTAGGAGGCGGCCCCAGTGCAGCGGCTCAGCAGAACCTTCAGCGGCGGCAAGCGATGACTCCCGACCCCGAGACAATCCGACTGCATATCCTAGGTGACCCTCGCGTGCGAGAGGCTGTCCGACGGCAGAACCCCGAGCTGGCAGATGCTGCCAACGACGCGCAGCGGTTCCGCGATGTCCTGATGGCACAACAACGCCGGGAGACTCAAATGGAAGCAGAAAAGGAGGCGCGCATCGCCATGCTGAATGCCGATCCTTTCAATCCGGAGAATCAGAGGGAGATCGAGGAGATCATTCGACAGAATGCAGTGACGGAAAATCTTCACACTGCCATGGAGCATCATCCCGAATGTAAGTAAGCAGCGGATCTGAGGCTAGCTATCAAAGACTAACGAGAGCACAGCATTTGGTCGCGTGACAATGCTGTACATCCCTGTTGAGGTCAACGGCCACAAGGTCAACGCGTTTGTCGATTCCGGAGCGCAAGTCACCATCATGTCTCCCGAGTGTGCGACCGCTTGCAACATAATGCGACTGGTGGACCGGCGGTATGGGGGGATTGCAAAGGGTGTGGGAACGGCAACCATTCTGGGTCGGGTTCACTCCGCGCAGATCAGGATTGGAAGCATGTTTTTGCCCTGCTCCTTCACCGTGATGGAAGGGAAACACATCGATCTACTCCTTGGATTGGATATGTTGAAGCGACATCAGGCGTGCATTGACCTGAAGAAGGGTGCCCTGGTCATCCAAGACGAAGCCGTGCCGTTCCTCGGCGAGGCTGATATTCCCAAGGAGCTGCAGGAAGGCTTTGAGGATGAACCTATCGTCAAGGGTGCCGATGGCGCCGAAGTCGGCGCGCGAACCGGTGCGGTCACACACCAGGCCAGCGGGTCTGGCACATCAGCAACTGCTCCGTCATCGTCGACACCTAGGATCAATATCCGCCCGGCGCCGTCGTCGCGTTGGCCGCAGGACTCGATTGCGAAAATCACTGAGCTCGGATTCACTCGGGAGGAGGCCGTCCGCGCATTGGATGCAGCCAATGGGGACCTTGATGGAGCGATTGGCTTTTTGATTTGACATGTGATATCACCCGCAAGCCACTTTGGAACACGACATACTATGCATCTATACCGGGAACATCCGACGCCTAGACCGTTATCTCGCGGAATCGCAACCGTCTTTGGTCCGTCTAGACCTCTGCATCTGCTTCTAGAGGAGAGGGTCTATGCCCTTGCTTGCGTGTGGCACATACCTTGGTAGTGTTCTAGACCTTTTCGACAATCGAGCGATGATACCACAGATGTCCAAGTCACGTTGTGGCAGTTTTGTAAGATAGGGTCATGGAATGTTGCTGCAGTGAATACACATCTTATGCCGCGAACGCATTCTGCAGACTATTCGACACATTCTCAATTATGGATCTCGCAAGACCAGCTATGTAACCAACGAATATATTTCCAGCGAGCTCATAAACAACAGCAGCAAACATTACAATCAACTTCATAGGGTTCAAATGGTAACAATTACACTAAAACAGCCCGCTCTGCAGCACACCCCATCCACCAAGCCTACGCCAGTTTCTTCTTGCCCAACAACTTCCCCCTCAGTCTAAAGAACATATCCAGCGCCATAAACGCACCTATAGACACACGTCAGTGCACCCATCCACAATCAGAAAATCATACACAGAGTAGGAAAGGATACTATACCTAGAGCAAAATAAGGCCCATACATCATTGTAAGAGTCCTCTTCTGCGCGAACGTGCGATCCTCCCAGCTCCACATCTCCACCAGACAAGTTAAAGTTGTCAAAAAGATGTGCCCGCCGAACACAAGCAGATGGACCGGAACCATGGGGTTATCGCGGATCAAAGCGACGATGGCCCAGATGGCCAGCGGGACCTGGTAGTAGAGCTCCATGAAGACGAACACGCAGAACCAGGGGGCGGTTTCCTCGGGGAGCTTGTCCTGGTAGGTGGCGAGGTAGTCGGCGTGCGTTTTGAGCCCAAAGTTTGTTTGGAGGGCGGTGGGGAGGAAGGTGACGGCGTCGACCACTGCGAGTGCAATTAGTTGGATCCGGATCTTTCTATATGTTACGTGTGGCCTTCACTTACAGACGACGATTGGGATGTGGATGATGAAGAAGATGAGGTAGAAGAGGTCGCGTTTCCGGCTCCAGATGGAGGCGGAGGCGGAGGCTGGTGGGGAAGTCATTGTGATTCTATTCTATCGAATTTGAGTGAGATATGGATATCCTGAAGCAGTTGAGTTGCAGGTTGACATGTTGGGGAGCTTTACGGAGTACTATGGTCAGGGGGTGTCTACGGAGCGTGGGATCAGGCACAGAACCACGTGCGGTCATGTGACATGCTCGGAAAAAGCAAGCTTCCGATCCGAAGTGAGTCCGAAGTGAGTCCGAAGTGAGTCCCGAGGGGCTGGGAATGGAATTTTCCAGAGAGATTCTTATTGATAGGGAGCGTTCCGTGGATAATAGCTAAGGAGATAATTGCTTTTTCGACTGCACGCTCTCAGACTCCAAAGTAAACACTAAGCAGAAGTTAAGCTTAGCTGCGCGGATCGGGTACTACTATGGTACACACTACGGAGTACACAGTACCTTAGATTGAGCCCACTGCTCCGTCCCAGTAATACTTTGTATCTGGACATGCTCCGTCACCCATGGTTCGAGAGATCGCTGTTTTTGCTTTTTCTGTTTTCGGTCTCTATATCAACGTCTGTCTTTCTTTTCTGCCTTAAGAATGCAGTCATCAATTACTCCGTAGCCCAAACTCCAAACAGCGATCTGCTGCGATCAGCACTTGTCTTGATGATCCTTTGACCCTGGCCGTTTGACCGAGCAAAGTAGGCAGTCACAGACGGCCTTCACCGCAATTCTGAGACTAGCATTTGTCATCGACGACAAAGAGTCAACCTCCAAGTCGCCGCGTCGTCTCCTTTTGTTGGAGCTGGGACTGAATGGACGACAGATAGTGGCAGCGACCTTGTCCTCTTCAATCACGATGATTCGCTCTCTTCAGCCCATTATGCAAAGGATTCCTTTTCCTGTCGCTGTCAAGATTGGACAGACTATGGAGTATGATGCATTGAAGGATCAAGCATATGATCGAGGATTCGAGGCAATTTCCGGCCTCGACGTTATTACTTACTAGCTCCTAGTCTAGTTGAATGTTCCATATTTTACGATTTAGACCGGCCGATCCTGGTCGAAATATTCATCGTGCATTGGCTATCTACGCAGACCAAAGTTACAAACATTGCAGGTTAGGTTAGCACACCGTTAGCGTCAGTCCACGCCCTTCTGGCTTTAATCTATCGCACACACTAGGGGACCTTGAAGTTGAAACGTGAGACAGCCAATCCCCCGGATGTTTGGGGCGAAACTTTGGGCGTTGGGATTCGACAATCCACACTCTTCCTTTGCCCAGAATTAGATAGAGAGTGCAATATACGAAGACACGCGACATGGTAATAATTTACGGAACCAAACGAATCCTTTCTAGTGGGATTGTGAGAATTGGGCCACACCGGCCCGGTTGGCGTCACGATTGCCATCCATTGACCATATCCGGATATCGTTTCGTAAGAGCAAAGAGACTACGAGGTACTATCAGGGGTTAGAGACTAGAAGTTCGACGCTGAACGGCGTTGTCGTCGACTCGCCACGCCATGTGCGATCCTTGGGACCTGAGACTCGATCTATCCGATCTCATCCAGTAGACTAGGTCTTACATCACTGGCGTACAGGGCTATCAGTATCGACAAAACAGAATGAATTCAGGCAATCCGGCAGAAGTACGGAGCACAAATGAGTGAATTACCTTGCCGGTCTGGTTTGCAATCGGGTGCGGATATTCTGATGCAGACTGCAGACTGCAGACTGCATGATACTTCATGCTTCTACTACATGATAAGCTACAGGTAGGTACTATTATTATCGTCGCTCGTATCTCTGCTGTCTATCTCTTGAGGACGGAGCATGGAAATCCGCCTTAGAGTCGAAAGGCGTTGTGTTCAAAGTTCGACGACCAAATGCCACGATGCCATGTGGGGAACCATGATAAACCACGGGCGTTGAACCGCGTTCCCGAAAAGAAACAGAAGGGCGTTAAGTCTTGCTTGGCTTAGAACAAGCGTAGGTGGAACTATCTACTTCATAGGCGGATTGGAATAATTGGAATATTCTACGCTGTCATGTTCTTTCAGATGCCTAGGTAACCGTTGTATGTTACCGAGTTGATAGTTCCGTTACGCCGCCCATTCAGACTGGGAGTGCGAGTTCCATCCAGTTCCAAGTTCTGGTTCGCATGGTCTTGGATCTCAGAATAAAGACAGTGGTCGGGGAAGATGGAATAGCTTCCCAATCCTGGTCCCCCCCGTTTCTAGTCAACGACAGGGCCCAAGGAACATGCATGCCTTAGGCAGTTAGGCTTAGGCTTAGGCGAGGGTGATTCGGCCCAATACTAGGCCAGATCAAAGAATCAATCAACCAATTCAGCCAATTCGCATCGTTCAGCCGAATAATATTTAGCGATCTGGATGAGTTTATGCAGGAGTCCTCACCATTCAATGAAAGGACGATAGACACTCCGCATTAATGTAAGCCAGTCGGCTACATCACATCGAGAGCATCTTGCCTTATCAGCAGCAGCAACAAAAACCCACCACTCACGACGCACACTCAAATTGCCGGTAGAAAAGTTCTAGTCTACGAACTAAATCACGGTAGTAGTGCGAGCAATAGCCGGGGTTACTCACTACTCCGGAGTACGGAGAACTGTGCTAAATCCTCGGCCATCTGTATCTGTACTCAGCCCCTAGCCTAGGTTCTAGCAAGTGATGCAAGGAGTATGCAAGATAGCAGAGCTCTGCTACCGAGCTGCAGCTGCTCCTACTGCTACTAGAGTCAACAGCTCCTTTCCTTGGCTGGTTCCGTCCTCCGTCCTTCGTATGCTGCGACAGGGTCCACTGCCTTATCACTGATGGGATTTCTCCATTATGAGCAGATTAAGCGGTGAAACCGCATCAGAAGCACATAGACTACTCCATAGAGTAGTACAGCTATCTACAGAGGACAGAGTACAGATTGAGACAGAGCCAATTTCCCGGAACACGACGGGAGCAGGCCAGTGTTACTGTAGATGGTTAGGAGGGAAGTATTCCACGATACTTGGACTAGCTCCTGGAGGCTTGGATTAGGGCCGAGGAGCTAGTTTCCCTTCTCTTACAGAGTATAATTATTTAATAAAGATAATATTAATTAGTATTTATAACATCCTTGTCGGAACATGCTTCTAACATAATAATACAGAACCACAGAGCCAATCATCATTGCAATCAGTCACATCTGCTCGAGGAGGTGCAAAGCTATGGGAGGAATCTCCAACGGACCCCAGTAATGAGGATGAGGATGTCAGTAAGGATAGACTTGAAGCCAGATGGACCCTTTCCTGGAACTTTTGACCGCTTTTTCCCTTTCTTCTCTTTCTGGTCTGAACTTTGAATTTGGAACTCTTGAAGTGTGAAGTTCTTTGGGCTTGCCATGTCGCTGCCCCTCTGTAGACTAACTCTCCCCCTTTATGGCGATTATCCTGCATCTCGAGACTCGAGAAAGACTGAGAGTAACTGCATGAACATGCAACCTAATGAATTACTGTCTGATTTCTTTTGAATTCAATTAATCTAATTACCAGTCCCCGGCCCGGAAATGAAAGGGAAATAACGAGTTTCCTAGTCCATCTAGTCTAGTCACGGCCCTTTTTGCGACGTCCGCCATTGAAACGAGATCATTGGCGCCATGGCGACGATGTCATCCACTTGGCTAAAACATTGGAATTGGATTATTTCGATTTAGCTTTGATATCCTACTCGGCTTGCGTTATGTCACTTATGTGTGCATGTATGTATGTCAGTATGCGTCCGTACTTACTGTGTCTTTATCGCCAGATGACGACTTGGTGGAGGCGGACGCTATTGACTGACTCCGTATGATACTTGATACTTGATTAAGATTATGGTTTCTGTTTTATATATTTTTACACTGGATATTTTATGTTTTTTGTTTTATCTATCATCGGCAGGGTTCTCTATTTATTCCATTGCCGTCCGCGCCTCGACATCTAGACTTTTCTTTTCTTTTTCCTCTGCAGCATCAGATCTCGCCTTTCAGTATATACTTGAGAAGCCTCACAAGGTCTTCTTCACCACCTGGAGGAACAAGATCGTGTCCTTTTCATCTTGGCTTCTGTTTCATCTTCATGAATAAAAGTTTCGCGTGACTGGGCCATTTCAGCATTGTCCTATCTAAAATTTCCTGTCCATCATCCCATTCTCCGTTAAATCATGCCTGCTTCAGCCCCCGTCACACCACCCAGCAAGCCACAAGCTGTCAATCCTCACGAGGAAGATATCCCCATCAGCTACGACATCAACATCCCCTATGTCGATGTCACCAAGGAATCCACCTCGCACACCAGATACCCAGAGTACCTCCCCACATGGGACAAGATCTGGTTTGATCCTCTGCGGCCCTTCAAATACGAGGATCCGGCCCTGCGCGTGAAAGACAAGAGCAAGCGCAACCTGCTCGCCCCCGGTGTCAAAGTCACGGACATCCAGCCCCAGATCGGGAGTATCGTGGAAGGCGTGCAGCTGAGCCAGCTCTCCGACGCCGCCAAAGACGAGCTGGCCCTGCTAGTCTCGGAGCGCAAGGTCGTCGCCTTCCCCGCGCAGGATCTCATCGACGCCGGCCCAGAAAAGCTGGAGCAGTTCATGCGCCATTTCGGGAAACCAAACTACCAGCCTGTCTCCGGGACTGTGCGCAATCACCCCGGATTCCATATCATCCACCGCGACGGCAACCGCCAGGAAATCGCGCGCTTCCTCGAGCAGCGCACCACCACCACCCTCTGGCATCAGGACGTGAGCTATGAAATCCAGCCGCCAGGCTACGTCATGCTGGGCCTACTCGAGGGGCCCGAAGTAGGCGGCGACACCGTCTTCGCAGCCACAGACTTGGCATACAAGTAAGCCCCCCTCCCCTCTTTGCGGTCAGATCAAAAACTGACCGAACCATCCAGACGCCTCTCCCCAACATTCACCTCTTTCCTCGACGGCCTGCGCGCCGTGCACTCCTCCGCCAAAATGATCAACCACACCCGGCTCACCGGCGGCCTCGTCCGCAAAGACCCAGTCGA